GACAAGGATAGACTGGTTACATGTAGTAATAGGACATGGTACCCACCAACAGCAGAAGGGAACCTCACCTACCACATTAAGTTTTGTCAAACAAGTCCCAATGCCACCATACGCTTTGAACAAGTAGTACCAGATGGGGGACATGTCATCTATGAGTTCCAACTTTCAAGTGTATCTCAGTATCGAATACTGAGCCTGGCGAGGGGATCTGTCCCCTTAGGTGACATTTTTTGGATGTGCCATAATGAGACACAAATGTTGGCCACATTACCCCCTCAGTGGGAAGGCATCTGTGCACCAGTAATGCTGACAGGACAACTCAAGTTAATAGTAAATAACCTAATAAGTACAAATGTAACATTTAATGAGATACCCAACCGCGCTAAAAGAAGTACTCCCCCTAAACATGAGTGGAAAAAATCAGATGAGGTATATATTTCTTGGGATCAGATCCCATATGGAGTACCTGATGACCAGGTTGCCATAGGGAGTGATTGGATAGAAAGCGGAAGAGTGGCTGGTGCGGTACCAATTTGGGGAACTATTGCCAATGCGCAGTACATAGCTCGAAATAGTAGATGGGTGAATCTCCTATGGTATAATCAACAAAGATTTATAAACTTTACAATAAAGGGCCTGGATTTGGTAAAGGAACAATTGCATGCAACTTCACTAATGGTTCTACAACATAGGTTCGTGCTAGAATCCCGCATGGCTGGAGACCAAGGAATATGTGATTATATAGGGGAAGATTGTTGTACTTTAATCCCCATGCACACAGATGTAAATGGTAGCCTCACAGGAGTCCTACAGGAAATGAAACGAATGAGGGATGAACATGCGCTGCAGTCTAATTGGAACACTCAGCTGAAGGGATTCTGGGATTGGTTTCACAAGCTTGGAAGGGGAAAATATCTTAAGGCAGCAGGAATGATTCTAGGGGCAGTAATATTGATTATATTGATAGTTATGTGTTGCATCATACCCCTTGTTCGGGGACTGGTCTCAAGACTTGTTGTAAGTGTAACTGGTCAGTTCCCAGTTGTAGAGATACAATTGGACCAAGAGACATAAAACATAACCATGATCACCTTCCACCCTCACCAGGTACGTGCATTTCTTTAATAACAACAGTGTATATATGTAAATATTTTGTATTACAAGGACTTATATACTTACTCACGTAGACATAGCAACTTGCATGCTGAATAATCCATAGATATAAGAGATATTATGCCTTCAGATGATGCCTAAATTTGCCATACTATGTCCCCACAGGTAGATTATTGAACATGGCAGAGGCTAGTTATGATGAATATGAAGAAAACCAAATGAATTTACGAGCTGCACTGGCGTCGTTAGGCCCGTCACTAGGGGTAGGATGCCCATATCTTCCTCCCAGGCACCTACTAGATCCTGCAGAGGGGCCAAGCAGTGCACCTTCGGGTTGGAGCAAACCTATGATGACACCCAGAAGGCAGCCTGATGATCAACCACCATCACCTACTGGGAAGCCACTGTCCATCTCGTCATCACCGGGGAACCTCAGTATCGATTTCGGCCCAACCAGCACCCCTGCCAGTCCTGAGAATCCCGAGGATCGACGACCACCGTCACCCCGCCAATGTAATTATCCGCCACCACCCCTTACAGGCGTACTGGCTATGTTCATGATCGTAGCAGATGACATAAAGCTTGATCTTGCCGAAGCTCATTATGTTGCAAAGTTCTTGGCTCATCCGCTGGAGTCGTACAACACCAACAATGACCTCAAGCCTGAAATCACCTCTATGACCACAGCAGTTTATGCCCAATTCATGAAGGGTCTGGTGCACCCCGAGCCACGTCGGTCCTTTGAACGGATGCGCCGCACCATGTACAAACGCAAAGTAAAGGCTGGGAATCGGCAGTTGACCCGAGACAATCTGGAACTGAGGCAGCAACTTCGGGATGCACAGCAGACCATTATCAACCTATAAGAGCAGGTGGTGCAACTTCGGGATGCACAGCAGACCATTATCAACCTACAAGAGCAGGTGATGCAGCTGACCGCTCATCTGCAGCGTATGGCTCCGTATACCCAGGGGGGCCCGAACGGAGGGCAGAATTATGGACAGAATTATGGAGGCCATTATTATTATTAATATCAACTTCAATGCCATACTGGATATAAGGACAATGCTGATTATTGATGATTATGCATACCTATGTTAAAAATATTGGTAGAATTGTATACTTTATGTGACAATACAAGTACTGTGCAGGAGAGTGCCACATGGTTACTCCTATGTTGGTTGTAATGACGGTCCTTTGACCACTAGAAGATGTGTTTGCCTGGCATAGTCCAGGCCTGATGAAGCTTTTTGTTTGTGTTTGTGTATTTATGGGTGTGAAAGACCACCTAGGTAGGGGATAAATGCAGTGACCTCGTAACACAAGATGCTGCTTGGGCATTGGTATTTGCCTCTGCTGAGAAAACAGAATTAGAAAATCTTGCTACAAAAAAGTAAGCAACGAGGACGGGTCCTCTTAAGGGAGCCAAGAGGGGGATCCCTCTTTGTTTTTGTATATTCTGTTTTCTGCATTCTATCAGTTTAACATTTACACATTCTCCACCATGTTTTATATTACTCACTTCAACTATATGGTGTGTGTTTAATCTCACGTTTGGTTTGGTGTGCACAATATATATATATATATAAACTTTTGTCACTTGTGTGAGTTCACATTTAAGGTGTTTTAGATTAGTCATCACCTGCACAATCACTTAGTTGATAATTTTAGGATCAAAGGGGGGAAATGTTGTGTATTAATCTGCACTAATCATAAGATAAAATAAAGTTAATGTTTTATAAGTTTAAAGTTGTTTTCGCAAATACTGTTATAAGAGCCATTCAAGGCCAAGAGGAGAAAAACAGAGCAATGAGTGTGTGTAACTGTTGCACCTGGCCCTAGAGGAGTGGAATCTGCAGGAAAACGCAGGGTTGAGGCCCCTTAGTGATAAGAAAGCACACTCATTAAAAATGAAATATTTGACATATCAAGGTTGCCCAGCTCAGCAAAATTTGGCCATACAACTTGTGATAAATAGAGTTGTTATTTTCAAGGCACACTGTGCAGTACTGGTCCCAGAAAGGGTGATGCTTTGACTGGGATACAAGGGGGAACACTAGGCCAGACTGACATGGCTTGAAGTAGGGACAGGATTAGTTTCAACATGTTTGTGATTGAACTGTCATAAGTTTCTGATTTAAGTGCACCAGATGTCTTCATGGCCTGAGAGACTGCTCTCACAAGAATGTGATGTGTCTATGAATGTCATCGTGATTTGCAGATAAAATGTTAATGTGACCTTTACCAAAGACTGTCGTTTAAATATATAAAAAATATGTTCTGAAGGGGGTTTTCCACTGATAAGAAATGTATAAAAGGGAGCTGTTTTCACCATTTGTTCAGCTGATGCTCACCGGTGACCAGCTCCGTGTGAATGTGTTGTGTTTTGCAATAAACACCCTGGACGTGGACTCAGCTGCCTCTGCCCGATTTTTGAATCTTTGTTTGAGACTTTTTCTGCTTTTTAAGAACTTTGAATTTTACAAAACTTAGCTTCAATTTTAAGTCATCAAGAAGACAATAATAGACGACACTATGTGCAACAGACCCCAGGTTTTGGGCATGCTGGGCAAATTAAATGTTTCTGTACAACAGGAGAATGAATGAGACAGGCGACAGGTGAAGTTCCTTAATGCCGACCTCACTACAGTATACCGTCTAACGGAGTAATGTGCCACCTTCTGGTGAGTGTTTAACTACAACTCAAACAAATTATTACACCAAATCAGTCTCTCTTCAAACCAAACAAATAATAATGAGAATACACATTAGTGTGTCACATATGGCCAATCATAATCTACGACTCTGTTTTAAAAATATGTGTACTGCCAACTGCTTCTGCTCCATCAAGCTCCGAACACATTAATTGATATTCTGCTCAACAATTCCAATTTGAACTCCAAAGACTCCTCAGGGTTCAGCTTCTTCCAGTCCTCCTGTCTTATTACTTACCGAAGCACCAACGCAACATTGTGCCTTAATCTCCTCACACCCGAGAGACATTTACCATCCTAGAGCTTCATTCCTGTTTAAACTTTTCAGCTTCGCCCCTGAGTCATACTGTCTCCGTTCTTTCAGGTGATCTACAAGCTAGTCCCAATACCTCATACCAAGCATGCTTGTAGCGACACTGGAGTGAAAAAACCCTCTTGACAAGAAGAAACCTCCAGCAGAACCAGGCTCTGTGTTAGCGGCCTTCCTTATTCAAGAATATAGAAGCAGACATGCAAAAACATGGATACAAAATGTAACTGTCAACCAGCTCCACATGTTTCCCCGCCAAGGAAAGATACAGCCAGGCAGATGAGCTCCAAACCAATTCTATTGTCAAGGGATAAAAGGGAGTGCATACAATTAGTCACAGTAAAATAAACAGGACTACACTGAAAATCAGGCCAAGCTTCAACATCTATAAACCGAGATGTCAATATCCAGGTTTTCCTAAAAAAGTTTTCCAATTTACACTGCAGCCCACATCGTTGTCAGGACACCACCTAGACAGCCTGCAATTGAATGACGACATGAGGCTAAACAAGTCATCACTTGTTAACTACCTTTTGAAAGCATTTGTGCTATTACACCCTAGCATCATGCCAGCTGATATCAGTTTTCTTTCCCTGCTTTATGTAACCTACAGTACACAACCAGGTAACTTCTTATTGTAGTAGGTCAGACTGACTAAGACACACCATTATGTTCCAGTTGAGCTTGGGTCTGCTTCACAGCTGCTGTTTTTAATTCTGTCTCTTTGGCATTTCTTGAGCACGCTGCTCGCCATCGATGAATCAGCCTAAAATGAATCAGCTAAATAATTCAGCTGTGATCACTTGGCAGTGAGACATCCATTTCATGTTTAAGCTTCTTTTGTTTAATAAAATTGTGGTGACCTCTGGAGGACGGCGTCTCTGCTGCAGGACCCTTGGAGGATGGCTTCTGTGCTGCAGGACCCTTGGAGGGCGGCCTCTGTGCTGCAAGACCCTTGTAGGACGGCCTCTGTGCTGCAGGACCCTTGGAGGAGGGCCTCTCTGCTGCAGGACCCTTGGGGGCCGACGATTGCAGCACACAAACCTTTGGGGCCACCGACTGCGACACACAAACCTTGGGGGACCCGTGACGAAGAGGTGAGGAGCGCCCGCTTAGGGACCTCGGAGGCGAGGGGTGCCCGCTGAGGGGTATCGAGGACAAACTCACTGAGCTCAAAGTCAGTTCATCAGTGAGCTAAGGGGACTCTGGATGGCACAGAGACCTGGTGTCACGCTGGAGACGTGACACCAGAGGGCACCAGAGAGGAGACACAGGGCACTAGAGAGGGAACACCAGAGGGGCCTGAAACTATGGAGGGGACAACAGAAGGATCAAAGACTAAAGAGGTGACAACAGAAGGGTCTGAGAATAGAGAGGGGGCACTGGATGGATCAGGGGCTAGAGAGGGGACACTAGAGGGACCCGAGGCTAGAGAGGGTTCACTAGAGGGACCTCTGGCTAGAGAGGGGACACTAGAGGGACCCAAGGCTAGAGAGGGTTCACTAGAGGGACCTCTGGCTATAGAGGGGACACTAGAGGGACCTGAGGCTAGAGAGGGGACACTAGAGGGACCCGAGGCTATAGAGGGGACACTAGAGGGACCTGAGGCTAGAGAGGGGACACAAGAGGGGTTTTATCCTGAAGATGGAAAACTGAGAGGAGAAGATAAACTGACCAGGTTTGGTGGTGGAGGGAGGCAAAAAGCAGGCTGACCAGGGGAGGTCTGTAATCTCTGCAACTGATCAACAAGAAAGTTGATTTTTTTCTGTAAATGTTACAATGAACTTGCCCCACTGTGCATTGGGCTGTGTCATCTCTATTTGCAAGAATGCCATCTGCTCCTCCCATTTGTTTAGCTGCCTCTCTCTGGTGCCCAAAACTAGGTCCATGTTTGCTGGGTCGATTTCTGGCTGGTTTGTACTTTCACAGAGGGGGAGGTTTGACAGGAGAAGCCAAATGCACACTGAGTTAATTATAATACTTGAGGGTTTAATAACAAAAGTCAAGAGAAGCAAGAAAATCCAAAAACATAAATCCACAAAAATCTGTGCTGAAAACCAGGAATACTCACGACAAGAAGGGGACAAAGTAATGACGAAACCAGCCAAGAGTGACTGAGCAGGCGGAGAATAAATGGGAGAGAGAAAGAAAGACCAGGCTACACTGCAAAACATTGAAATCTAAATAAGTAATTTGTTCCTAAACTAAGTACATTTGTTCTTGAATTGAGAAGGTAAGTGAGACACTTTGCCAATGGAACAAGACAAATTACATTTAAAATAAGAAAAAGCAACTGAATTGTCTTATTTCAAGTGCATTTTATCTAATTATCTTATTTTAAGAGTAAAACTACTCATTCCATTGGCAAATCATCCCATTTACCTGCTAAAATTAAGGTAAAATACACTTGATTTAAGGAATTTTTACTTATTTCTAGATTGTTTTTGCAGTGTAAGTAGCAGATCGGGGGCAGGTGTGAACAGAGGCAAGAAGGGAGATAGGGAAAAGGAGATAGGAAATATTTAAGAACTCAAATACAATCAAAAATACCTAGAACACACAAATGAAAACTCAGAAATAAAACTTGAACAAAACCAAAACCATGAAAAAAGCATGTGTTCCAACTACTGAAATGATAAAAATTAAAGTAGCTCCAAAGAGTATCTTTATTTGTTCCAATAATTGGAAATTCTTCACTTTACCAAATATTCTTGCCCAGGTTGGTAAAAGTGTGTTTTGCTTACCTGGCCCTATAAACATGTAACACTGTAATCTATCTTGCAAGTTAAAACATTGATCTCCTTAAGTGTCTTAAAGTGATCCTGACTTTTTCTTTTTTGTGTGAGATGTAACTTCTTACCAACAAGCTTGTTTCTGTCAAATTGTCTATGTGGATGCTATTCATATATAGAACGTTTTAGATGTAATGTCTTCTAACAGACATTTTTTACATAATTATATCTAATTTTATTATTATTATTATTAATATTATTATTATCATGCTAGGCCTCCATTGCCAAGGAGACTGTCAATCATAAAATTGACCTTCCTAGAAAAAAAATGTTTAATGATAATAATAAAAGTTACCAAAAATACATGAATACTGGTAACAAAGCAACTTCGCAGCTGCAATGGCAGGAAATAAATGCAGCACAGTTAGCAGAAGGAAGGACTGCACTGTTTTGTGAGGGGTAAACAAAGCAGGAACAAGTATATACAAAGAGAAACAGCAACTTTAAAACAACTAATAAAATATTTAACCCAAAATCTTAAACTGTCTGTCTGTCTGTCTGTCTATCTAAATACAGTCCTCTTACCTGGCCAGATCAACATAATTGGCCCTGCAGAACTTCTGCGCTTCATTCCAATTTAGTGACATATTACTAACAACATAGGATGGTGATCCACCTAGCATACCTGTAAATATATAAATAAAGATATAGAAATAGATTGAGAACAACTACAAGAAAAAAATCTGTATTTCAATAAATTTTCAATTTCAACTTTTTTACACTAAATAAAATCTTACCATTATAGCAGATAAATGGTATTATGTCTGTGCACCCAATGTCATCCCAACTTCCCTGTCCATAAAATCTAACACAGTGGTGTTGTCCATAAAAATCGTCGGGCTGTCCGCCATTCCAGTTTCTAAATGTGTATTCTCCTGGACCATAGAAGCTGCTGTCATTTAGGGACCATTTCCAGCTGTTTATCCTTTCATCATAGAGACCTATCCAAGCTTTGCCTAAACAAACAGCAATAGTCACATACAATTATGCTTTTATTAACAATGGAATAACAGTTTGAGGTTTTGACTGCATGTGTCTACAAATTTGTTATCTCCCCTTAAATAATAAAAAAACTGACCTGTATAGTTTAAGGAAGTCCTGAGAAAAGCATCAACATCAGCTGTGTTTTCAATAGTGGCCAAATCGGTGTAGTTGCGTCTGCAGATACTCTGAGCATCTGTCCATGTAGATGAAGTGTTTAGAAAGTAGTACTGGCGGTTTTCGGCACAGGCCACACAAATTTTGCTTTTGCAATATTGTTTTACATTTTATTTCCGTCTGTTTTTTCTGCTAATAAGGCCAGAAAAAAAGGAAAGTATTACAGGAGTGGATTTATCTAATAATAAGAACTGCAGATATAAGTCTTGCACAGTGAAAGTAACTGCCAATGTGGACATATAGGTTTACAATTTGTTTCATTCCTGAAACATACTAGAATTTGTCTTGGTAAAATTTCTATTAGTCGTTTAGCTTAAAGGTTGTTCTTTTAATAAACTTTTGTAAAAAAGCAGGAAGCACAAAGAAATCCTTTACATAATGTATATCACTTCCAGTCTTCCAAGGATTTTTTTTTTGGCTTTAATACACTCAAAAGGGCCGAATGGTCTCCACATCACATCATTGTGCTCTGCAGAGGTTTGATGATCAATTATTATGGCTTGAAATTAGCTTTTTTGTTCACTGGCTACTGTTGCTAGTCATTTTCTAAAGTTACCAGCCACTTGACATTTTCTCTTGGTACAACTTTGTTTTTAGAAAATTATCTTTAATATGACAAAAGTTGACAATGGCATGCTAAAGTTCACTTAAACTAGATTTACAACTGTTTAAAATGTAATTGACCCTTGTATACACTCATCAAACTACATAGTCTTATTGTTGAAAGTTTACATATTGTTAAAATGTGTTAAAATTGGTAAAGTCCCTAGCCAACTCTGGCTAAAAACAGTTTTAGCTAAGGAACCTATTACTTGAAACATCACAATCCTTATTGGACCTAATATTTAGATTTAATGTTAGAGAGTGAAAAAGCCCACAATGTATTTTTTTTGCACAATATTCATGTCTGGTAATGACTTCAAGTCTAACAGGAAATGAAAAGCAAGATATAAAAATTTGAACCTGTAGGCAGGTCTCTGCTTGGATTTGAACAAAGAACTTTCTCTCTGCAGTAAGAGCACTATTCATATATTCAGATTGCACCAAATAATTTCAAACATATATCTTTACTTATTTTTTTCTACTTTTACCTCATAGTCTCAGTTACCTATTGTATGCAAATGTAGGTTCTAGTCTAGCTGTTATAAAATAAGAGGTAAAAAATAGTAAGAAACTAGACTGAGGAAACAAAAGACACAAACCTGTGAGCCGGAGCAGGATTAGCCTTTGATCCATGAGTAAAAGATTGAGACAATATCTAATAACATTTTTCACAACTCATAGAAACTGATAACATGCTTTAAGGCTGCAAGGCGCGCATTACAAAAGTCTTGTGTTGCTCTTCATATTTAAAGTTTGCATAGATGGGTGGGAATATTTTGAGAGAAATGCATTTGTTCAGGTTCCAGAAAAGCCAATGACAGAAGAATGATGATGAGATCAATTTACAGTTCATAGTTTCAAAACAGAAGGTGTCACATAGCAAAGCAGCGACTTTTGAAATACTTGGGTTTGATGTTACCTTAGGTAATAAAAGAAGCTACATAATAGAGGCTGTTTTGTTAAAGTTGCATAACCAACATGGTTTGTGAGATTTATGGTCAGATCTGGCTGTTTGCAGCATGGGTGCACCAGAGGTTTCTGTACTCTCAGCATGGCTTTGTACCTCAGATTCCCAGCAGAATTTAATACAAATCTACATAATTACTGACCCAATAATTCCATTCAAGGCTACAAATTCAGGAACAAATTTGTTAGTAGAAACGCTTCTTGCATTAGACATATTGTTTGTAAATGATGAGACATCCCTGGCTACAATCTAATCAAGATAATACACAGCAGTCTTCATTCAAGGACAATCTGATGTACAATGTGAGAATTTCCACTGTTATAGTCACAAATATTTTCCCCAACAGCTCAGGTAACCTGTAGATTCACAACATATTTACCATGGTGTAGAATATGAGTCTGAACCTTTACTTTAGGGGATCTTGACTTAAATCCTTGATGCATCAAAAGGACATTCCTTATAAAACCAACTCTAAAAGCAGGCGAGTTGCTATGCACCAGGCTTTACAGGGGCACTGGCCCTGCCGCATATGCCCCTCCTTCCATACACAAATACAGACAAGCACACTGCCCCACCCTGATACATTCCTACCAAAATTACCAGTTGAGATATTAATGAGTGTAAGAGCATATTTATTTTAACAAACATGAACATTTTCAACATTGCAGCAATAAAAATAAGACATCACCAACATTGACAAATCAAAAGTTCCCTTATACACATTCTGAAGTAATCATTAATTCCTAGGTTTCAGAGTTTTAGTTCAGGGGAAAGTTTAACTCAACCTGAACTAAGTTTTTCTTTTATTTTTTGAGCATTAAAGTGTACCTCCTATTTTTCATTTTTGCAAAGCGGTCAATCACTTGACTGTGACTCAGCTTAGAAAGTTTTTCCTTTTCAACTGATAAAATAGTAAGATGACGGAGCCTGTCTTGTCCCATTGTGCACCTCAGCCAAGTGTGGAGCCTTCTCAACACACTGAATGACCTTTCACAACTACAGCTGTTGACTGGGATTGTAAGGGAGATCTGGATGACCTGGGTTAGTGTTGGGAACATGATGTTATCAAGCAAGTTGAAAACACACTGCATACCCTTGATGAAAAGGCTTTCTTTTTTGGATGCAAGATAGTTTTTGGCCACTAAAACTTCCTCAGATTTCAGACCAATATTGTAATGATCTGCCAGATGTCTGAGGTGCTCCTCAGAGAGAAAGCTGTCTGATTCTGGGTTACAGGCCTGTATACCTCTGAGAATTTAAGAGAACTAAGAGATGAAAAACGCTCATTCATCTCAGCAACCATCCAGTCAAGGGAAGGCAGATACAGGTTTCTTTTAAACTTCATCATCATCTCATTTTGGGATGAAGGGGATTAATATGTACTATGTAATGGGCGTGAGTATGACTGGAGAAAAGGATCAAACTGCTTTAAAAGTTTCATGCATTCAAGAAAGTTTCCCTGATTGTGGCTTGATGCTGCCTCATCGTGGCCACGGAATGGGATGTTTTGTTTGGCTAAGAACTGTGTCACAGCCACAATATGGCTGATGTTCTCCCGTGTCTCCTTGAATTCCACCTGATGTGCTGAATGCATCTGTTCTACTACACTACCATGAAGAGCGCTGGCTTTGAAGCTCTGCCACGCCCTTATACTTTCTTTTTGGGCAGGTGTTTTCTTATGCTCTCTGAAGAGATCTAGAGCTTTTTTCCAGTTCGTTAAACCAGTGCTCACAAATGAGTCATGTTTTACATGTTTACCGAACATCCTACATGAGAAACAAAAAGCTGCATCTTTAGTTACAGAATATTCTAACCAGGAAAAGCTTTCCAATCATTTTGAATTTAATGAACGTTTTTTTTTACTCCAAAATTGTGCTGGGGATAGCGGGACAACTTCACTTGTTTAGGACCATCATGCTTTCCCCTTAAGTCACTAATGTCCCCCTCTTGTTTGTGGACGCTGGTTGTTGCTCTCTCTTCTTAACTTGTAACTGCTCCCTCATCACCTTCATGGTCCTGTCTCTCCTGTCTTTCACCTGTCTCTTGCCTGTCAGTCTCGCCTCCTCCTCCCTTACTTACTCCAGCACCTTCATTCTCATTCTCTACAGCAAACGTTAAAAAATTAGAACTAATTTAACATGGTTATCAATGGTGTACGGTAAATGTAAAAATCACGGACTAACAGGCAAATATGAAGGATTTTGAACTTAACAAAGAAACATCTCTGCTGAGCCAAAGAATGTACTGTACTAAATTCTGTTTTTACATCCTAAAGCTTTCTAAAAAGCAATAGAAATCAAAATAAAAGAACTCCGCTATGTAAAAAGATATTATAATCAAAGAAACAATTAAACACAAACCATATTTTCAAGGTAAGCTTTAGATAATTACTAGGTGAGTAAAAAAACTAAACATAGTGTCCATGAGTTTTATTATTGCAAAGATTATCTCAGCATTAATCTAAGTTTAGCTGAGGTTATCCTTTGTTTAATTTTAAGCTTCCTGACAGACTGCATTCTTTACAGCAAAAATTTTAAATATTTGTCCTTCCACTTCACTGCAACAAAGACAAGCCTATCCTTTATAAAAATTTCAGATCTGCTTTTTAAATCAGCTTTTCATGGTAATACCTTTTAAACTTTGACGATTTAGTATCACATTTTTTTCTGTTAAAATATATTCTAAAAAGTATAATTTAAACCTTTATTTATTTTTATATTTTCACACGAGGCAATTTAAATTTAAAACTTCCTTAAAATAATTTAGATTTGTGGCCACGTTCACACTGCAGGCCTTGATGCTCAATTGCGATTTTTTTTGTGAAATCTTATTTTTTTGCGTTGCCGTTCACATTTCAAAATATATGCGACTTGTATGTGATCTCCTGTTTGAACTGCATTGCTTCAGTTTAAGTGTCCCACATGTGCAGTAGGGGATGCAGTGACGTCACAAGCCAACGTGCTCTATGTTTATGGAAGTAAACATGGATGGTAGCACTGGAGTGCAACTAGCTATCTTTCCAAACCTTAAAACCTCAATCTTTTCAAGATGGTTAAAAAAATAAAAATACTCTCCGCATCATCATCTGCCATGGTGTTTGTTTTTCTTGCCGCTTCTTCATAGCAAGGCCCAGAATAGTGACCTTTGTCGGGTATTAATTGTGTTCAGTTTGGATGAATCTGACCCGGCCGTTCACACACAGGTCGCATTTGCAAATATTAGATTTATATCGGATTCAGGACCACATAGCCAAGTGGCCAGGCTCGCATTGGAAAAAATCAGATCTGTGTTGTTCAGAGAGCCATGAAAAGATTGGATCCAGGTCACATATGGGCCAAAAAAATCAGATTTGGGTTACTTAAGGCTGCAGTGTGAACGTAGCCTTAGATGCATTGCAGTGTAACTGGCTAATTATTCAGCCTTCTGGTAGCCATTTCAGTGTTTAAAAAGTTTTATTTCATTGTACTTAAAATTAATTAATTGAATGTTATATAAATCTTATCAGGTTTAACATACAAGGCAAGAAATTACAATCACTTACTAATACACTGATGAAAAAAAAATCCAGATTTTACACAAACCAATGTTTGCAAATATGTTTTGTGTAGAAAGAAGTACATGAAAACACAATGAAATCTTTGTTGAGGTCTTGTTTAGCAAACAAAATAGAGGAAAAAGGGCAAACAAGAGCACTTTGAATTACAAGATTTAAAATATACATATACAGTAAAATCTATCACTGAATTTATTGTAGAAAACAGAAGAGGAACAATGTTGCTGATGACTTTTACAACATTTCATCTTTCTAATGATTTCATGGTTTTGAAGAAGCTATTTTCAGGGAAAACTGTGATGGCAAGTTATATTCTTTGATGAGCTGGATTTAAAAACACACAGATACATGAACCAGAGGTTAATCAAACGTGAACATAAGATAAGTAAAAAATAATAATAATAATCAAATGCTAAATAAGTCTCACCTTTGCTAAATCAACTTCCATCTCTGATTCTGACATTTTGTTGGGAAGCTGTAGCCTCATCTTCACAGCAAAAACATAGTCTGTACAATAAAATACACAACATTTTACAATCAAAAAACATTTTTAATTAACATAAAACAATCTTCTAAAATTGGACACAGAATATGCAGTAGCCATTATTTATTTTAAATATATATGACCACTGTGGAGAGTGAATATCATTCTATACAAAAAAAATCTATCAATCTAAAAAAAAAACATTACTTTTTGAGGGAAGGAAAGAAAAGTAGAAGAACAACTTATTAACTTACTTGGACCTATTTGTTGTTTGAACAGGTTTTTTTTTCCCACAAGTTGTTTATTGTTGACATGGAAAGAAAACAATAAATGGTTCAATTTAGATTCATATTTTTCCTCTTTAAATCCCAACATGTAAATCAGTCCAAAATAAACATATAATCAATTAATAAACAACAACTTATAGACTATGCTCAGCTCTATAATAATATTCAACCCTCTAAACAACAGTTTAACTCTATAATAGGTATATCTGTTGAACATAAGGCTAAAGTTAAGTGCCTTACCGGTAGCTGCCATGAAGCTGACTCCACTGCTTCTGACGTTTTTAAAAACAGAGAACAGTGTGAATGTGTAGTATGTCCGAGCAGTGAGAAATGAGACTGTGTGAGTTATTGGTCCATTTCCATCTGTTGCAGTGATATTTGTCTCTGTGCCATTAAACTGCAGAACAAAGCTGACATTGTTGTTGATTTTATTCCACTGCAGAGTTATACTGGTCTCATTTTGATTTGATGCTCTGATGCCATCCGCATTTTCAGGAGCTATGACAAGAACATAAGAAAAGACTGAATAAATTCCCTGAGCCTAAGTGGTTATATAGTTTTCTCCTTAGGCTTTACATTGAAGGGTTTCAACACACCTCACACATGCAGTTAAATACTACATTATTCATATCTCTGGCAATAATATTAAAAGTAATCTTTTAAATGGTAAATGGCCTGTACTTATATAGCACTTTTTCAAGTCAGGAGGGTTGACCAAAGCGCTTTACACAACATTCAGTCATTCACCCATTCACTCGCACACTGATGGTGGTTAGATACATTGTAGCCACAGCTGCCCTGAGGTTCACTGGCAGAAGCGAGGCTGACATACACTGGTGCCACCAGTCCCGCTGACCACCATTGGTAGGCTTGACCTGACAACCCTGGAATGTGATGAAGGATGTTTTCTCATCATTTCCAACTCCTTTTTGTTTCCTGAACGATTAGATGACCTTACCTTCAGACCCCCTTTAGCTTGGGGAGGTTTTATGGCTGACTGTTTTACAATCTAAGGAGGTTCAGATATAGGACATATTTACAAAGATTATTACAACAGCATGATCCTGAGAACAGGGACAACAGAGGGATCTGGAAATTATTTGAGAAGTAACTTAAATTGTGATTTTTGGATCCCTTGAGTCAAATCACATGCTTGGGCTGGTCTTGCCTCATGGCTTTATAGTTTAATCTCTGCAAATATCTTTGCCCCAAGTAAAGTGCATGATGTTAACTAAATGCTCAGATTTTTCTGCTTCATATCAAACAAACATGTTAAAGGGATGTTTTCCAAAGTCCCAGCCTACATCTGATAGGGAATCTGATGGGAAATCTAATGATAAGGGAGATGGAACGAAGGTCATCCAAAAATGGTTGTCAAAACACCAGTGGGAAGATGTATAGTGCCAGTTAAGGTGTGCTGTGATGCAAAATAATGTTTTCAATTCATTATTAAGGTGGATTTAAATAACTTTCTTTACAAATGGAAACAAAGTCTTTGTTAAATTAAAATTAATTTGTAATCTGTCTCTAGCAGGGGTGTGGAAGACTTAATATAGACCTTATTCACTGATGTTTAACAACAGTTCAAACCACCCAAAAACAGTTCTGTTTGAAACAATAAATCAAGGTAAATATCTTACCAGTAACTGCAGCTATGCTGACTCCACTGCTTCTGATGTTTTCAAAAACAGAGAAGAGAATGAACAGGTATGTAGTTCCAGGAGTGAGAGATGAGACTGTCAGAGTAACTGGTCCATTTCCTGCTGGTGCTGCTACATGAATCTCTTTTCCATTATAATGGACAATGAAGCTGACATTGTTTTTAACTGGATCCCAATGTAGAGTGATGCTGGTCTCATTCTGTCTCAATGATCTGAAACCTTCTGCATTTTCCGGAGCTGAAAGAAAACAGTTTCAGCAGTTATCTCTTAAGCTGGCTGGATCATGAGATTAGGTTTGTAAAGATAACAGTACTTTGTCTTTACACATAATTCAATTTAATACTTTTTATTTTGTGTCCTATATGTACACAACACCTCTCTCCATTTGACAAATTCTCCTTTTTTCGCTTGCATCAGGACTGAGTCATAGGACAGTGACTTAAGACTTTGAACCTGCTATAGCTGCTTCTTTTTTACACTCCTTACAATTTGTCTCTTTGCATGCTCCCCACCTTTTCTTTCATTAATAGGACTAAATTTTGTTAACTATGATCAATGGATAAACTTTATCAATGCTCTCAAACTACATGTGGAACAAGCAGCCCTCTCTGCAGATACTTACCAATTTGTCTTTAACTGCAGAACAGATAAAATCTTAAATAATTGTCTATGATGTCTATGATACATCATACTTTACAAAGTTTATGCATACTAGAGTGACATCCTATTGATATAGTTTGAAGGTAAAGCATGTAATAATTACAGGGATCTACTGACAGACATCTAAGATATTATTTATATGGATGTTATTTATTATCACCTCTGAATTGAAGTCTTTGTCTTTATGCTTGCCTTGCCTTAGAAATAGCTATTTATAAAAAGATAGGACTGGGTTTGGATTTGTGGAGGCAGACATCTGTTGGGCTATGGCAGCGCAGAGCTGACACACTAGTGACAGCTCTGCGATCGGCATTATGCCCGAATGGGACTGCAGCAAGTTGGGCCTATATAAATCCTACACAGATTAATGAAATACTATTCATAAAATGATCTATGTAAACTGGAATTACGCAAGCCAAATACCTATTAGACAATATTACTATGTGGTGAAGAAAAATTATGTAATAAAAAAAATCATTGATCTGCCTCTCTAAACGGAACTGTCGCTAGCATCACAAGTCAAGATCTCATCACCTTATTGTATTTTTGGTTGAAAATATTTATTTCAGATTTCTTGTGCATATTTTTTAAAATATAATTTTTCATTTAGGTTGATTAAATAGTCACACTCAAGTTTCCATTCTTTTCAAATGGTTTAGTCAACAGGAATGGTTTAGTCAAGAGTTTTCAACTGTAAAGTGACTCTAGATGACATGTGTTGTGAATTTGGCGCTATATAAATAAACTGAATTGAATTGAATTAATATGTTTGAGTTGGAGCTGAAAGATTATTGTCAATAAACTCTTATATTTTGAATGGAGGTTTTGATTAATTTATTCAATGTGTGTGCAGATTTATCTGTTTCATCATGATTTGAGCTTGATTCACACATTGATTTGTTGTTCTAACATGCACTCAGTGGAGCGTGAGTTCACAAACAATATATGAAAGCCCGAATATGATCTTAAATAACATATTTACCACTCCTACTGAGGTAGGCAATAAATATATTATTGTTGTACAACAGGACCAAGGAGGACATTATTGTTAAAATAAAATAGTAAAAAAGGCTGATTGGATTTTGCCAAGCAACATGTATACAAAGCACTAAACTTCTTAGAGAATTTCTTATGGACAGGTGAAACAAAAATATATATTTATTTTAAGGCACATAAGCTCTATGTTCTCCAATGAAAAAAAAAAAACATGTTAAGAAAAGAACACTATTCCTACTGTGAAAAAAAAGAGGAGACGGTGATTTTTTGGGGAGGCATTGCTTCATCTGGCATGAATTCTCATAATTGACAAGTGGTACTTGGGACCTTGGGAACAAAAATATCCTTCAAAACTGAGACAACAGGAGCAATTTGCTTATGGAAATTTGATTACGTTTTCCTAGGATGTCATTCAAATGTGGCATACTAGTGTCCGGCCACCTGGGATCTTTCTAATGTGCTTATTGAGTGATACACACATTTAGATCAATCAGAGTTAAACTGAAAGTCAAGGGACAATAGAACAGCCTGCTTTAGTTTAAAGAAGGTTTCTATTTTCTATTTTAGATTAGTCTTGAATCTAGCTTCAAAGGATTTTTTATATATATAAAAAGATTTCACATTAATCCTGTAACCTTCTTGGATCTAATCAGACAGGGACACAACCTACTGAATGTGACCTGGAGTCAATATGAGAGTGTTTCTCCTTTTTTTTCTTTACACAATCTTAAAAAAGGTACTTGCGTTTAGGTTTAGTTGGCATTGCGGTTGTTTGGTTGGTACAGGAGACGCTGAGGTCACTGTCAGTCCCGTTGGAGATGAAGTTAATGAAGCCTGGCTGGTTGATGCTGATCACACTTTTGATCCAGCTCTCATAATTCGATACTCTGGTGTAGACGCCTGGGAAATCTGGCACAGCACATCCTAATCCAAAATTTACAATTCCTGATTGAATCCAGCGTTCACCCTGCTTGCTTACCATCGGACCTCCAGAATCCCCCTTAAAATTCAGAAAACATTTTCAAATTAAATTACAGCTATTTTCTGCAAACATTAAAGCCCCTGTCACACCTTGACAATTTAGACCATCGTGTGCCTGATGTACGAAAAATCTGGCAAAAACCCTGGCATATGCTTGATAAGTTATGGGTATGTTTTGTGTAAGTTATGAGCATGCCGAAGTACGCTTGCACACGTCGACTTACCGGAAGTAAGCCATACATGGCTCGTAAGTTACAGATAATTTATCTGATTGTTGATATATGTTTGCCGTAAGTTACTCATAAGTCATTGTGTCTAGCTTATCCAAAACCTATGAGTAACTTGTGCAGAACTTATCCGTAACCTATAAAGAACTAATCTCCAATGCATATCAATGTATTTGACGTGTTCCAGACGACAGCTGAGCAATTTTTTAACTTACAGCTACTGTTTAATGGCATATTGGCAGCGTTCACAGGAGGAACCTGTCAGTTCTCCTCCAAACTGCAGCATCCCCATAATAGGGTGAGCAAGAAGGTGAGTGTGAGGGGTCGTCCCTGCATTCACGCCCATGACCAACAAACCTTCTAGCAGACATGACGCTGAATCTGTTGTGTCTGTAAACCTTCTTTCTTTCTTTTTCTTGTTTTTTATTTTTTTGGGGGGCGCAGGTGTTAAACAGCAGCTAGGTTAATACCACTATCAAAAACATCTTTTTATGCAGACCGGATGGCTCCGGGCGCATCGCTGCTCCTGAGGGGAGAAGCTTTAAATGATGCTTAATAATTAACATAATGCATAACATACGGCATTATACCGCCATATGTTATGCATTAGTTAGGCTGTCGTTGGACATAATTGGACTGGACTGGATTAATTATGAAAAAATACATAGAAAGTTCAGCATATGTCATTGTTTAGGAGATTCCTGGATGACGGGCATTCTCTGTCTAAATCAGCAAGGTATAACAGGGCCCTAACGAACTGATGAACACGGATAATAACCTGACAGGAATCCTTCCCTCCCTCTTGTAAACCAGCACATATCATGTTTTCAGTGATGGTGCTCTCTCCGTAGCTGCACTTGCACTGTCTGTTCCCCACAACCGGTACATTTACCTCCATCAGGTTTTGAGGAGAAGGAAGAGGGACTGAGGAGAAAAATCCAGACTTTTATGAATACATTTATTCTACTGTTGGAGATACATAGGTTTGGTTTATCTTTATTCCTCTATATGTTGGTTTTTTCCAACCCACCTCCACTTCCAATGTTTCCCCAGCCAGTTATCCAGGAGTCGACCCCGGTGTAAAAGGTGCTGTTCGTGGCAGCTAGGCATACTGGTAAGATGTATTGTGTGAAATTTACTGGTGCAGACAGCCTCAGAACTGCAATGTCATTGTTAAAAGAGGTAGAAATGTAGTCTGGGTGAATAGTGATCTGAGTTGCTTTACGAATTACTTCATTTGGGTTGGATCCCTCCTGACTCTGACGACCAAGATATACAGTCAATAAATATGGTGACATACTCCACCTGTCAAAAGAGTGGGGGGAAAAAAATAAAGATAGTTTTACATACAAACCAACAGTGAGATAACAGAGACATGTGTCTTGTGGCAGTTTATCAGCATCTTTTATAGAATACAGAGTTGTTTTGTGACCATTCTTCTCCATCGTATTAAAAATGTGGCTGCTTTTTTCCCCCCACATTTCTTTTTACTTTTGTTTGTTTGTGAAATAGAGTGGATCTGATACAAAATGTTCTTACTTTTCTTTAAGTTTTATGTGTGTTTTACCAGTCACCTCTTTTGGGCTTCAGGGTAATTTTTATCTTAATTTTAAGTTTTCCTCAATGGGTTGATGTATGTTTACAAGTGTCTGTGTTGGCTCGTGATGGCTGGAAAACTGTCGGGGGTGTACCCAAACTTTCCCCTGAAGGACTACTAGAAATGCACCAGCCCCCCATGACCATGATGGAAAAGCAGTGGTGGATGGATGATGGATGGACGACATTATTGTATACGTTGTGTTTTTTCATAATAGGTGCATTTTTAAAGACAAATATGAAATAATAATTTTATTCATGACAAAAAATAAACCATAGAGTTCCTACTTTACCACCACTTTTTGATATCATCAGCCATTCATTTCTAAAGTGAGTTGTTTACAATTGTTTTGTTGCTTACCTTTGAACACAGTGAGCAGTAGTCAGCACCCATTGGTCATTGATCAGAGATCCTCCACAGAAGTGTTCAAAGATGTGCAGGCTGACCTGCCAGGGCCAGCTGCCTGGAGGAGCTACCTCTCCTCCAACAATCCTGGTTTTGAGCAACTGTCGACCACATACTAAGAAAAATTTAGATTAAACCTTGGATCAATAAAACTTATCAAAAAATAAGAAATTAAACTAAATTATCTCAACATTTTGTTTAATACAAAACAGCTGATGTGTTCTTACCCTCAGATATGTTTACTGTTATTCGGTTGATATTGGGTCTTGTACAGGAAACATTAAAATCACTCTCAGTCCGGTTGGATGTAAAGTTTATGAAGCCTGGCCTGTTTCTGGTGATGTGACTGTTTATCCAGTTATTGTACTGGGACACTCTGGTGTAGACTGCTGGGAAATATGGCTTGGCACAACCAACACTAAAACTAACAATTCCAGCCTGAATCCAGCGATCATCCTGCTTACTAACCAGTGGACCTCCACTATCTCCCTTTAAGACCAGAAATATTTTATGTAAAGCAGGTGAGAAGAGGCATTAAGAACAGGAATTGAAAAAAATATGAAATAGTAAAGCAGTAAAGACTTACAAAACAGGGTCCCTTTCCTCCTTCACGAAACCCAGCACATATCATGTTTTTTGTAATACTGACATTACCTATGTCACCATAGTCACAACTGCATTGTCCATTTCCCACAATCTCAGCCTCCACTTCCAAAAGGTTTCCAGGTGATGGAAGTGTTATGTTTCTGGCCTGTCAACTAGTATTTTCATTCCCCTCCCCCTTCTGCTCTGTGCTGCCTCTGCTCAGCCTAATTGCCACTGATTCCTCTCACCTGTTTGCCAGCCTTCTTAAGCAGGCCTCTCTCTAGTTGACAGTGCCAGATTGCCTGAAAGCCTTGGCTAGTAAGCATCCAGCATTTTTCTGTCTGTCTACCTGATCCTGACCTTTTTCTGCCTCCTGATTTTTTGAGCCTGCCTAGCCCTTGTTGGATCTGTTTTCTGTGCCCTGACCTTGTCCCTGGATTCTGTTTTGGATTCTCTGAAAAATCTGATCACCTGGCCCTGACCCTGGACCTCCTTTGACCAAGATACTCTGCCAAGCCTCAGTGAGAATTCTGTCAAGCAACCAAAGTTTTCTGGAACCAAGACAACCCACCTGGATATTAAGAAAGGTTAGTGGCTTATCAGTCTGAACCTAAAATCATCAATTTCAGCCACTAACCTGTTCTCTCCCCTCCAGAGGCTTTGGCTCCCCTGATCCTGAAAAACCTGCATTATTCCCTCAATAAATCTTTTAAAGTTATTTCCTGTTGTGTTCTGGTTGTTTCTGGGTCCTCAGTCTGAATCTTAACAGTGCAATCTGGCTAACAATGGACCCAACACCAGCACAACAGTGGCGAGCCGGTGTTGATAACTCTATCGCTCGGCTTGATGCAGGTATGACTGAAATCATTTCCATGTTGCGCAACTTGTCTGTTCCCAGCCATACCCAGACTTCTCCACAGCCTGTTGGTCCTCCTGCAGTTCCAGAAGCCACCACAAGAGAGCCAAATCTGTGTCCTCCTGAGGTTTTCAAGGGTGATGCTGATCAGTGCAGAGCTTTTCTTACTCAATGTGAAATTCACTTTGAACTGCAACCCTCATCATTTCCCACAGATCGGTCTAAGGTGGCTTATGTTATTTCTCTCCTCTCAGGTAAAGCCAAGCAGTGGGGCACAGCAGAGTGGCAGAATAAATCTCCTTGCACATTTTCCTATTCTGTTTTTGCCAAGGAACTGATCAGAGTTTTTGATCCTGTTCTCCCAGCCAGAGAAGCGGCCAGAGGCTTACTCTCACTCAAACAGGGGTCCAGGTCAGTCACGGCATACATAATAGATTTTCATCTTCTGGCAGCTGATAGTTCTTGGAACAATGAAGCACTTATGGATGTATTTTTGCAAGGTTTAAATGAGGACATTAAGGATGAGCTAGCTACTCGTGATTTCCCAAGTTCTTTGAAAGAGTTGGAGGATTTGGCTGCTCGTATAGACTTGCGGCTTTCAGAAAGACGAAGAGAGAGAAGCTATAAGGGGAAACAAGCTGTTTTTACCACTCAAGCCAAAGCAGACACCCAGTTAACAGCTGTTTCATCTCCTCCTACCAGTGAACCCGAACCCATGCAGTTGGGTAGACTCAGGATATCTGCTGAAGAACGCTTTCGTAGAAAGCAGCAGAATCTGTGTTTCTACTGTGGAGGAAGGGGTCACAGAGCCATTGGGTGCCCGTTAAAAGAACAAGCTCAGTAGAGGGAGAGGAGTTTCTACTGAGTCAAGGCCGGTCCTCAAGCTCCTCAAACACTCTTATGTTCCCTGCTAACCTTTTGGTGTCCTCTGCCTCTCATCAGGTCTCTGTGTTCATTGACTCTGGAGCCGACACAGAGTTTATGGATGAGTCTTTTGCCAAAAGACATAACATCAGACTCTTTCCTGCCCCTGCATCCCAGAACATTCTGGCCCTGGATGGGCACCACCTCAATCAGTCGCATCTGATGACAGAGAAGGTTGGCCTGGCTCTTGGAGGTAACCACAAGGAAGAGATTTCCTTCCTAGTCATCAAGTCTCCTTCCATTCCTGTCATTTTGGGAGCTTCATGGCTATGGAAGCATAACCCCCATATTGACTGGAGGGCTAAGGAGATTTTAGGCTGGTCAAGTTCTTGTTCTGCCTCATGTTTGTCTTCTGCTTTTACCCTCTCCACTCCCATTAACGAGATTGAAGAGACCTATCCTGACCTTTCCAAGGTTCCCCAAGTCTATCATGATTTAAAGGAGGTTTTCAATAAATCTCGAGCCACTGCTCTCCCTCCTCACAGGCCCTATGATTGTGCCATTGATTTGTTACCTGGAACATCCCCCCCTAGGGGGCGCCTTTATTCTTTGTCTGCCCCTGAGCACCAGGCCATGAAGAATTATGTAGAGGAGTCACTTAAGGCAGGTGTTATCCGTCCCTCCTCCTCCCCAGCCGGAGCTGGTTTTTTCTTTGTGGGCAAGAAGGACGGATCTTTACGACCATGCATAGACTATCGGGGTCTTAATGATATTACTGTCAAGAACCGGTACCCTCTTCCCTTAATGGACTCTGCATTTGGTCAGATTCAAGGTGCTAAGATCTTTACAAAACTAGATCTGAGAAATGCTTACCATCTTGTTTGTGTCCGAGAAGGAGATGAGTGGAAGACGGCGTTTAACACCCCCACTGGTCATTATGAATACCTTGTCATGCCTTTTGGCTTAACTAATGCTCCCGCAGTCTTCCAGGCCTTGGTTAACGATGTTCTTCGTGACATGGTGGGACAATTTGTTTTTGTATACCTGGATGATATTCTCATTTATTCACCAGACTTGGAGTCACACCATCGCCACGTCAGAGCTGTTCTCCTTCGCCTCCTCCAGAATCATCTGTTTGTGAAGGCTGAGAAATGTGAGTTTCACACTACCCACACCTCTTTTCTTGGTTTCATTATCTCTCCAAATAAAGTGATAATGGACCCTTCCAAGGTTTCTGCTGTTTCTGAATGGCCTACTCCCTCAGATCGTAAACAGTTGCAAAGGTTCCTTGGTTTTGCCAATTTTTACCGCCGTTTTATTCGTGATTACAGCAAGATTGCTGCTCCTCTTCATGCCCTGACGTCTGTAAAGATCAAGTTCTCCTGGAATGAGCAGGCTGAGAAGGCCTTCTCTCGTCTCAAGACTCTGTTCTCTACAGCCCCAGTTCTCCGGTCCCCTGATCCTCAAAGGCAGTTCATTGTTGAAGTTGATGCTTCAAGCACTGGGGTAGGTGCAATTCTCAGCCAACGTGCTTCCGACAATCGGCTTCACCCCTGTGCTTATTTCTCCAGATCTTTGTCCTGCGCTGAACGAAACTATGATGTTGGGGATCGAGAACTGCTAGCCATAAAACTGGCCCTTGAGGAGTGGCGACACTGGTTGGAGGGGGCCAAGGACCCGTTCATTGTCTGGACTGATCATAAAAACCTGGAGTACCTGAAATCTGCTAAGCGGCTAAATCCTAGACAAGCTAGGTGGGCTCTATTTTTTGGCCGTTTCAATTTTTCCTTATCTTACAGGCCCGGGACAAAGAACGTAAAACCAGATGCCCTTTCCAGGATTGAGGAGAGTTCCAAATCTGAGGTCAGTGGTCCCACAGATTTTATTCTTCCTGAGTCAGTCCGACTTGCAGCCACCAGATTGGAGTTGGAGAGAGAAGTTAGAGAAGCCAACCGAAGTCTTCCTACCCCTGAGTCATGTCCCAGGGATCGACTCTTTGTTCCCGAGAACCTGGTGGACAAGGTGATCAAGTTCTGTCACAACTCTCGCCTATATTGTCATCCTGGTATTGTCAAGACTCTGAAATTGGTTCAAACGCAGTTCTGGTGGCCATCTCTGATCAAAGATGTCAAGGACTTTGTCTCATCCTGCTCTCTGTGTTGCCAGGTCAAGCCGTCTCGGCGTCCCCCTTCTGGACTGTTGCGCCCACTCCCTATCCCACCACGTCCTTGGTCCCATCTCTCAATGGACTTTGTTACTGGGTTGCCTCCCTCTAATGGGTTTACTGTCATTCTTACTGTTGTTGACAGGTTTTCTAAGATGGTCCATCTCATCCCCCTGAAGAAACTCCCCTCAGCCAAGGAGATGGGAGAGATCTTGGCCAGGGAGGTGTTCCGCTTGCATGGGCTCCCCTCCAATATTGTCTCGGATCGAGGTCCCCAATTTGTCTCTCGTTTCTGGAGAGAGTTCTGCTCTCTGTTGGGCATCTCCATCAGCCTGTCCTCCGGCTTCCACCCACAAACAGATGGTCAAACTGAGAGGGCAAACCAAGAGATGGAAACCAAGCTCCGTGTCCTGTGTGGGTTGGATCCGTCAAAGTGGTCCCAGAGTCTGTCATGGGTTGAACACTCTATGAATTCTCTTCCCTCAAGTACCACTGGCCTCTCACCATTCTATGTTGTCTATGGTTTCCAGCCACCAGTTTTCTCGATCCAGGAGAGGGAGGCGATGGTCCCTTCTGCCCACACTGCTGCCTTGAGGTGCCAACGGATCTGGAGGAGAGCTAGACGGACCTTAATCAGGATGTCAGAGGTCCAGTCCAGAACAGCCAACCGTCGTGTCCCAGCCCCTGTCTATCAAGTTGGTCAAAGGGTCTGGCTGTCCACCAAGGACCTCCCACTCCGAATGGAATGTCGTAAGTTGGCACCCCGCTTTGTCGGCCCCTTTCCCATTTCTAAGGTGGTGAACCCAGTGGCCCTCCGGTTACAGTTGCCTCACTCCATGAAGATCCATCCCACCTTCCATGTGTCCCGGGTCAAGCCTTATGTTGGGTCTCGTTTTGAGCCCTCCTCCAGGCCCCCTCCACCCACCCGGTTCCTTGATGGGGATCCCATCTACACCGTACGACGTATCCTCCGTTCCAGGAGGAGGGGTCGTGGGGTCCATTACCTGGTGGATTGGGAGGGATACGGACCAGAAGAACGATCATGGATTCCAGCAAGGTTCATCATTGACGAGTCCCTCGTCCGGGAGTTCCATCGTCTGCACCCGGATCAACCTCGAGGTCCGTCAGGAGCCGGACCTTGAGGGAGGGGTACTGTTATGTTTCTGGCCTGTCAACTAGTTTTTTCATTCCCCTCCCCCTTCTGCTCTGTGCTGCCTCTGCTCAGCCTAATTGCCACTGATTCCTCTCACCTGTTTGCCAGCCTTCTTAAGCAGGCCTCTCTCTAGTTGACAGTGCCAGATTGCCTGAAAGCCTTGGCTAGTAAGCATCCAGCATTTTTCTGTCTGTCTACCTGATCCTGACCTTTTTCTGCCTCCTGATTTTTTGAGCCTGCCTAGCCCTTGTTGGATCTGTTTTCTGTGCCCTGACCTTGTCCCTGGATTCTGTTTTGGATTCTCTGAAAAATCTGATCACCTGACCCTGGACCTCCTTTGACCAAGATACTCTGCCAAGCCTCAGTGAGAATTCTGTCAAGCAACCAAAGTTTTCTGGAACCAAGACAACCCACCTGGATATTAAGAAAGGTTAGTGGCTTATCAGTCTGAACCTAAAATCATCAATTTCAGCCACTAACCTGTTCTCTCCCCTCCAGAGGCTTTGGCTCCCCTGATCCTGAAAAACCTGCATTATTCCCTCAATAAATCTTTTAAAGTTATTTCCTGTTGTGTTCTGGTTGTTTCTGGGTCCTCAGTCTGAATCTTAACAGGAAGGGGATCTACAGGAATAACAAATTCAGTTCATTTACTTACAATTACTTAGGAATTTGAGAGAACAAAACAAATCTGTGAATGTATCAGTGAACTGCAGCTTTGTGATCACAAACATTTTCCAGTTTTTTTACTTGTTCTACAACGCGGTTGTCCGCACTGTGTTGATTCAATTTCTGATTTTAAGGCCACATCATACGTTCAGATCCTTTTTACTATTTAAATAATTCAGTTGTGCTCTATAAGGGGAAGAAAAATGCTTTAGTGTGAATTTGTTTATTAATGAAGCCCCTCAGCCTTTAATTTGTGTGATTTTCTAAAGTCCACCTCTCAACTGTTTTGCTAGTGGTCTCTTTAAATCCAGAAGACCTGTTTCATTCCCCTATCGATCCAATCTCATCTATGTTTAGTGCTTTCCATTCCAACACATTTAGCTATACATGTAGTCCAGTAGCTGACATATAATAGCCCGAAAAAGTTAGTTATAGACTCAAGCAGCAATAATATTAAAAGCTAAATTCAACTTTTGGGGATATTTAGAGACTCAGAGTAGACAATAAATGTATTTAAAAGCAAAACAAGGGAGCATTATATGAATGATAATTACTCTTTAAAGGAGAGGTATTTATCTTAAACTTACCATTAAATCTAATATTTCCCCAGCCAGTAACCCATGATTTAACCCCACTGTGGAAAGTGCTATTTGAGGCCGCCAGGCAGACCGGAAAGATGTAACTGGTGAAATTCACTGGTAAAGACAGTTTCAGGAGGGCAATGTCATTTTCAAAGAGTCCAAAGTCCGGATGAAGAATAAACTTTGATACTGTCCGGGAGATTTCATTTGGGTTGGATCCATTCTGAACCTGACGACCCAGATACACTGTTATAATAGCAGGGTTGAACCTATAAGGCAGACGGAAAAAACAATTACTTGTTTTTTGAATAGATATAACATTTCCCTGGTACTGCAATTTGAGTTAATCTGATTTCATATTCTGAGTATAAATGACTTCTGTGATTTGTGTTTTGCATTTTCTATATATTTTGTCTTTTTGCATCATATCATCATCCCATAAAGTAAAACATTTCCATGCTCTTTTTGCAAACGTTTTTGCTCTTTTTTAAAGTTTCTTACTTGAAAAAGTTATAACTGTTTAGCGTTTTAAATACATTTCATTTAGCTAGAGTCAGGGCAATAATACAGTGTTTGGTTGCAGAGCTCTGAACTAATGAAAGCAGGACATCATCTTTATAGGCTTTTTAGCCAGCTTTTGCTACCTGTGTGAAATACTGCTATGTCAGCCTATGGGTAGGTTGGACCTTTACCTTTCTTCTAATGCTAAATGCTGATATGGTATACCTGAAACTCTGGTAGGCCTCTGGCTTGTTGATGGTTAATTAAACTAATGCACAATAAGATCAAGGGACAAAATTGCATCTCATTCTGTGACAGTTCAGTTCAGTTCATTATGTTTAATTTTATTTTATGTTTTCTATTTGCCCAATGGCTTGAATTAAAATGTCTTGTCAATTGGTCACTTAGCTGAGAATGAGTGAATGCCTCCCCAGGTTAGTTCATTTTTTTCTTAGTTTTTGCAATTAAACACTAACTGCAAGAACAACTACATTTGAAAAAAATAAAAACACACTCAACAAACTTAACACTCAACAAAAATATAGTATAAATGCAACACTTCTGGTTTTGCTTTCATTTTTTATGAGATGAACTGAAATACAAAATTTTTTCCACACACACAATATAACCATTTCCCTTAAACATTGCTCACACACAAGTGTAAATCTATGAAAGTGAGCACTTCTCCTTGCTGAGATAATCCATCCCACCTCATGGTTGTGCAATATCGAGATGTAACCAGTCTGTATCTGATGTGATGACCTTTTGCCTCACACAGTGTAACACATCTGCTTCTCATAGAGTTGATCAGGTTGTCGATTGTAGCCAACAGAATGTTGGTCCACTCCTCTTCAATGGCTGTGCAAAGTCGCTGTATATTGGCAGGAACTGGTGTAATATACAAATATCCCGAGCATCCCAAACATGCTCAATGAGTGACATGTCCGGTTAGAATGCCGGCCATGCAGGAATTGGGGCGTTTTCAACTTTCAAGAATTGTGTATAGATTATTGCACCATGGGGCCAGTGCATTATCCTGCTGCAACATGAGTTGATGTTCTTGGATGTTTGGAACAACAATGGGCCACAGGATCTCTTGACGGTATTTCTGTGCATTCAATATTCCATTAATAAAATACACCCTTTTTCTTTGTCCATTCTATAAACCCACACCGCCACCATGGGCCACTCAATCCACAACATTGACACAAGAAAACCGCTCCCACATGACCATGCCATCTGGCCTGAACAGTATAAACCGAGATTCATCCATGAGGAGAACACCTTTCCAACATGCCAGATGCCAGCGAATGTGAGCATTTGTCCATTCAAGTCATTTACTGTATGACAACGAACTGGAATCAGGTGGGGACCCCAATGACGGCAATGAGCATGCAGATAAACTTTCCTAATACGGTTTCGTACAGTTTTTGAAGCAATTCTTTGGTTATGTAAATCAATTGTTTCAACACCTGTCCAAGTGGCTGGTCTCAGATGATCTTGGAGGTGAACATGCTGGATGTGGAGATCCTGGGCAGGTGTGGTTACATGTGGTCTGCGGGCTGAAACGCCTTTGGAGATGGCATATGCTGGAGAAATTAACATTAAATACACAAGCAACAGCTCTGGTACACATTCCTGCTGTCAGCATGCCAATTGCATGCCCCCTCAAATCTTGCAACATCTGTGGCATTGTGCTGTGTGATAAAACTGCAACTTTTAGAGTGGCGTTTTATTGTGGGCAGTCTAAGGTGCACCTCTGCACTAATCATGGTGTCTAATCAGCATCTTAATATGGTACACCTGTGAGGTGGGATCAATTATCTCAGCAAAGGAGCAATGTTCACTATTACAGATTTTGACTGGATTGTGAACAATATTTGAGGGAAATTGTTATATTGTGTACAGTATTTGGAAAAAGTTTTAGATCTTTGAGTTCATCTCATAAGAAAAGGGAGCAAAGCCAAAAGTGTTGCGTTTATTATTTGTTGAGTGTATTTGGATAAATTTAGAGATAGACAAGGATTCATGTATATCATGCATATCCTAATGGCTTACCCGGAGAGGCAGTGAGCAGCAGTTAGCACCCACTGTTCATTGATCAGAGATCCTCCACAAATGTGGGTATTGATGTGCAGGCTGACCTGCCAGGGCCAGCTGCCAGGAGAAACGTCTTCTCCTCCAACAATCTTGGTGTTGAGTGGTGCCAAACCGCACTCTAACAAAACATGCAGAAATTAAAGCGGTGATATGTCAGTTCCAGGTGCTCCCAGAAAAAACAAACAAAAAAGTACAATTTTTTATTTTAAACTCTAAGTTGTGTTAACCTGAAATCAGGGAAAGTCTTGAGTTTTTTGTTTATCAAAGATAGTTTCCACCACCATCTGTTGCCGTGGTAACATTATACCCAGCGCTACACTGGTCAGGAGCAGGTTTTCTTCAGTCAACTCAGTGTGTTTTGTCTCTGCCCTACTTAGAGCGTATTACATTGTTTTATTTCCTGATTCAGTCAAGATTCTTTGTCATAGTTTTGTGCATGAAATAAAAAAAAAACAATAATTCACTTGGTCCGTTAAGACACATTAGGTTTTAAAAACAAGCATTACTTGTTCTTTTGACGAGAATCTCATTAAAGACTGATGGACACTTTTTCACAGAGAACTTAATATTACAGGGGGATGTTTTTACAACTCAGTTGACAGGATATGAGATGCATTTTTTTTTTGCTTTTTTAATTTGAGTGAAATGTGGATATTTTTTACAGTACATGTAGAACTACTGAAATTATTTCTAGATTATACATAATTAGGTGAAACAAGTCAACGGGAATTTTTTTTATTGCTTTAGGGTTAGTCATTCACTGATACTAACCTACTGAGCCTACAGGGATGTAGGGTAAGGGTTAGGGCAAAATCTGAAGCCATTCTATTAGGCAGATAACCGTTAATATTAACCATTTGTTGGGATAACATCGAAAGCAGCTGCAAACTGCCACTTGAGATTTACTGTGTATTCTAAAATAAAATGAGAAGGATCCCCAAGAGATGATGCACAGGTCCTGCATGTTACAATGTTTTATACTCGATCTTCACCTACTGTCAGGGGATTTGACCTATAAAGAATGAATTGATCCACTACCATTCAAGAAATAAAGTAGTTTTTCTCCACGTTATTGTGGTTGCAACAGGCAATATTGATATGTATTATTTTGACTGAAAATTTATTTCTGATATCTGAAGAAAAAGTTTTTTTTCTAGTCAACATTCACATTAGAATAAACATTCCGGATTTCCCAAAATTATTTTCAGATCTACATATTCCTATTGGTACAGGTCATCGTTATTATTATTGGGACTATGAATAAATGTATTTCAGATATGTCAGGGTGCTTGCTTTCTCTCCTCCTCATGCAGGTGGCTGCTGATGAATGGGGAGGTGCTGAGCACAGGTGTTCTGCGTTTGTGGCTGCCGGGATAGCTTAAGGCTGATTTATACTTCAAAACTAGGTCATCTGCATAGGTGTCGCAGTGAACTCAAAGACGTCCCTGCCCCCACCGCAGACACTCTGCTGCAGCTCTCCCTAAATGTAGCTGAACGCAGACAGTGCCACAGACAGGAGGCCGGCTTTTTTTGTTTTTATGACCGCAGTTGCGAAAAACAACTTGTGACAATGGACCAGCTAGAAGAGCAAGGTGCGCGGGGGGACCCTTTTTCCACCTGGATCCCTGCTCTTTTTTGCCGTCATGTCCCCCCGTTGTCGGACAAACTTGCCCCCACTTCTTCTGCCCTATACGCGGGGGGTCTAGATGCTTGCGAACCTTCGGCCACAGCAATCCCGCTCCCTTGATAAACGACCAATCACATTTGCTTTATGCACTCGTGTAAAGTCGGGCCACACTCGGAAGAATTTGGAACTGCAGTTTAAAAATGTCAAAACGGCCATTTATAATGTGTGAACATGTCTAGGTGTATGAAACTCAAATAAACTAACATCGAGCAGGGTTTTTGAAACAAAACAGCTTCTAGCCTAAGGTTCGATCAATTCAGAATTGAGGATTTTATTCTGAGATTTTTAAACCTGCTTTGTAAAACAGACCCCTGTTGTTTTGGTTTTGCTTTTTCTTTCAGATCATGACAACCGGTATATAGAATTGTCAATAGGATTGCAAACAAACTAATATAGCAGATCATATTCTTAAAATATATGTAAAAAAGTAAAGTGGTGTTTCAAAAATGCTAACATAGTGAGGCTTTTTTGCTATGCTATGCTCTTCTGAGCTTTAAAATACTGATAGAGCTCAAGGCTTTGCTTCTGACTGACTCTTAGCAGAGTAACACAGCATCAGTGTAACACTAATTTAATCTAGCTGCATGGACATGATTCCAAAGAATCATTAATTAATCAAAAATTAATTAAAGTGTCCTGATATTATGAATATGATATTGTGAATCACAAAATAGCAGATATATTTTTACTTACCAGATAGGTATGTCACATCCTCTGAAAAATAAAAGTGAAAATGTTAGAAATTGAAAATTAAGTAATATTTACAATAACAGTCCTGTTTAGACAGTTGAGGTTTTGTAGTTTGAGTTAACTTAAAATCATTAATCAAGGAGCAATAAGCTGTGTCATACTTCACAGGTCTGAAGTGAAATCCAAGGACACACAATTTAAATCTGAACTGCAACTCTTAAATATTATATCCTGATTATATAGTTAAATATATTGTAACAGACTATCAATGGATGATACTCCGTGTATTTGGGCTGCATCTATAAAGACTGCCGGCATTTAGCATCATATCCTAAAAGGGGTATATCATTTCGCTGTTCCGTAGACTTTCCGTTTCCAGTGTTGTGCAATTTCACCAGAAGATTAGGAATAAATGAATCAACTACAACTGGAAGTTATAGCTATTAGGTCATTCAAATCGAAGGTAAACCAAATTAATTAATATTAGTTGAAGGATTATAAACGTAATTTGCTTATTCACCAGGGCTCTTAATCTTTTATATTAAGGTTGGACTCCTGGATTGGCTGGTACAATCCAGTTACCTTCACCAGTTTAGTAATTTAGACTATGGCTATTATTTTTCATTAATCAATAACCAAAGAATTGTTGTCTTTTTTCATTCAGGTGTTACTCAAAGGAAAGAGGATCAGACCTTAGTGATAAATCATTCACTGCAAAAATAACGGCAAAAGGCAGCAGGTTAAAATACAATAGTACCTTATTAGCTAATAATCACACAGTAGTATTGTATCTTATAACTATGCAAACATTAAACACTTCTGAAAATAAGCACAAGTAAATAAAAGCAAACAAAAAGGGGGATACAGGTTTTAAGAGTCTGTTCAAGAGTCTCTGAGGTATGTTCACGTTTTTGTTAATGCATTAATACCAAATGATAAATGTGAATAGAATAGAATAGCAGCAGATAAATGTTAACAGAATAGAATAGAATAGAAAATGCCTTTACTGTCAAATAGGGAAATTCTCCTGTTTACAGCAGCAAAAAAAATTACAGAAAAAAATGGTTACACAAGTGTAGACCTTAGAAAAGTGTATAAGAATAATATAATGGTGAAGAGTTAAAAAAATAAATAAAATATTGGGCTGTAAGGTGTTTTAACAATATAAAAAACTGTGTATCTGGAGAATAAGGAACCAATATACAGCTATGGACATTTTTACAGTAACAGCAGCAACATCAGAGAAGTGCAAATAACAGCAAAATCTTATTTAACACTAAGGTAAAAACTGTGTAAAATCCCTGACGCAGAGACATTAAATGCAACCAAACAAGGGTTCACCCAGTTTTACAGTGGAAAAATAATGACCCAGGAATGCATTAAGATATAGTGATGCTGGAATGAATGGGTTATTTCAGCTGCACAGGATATCCAGGTCTGGGGTGGGGCAGATACAAAAAGTGATAAAAGGCTCACATGTCACTAGCTGGTCCGACCGTTGTAGCCTAACTCTTCGAACAAATGGAAAAAGAGGATTTGAGCAGACAATAACACACAACAGGGATCACTCAGTCAGGCTCAGTGAAAATTAGCATTCAGTTCAGAGCTCTTAAAAACCATCATCAGTTGAATCAGAAAGCTTCTTTAGAAAAATAATAAAAACATATGTAAAATATATATTGTGCCTATCTTTCTCCCAAGATTAAGCATGAGATGAAGGATGAGAAACAATGTTTACTTCATGGCTCAGTGGAATGGATGGGACAGTCACAGCGGATTGTTTCTGGTTCAAATTGGTCCCTTTGATTCAAGGGGGAGAAATCTGCTAAGATTTGACCCATGAACACATTTTGCTCATCCAACAGGCAGCTCTCGAAGATACTTAAAGGGGTTGTAGTGGCTACAATGAAGCCTTCAGCTAAAAATGGGTGTGCCTCGTCTAACAGGACCAGTAGGCCACCGGCTAAAGAGACTGTTTGGATGGGGTCAGCTGCTTAGGGTTAACTCTGTTGCAGGGATGTGGGGGTCAGGGGGGATCGCTCCTGCTTACATCATTGACATTTGATCCACAGCTCTAGAAACTGACAGGATATACTTTCAGAAAAATATCTCATTTGTAAACATACTGTATGATACAAGTTATAATTCTGTCAGAAATGGAATTTGAATTTCCCTGAATGAATCCGTATTCATATCATTTGAAATTTAATACATTAGTTTCTAAAAGAATGTCTTTAAATTGGAAATAAATGTATAGGTTGGAAACTCAATTTCCTTTGATGATGTATTTTTTGCACTAAAAATTATATTACCTTGCCGTTCTATAATTTCATTTCAATTTAAAAAATGCTCTTTCCTACTCTCAATCCAACTACTCCAATTGTAACCACTCCTTCCCGTTTCTGGTGGTTCTTCACTTTTTTGCAGAGTCAACAGTAAGGACACTATCATGGTTAGGAAAGGAACCCTGGATTGCTGTACTATATCCGGACAAACTTTAGCCTTACAGACATCATTACATGGTGGAAACACACAAATGATGATGACAAACTGGGACTACAGCCTTCTGAAAAAGAACTGGAAAAAACACAAGTTGCACAAATAAAAAGAACAATTGAATATAATTCATATCTAAACGAACAGATTTGATTTCAAATTTGATGATTAAATAGATGAGAAAGTGATACAATTATGTTTATTTTTGCATTTATGTAATTATGTTTAAACAGTTATACTTGTTTTTTTGTGTGTTTTGGTTTTTGTTTTTTACTTTAAAACAGGTAATCACCATTAGGTTGATTTGTTGTCTGGGTTGTACAGGAAACGCTGAGGTCACTGTCTGTCCCGTTGGACATGAAGGTAATGAAGCCTGGCTGGTTGATGCTGATCACACTTTTGATCCAGCTCTCATAATTCGATACTCTGGTGTAGACGCCTGGGGAATCTGGCTCAGCACATCCTGATCCAAAACTTACAATTCCTGCTTGAATCCAGTGTTCACCCTGCTTGACTACCATCGGACTTCCGGAATCCCCCTTAAATGTTGGAAAACGTTTTTTGATTAAATGACAACTTTTGTCATGCAGACATTAACAATCTGATGTACTCAGACGATCACCTGACAGGAATCCTTCCCTCCCTCCTGTAAACCAGCGCATATCATGTTTTCAGTGATGGTGCTCTCTCCATAGCTGCACTTGCACTGTCTGTTCCCCACAACCGGTACCTTTACCTCCATCAGGTTTTGAGGAGAAGGAAGAGGGACTGAGGAGAAAAATCCAGATTTAATAAACAAATTTTTTCACCTGTTGGGAGTTAAACATTAGATTCTCTCTTCGGTTCTCTCTATATTGTTGGTTTTCCACCCACCTCCACTTTCAATGTTTCCCCAGCCAGTTATCCATGAGTGAACTCCGGTGTAGAAGGTGCTGTTTTGGGTAGCTAGGCAGACTGGTAAGATAAAGCTGGTGAAACTTACTGGTTCAGACAGCTTTAGTAGTGCAATATCGTTGGTTAAGGTTGCAACATTAAAATCAGGGTGAATGGAGATCAGTGATACTGTCCGATTGACTTCATTTGGGTTGGATCCCTCCTGACTCTGACGACCCAGATATACTGTTATTAAAGATGATGACCTATCAGGAAATCAGAAAAAAGTAGAAATTAACAAGCAATTGGTAGATAGGGGACAGGTTTTGATCGACCAACTGACTGACCAACCTGCCTCACTCCCATTTTAAGAGCCGATCAGTTATTTGGCTGTGAAGTTAGGTGTTTCCAGTGTAATTACTTACTGACTGACACAGTGAGCAGCAGTTAGGACCCACTGGTCATTAATCAGAGATCCTCCACAGAAGTGTCCAGATCTGTGCAGACTGACCTGCCAGGGCCAGCTGCCTGCAGGAGCTGTCTCTCCTCCCACAATCCTAGTGTTAAGTAATGGTTTACCACATACTAAGAAAAAAAGGAGAATTACTTTTTAATCTTACTGCTGTATAAGCCACCAGTTACAACAGCAACAGTAGGTTTGACTTACCCATGAGCTGGCAGTCACACTCTGAAAAATTAAGACAAAATGTTTAATTTTCCTTATGCTACAACCTTTTGCAAAATGAAAGAAATAACTACTGATTAAAGCATATAGGATGTGTAGCACTCATATACGAATACAGTTTCTTGCTATTAATGAAATGGTTTTATGAAAGCAACAGACTTCCTTATCCTTATTCCTTAGTGCTATTCCAATTCACAAGAACACAAAACTGAGAACGGCTGACCGAGAACACCAGATGTTGTTGTTGCCCCTCCCCACTTTACCAAATGGGCATCAGAGCAGACTTGCCCGTTCTTGAGATTGACAGCTGTCCCATCAGGCAATGCGGCAGCAGCAGCTTCCAGGGAAGCGCACACAGAGTATTAAGTTAAATGTTCTCTTTTCTGTTGCTGTTGTTCTATAAAAGTAAGTTCTGAAATCGTTTCAGGTTAGAACATTTTACTTTTAAGCATCACTATATGGCCCAATTACTAATTTAGTGCACAATTAAAAAAAAAAGTTCAGATGTTGAGATAAGGTGACAAGATTTCTGAAATAAAATCTGGGGACATTTCCAGCTCATTGATAAAAAAAAAAAAAAAAAGGAGACATTTTATCAAATAAAGAAACGGGGACAGTAACGGTTTAATTTATTTTATTTTTTTTTTTACAAGTGTACTAATATTTAAACAACAAAAACCAAGAGTGAAAACCAGGAATAAGCCTCTTAACACTAGTATTATTTTCTTAAGATTAAAAAAATGAATAAATCGATAGTGTTTTTATAGAAAACTAGAACTCTCTCTGTTGGGAGTGAGAGTGAAGGGGTCAAAGGTGGTTAGCAGGGCTTTCAGATTTTTGGGGCCTAAAGAGCTCTGCCTCCCCCTAAGGGGAGAGTGACATGAGGAAAAGAAAAAAGTAAATAGTTTTCTCCTTTTTCAGCATTTTACTGTCATTACACTGTCACAAGTACAGAGCAACAAAATTTTGCCTTACTATATAGCCTACTTCATCCTTATGAGGCACTCTCATTTTTATTCCAATTTAGGCATTTGGTTCATTTTTAAAGATTTTTATTAGAAAATAATAATATTTCTTCAATAACTTCCAGATAGTGTGACAGACCGACTCCAAATCTCTGTCAAATGGTTCTACTACTGAAATGCTACTCTCACTTTAAGTGATTTTCATCTGCCCCATAACAGGTTTTGTAAGTTGGTCTTGTAAAACCGGATTTGTAACTTGCCAAGCAATGTAAGTGTTTTTTCCATGGACAAAAAGTGTTCTGCTGGTTTATTTGTACAGACATACTGATATCTGAAACGAAAAAAAGTAAAAGGCTGTTTAAAAAAAAATTTTTTTGAAAAATAAACAGAAAAGCTGAATATCTTTTGATATTCATTTGATGCATAAAATCTACCTAGAAATGATGCCTGTTATTTAGGAAGAACTCTACCCTATTTGAAATTTGTCACAAAGGTTTTTAAGGGTTTTTTTTGTTATTTCTTACAGTGTTGGATTGGTCTTTGGATGGACTTCCCTAGCATAAGCTGTAAGAAAACATATTTAAAGATGGCGAGATTCACATGAGAAAGAGCAGCAATTTGATACGACAAGGCTTTATTTGAATAATAAATCAATCATTGTTTGTTGCTTTCATCCTACACCGGTGTTCACATTTCTGCTATGAAATTGTAAATTTGTCTGTCTGAAAAACAAAGTGAATATTTTTCAGAATAGTGGTATATTTCAGATAGAATTTATGCCTAAACAAAAAAGGCCTTCACACTAATATAACAATGAAAAGATGTTTCAATACAGATATATGTAAATCTTCTTGAGTTTAAAAAAAAAAGTCTTCAGGGACAAATCACTCATTGTTTTTTCTACCACTTTGCATTCATCATAATCAATGGAAACGTAAAAGAAAATAGAAAAAAAAGTTAATATTCAAGTGATTTATAGATAAATATGTTACTGCCTTAAAAATGTATTGCATTTCATTTTTTGCAGTTATACTGTAGATCTACAAAACATTTGAAATGCACAAAAAGACAGCTTAAAAAAGAGAAAAATATTGCGCCTCGTCAGTTCAACTGCTTACCAGTTTGTAGGAATAGTAATCTTTACAATTGTTAGAAAGGAAAAGTGAAACATTTTGTATTACTTTCTGATTGTGGTTCTAATCCAATTTTGGATCAGTAAGCTCTGATGAAATTTGATTATGATCCTTAATAAAAAAAGTGATTTTGAGAGTCCTGCAGGCAGTTACTATGAGTACTGAATCATGGGTAAAGTGGGTAAGAAATGCCTTAAAATTGATGCTGGTTTGGTATGAAATCTTCTGTGTCAGATGGCTCCTTTTTTATGAAGTGACCGAAAAAAGAAAGAGAAAGCAAAGGGTTGAAATAACCATCACCTTGCATTAGCAAATTAACTGGAATAGTTGATAGTTATTTGTGAAAAAGAAAAGCAATCTACTAGAAAGAAATTTGTTCTGGTTCTGCATAATATGGATGAAAAATAACTATTGTTACATTACAATTAGACAAGAACCCCCCCCCCCCCCCCCCCCCCCCCCCCAAAAAAAAAAAAAAAAAAAAAAACACTTCAGCAAATAATTGCAGAAGACAGCTTCATTTAGTCATTTTTATCTGCAGGGGTTCTTACTGTACCTTTCATCAGCAGACCCAGTCCAGCTGCCATACAGATCAGCTGGTTGAAGGCCATCATGGAATGTGTCTTCCAGTCCTTTGCCTCTGGTTTAAATAGCCAACATACAGCTTGTTATTACACCCACAAAGAGCAACTTGCTCTGCTACATTCCAACTCCTGTTTTAGTATTCTGTACTGCTTATGAATTGTTTTGTCTTATAGGATATACAGTTTGTTAAGATGTTATAATGTAATATGTTAACATAATTATTGTATAACATGAACATATATAATAACTTTGTTAACAAAGCTTGCTTTCTCCCTTATTGAAAACATGTCTTTGTCTCATACAATATGTGTAGACACTTTCTAGCTTCATCTTCAAAGCTTTATCTTTGAACTTGTGAATTCACAGTGTTAAAAACAAACCAAACAAATTGCATTTAAATTTAGTTAAAATATGATTTAAATTATATTCATTTATTTGATGTAATTATATTTTTCAGAAGGTCAACAATCCTTTACTCTGTCAAATAAAGATCTGAAAAAGCTTGAAAGTTAAAACAAGAAATGAGCATGTCAACAACTGAACACTCACTCAAAAATGATGTAGTTGGTGAATAAGATTTATTTATATATCTAATAAATATGCAATGAACTACTCTGCAGAAAAAAGCATGGTGCTTAAGTAGGATAGTCCTTCCCATTGAACCGTTTTACAGATAAAACTAAGCTGTAGGAATGTAGTGTAACGTTGATATGCCTGACTATGGAATCTCAAACATCTGCAGACAGTTGCCATTGAGTCCACAAACACAGTGTAGGTAAATATGGAGTTAATTATACAGGGGTCTCCTTTTGGACATCTACAGTAAGCCCTGAAATTAAGTGTCTCTTTTAGCATCTAATCTACTAAACAACTGCTCTTTTTGACATGATTGTGGATTAAGATTATTATTAAGATTATTATTTCTATTATTATGATTGGAAAATTAGTAGAGCATGAAATCCAATGCGGGGTCTCATTTGCTGGGTTTGGTCAGGTAGGTGAGCTCATTTGTAGAAGATCTTGGAAGGAAGCCTTTGGGAGGAGCGGAAAGCATGGCTTAGTGAGGACCAGGTAGATGGCAAGGGAGACGTAACCGGGAACCAGCCTTCAGCAGGAGGTAAACACTGGAATTAGGAAACCATCTGTCATCTGCCTTAAGGAAGGCCAAACAACAAAGGAGCATTTTACCATTTTCAGACACTAGTAACTGATGAACTGTTTGATCCATGGGCAAAATGTTATGCTTATCAATACTTCTTGTTCTCAAAGCAGATGCTAGAAGATGTTACATCAGCTGAAAATTCCATTTCTGATTTATTTTTGCCTGCTCAATGAGGCTGTACTGCAATCAAAGCACTGGCTCTGATCTCAAAACTGTCACACAGAAAGTTCCAGACACTGAAGCCTTGAAGACTGCCGAACTGGATGATGAGTAGATCCAGGCAGACGAAGGAAGGCAGGACTATCCAGAAGGCAAAGTCAAAGCGGGTGTTGAAGAGTTTCACTGAAGTCCAAGCCAGAAGATCAGAGATACGAGGAGGCACCGAAGGAAAATCCAGGTCAAAGTCAGGAAGCAGATCCAGGTTCAGTCCACAAGTGGAATCCAGCAGGTGTCCGAAGACAGGTCAGGCAAAAAGATCAGAACAGGGACAGGCAGGCTCAGAGGTTCAAAAGCAGAATGGGTCAGGATCAGGCAATCAGAACACAAGCAGGTATGCTAAAGAGCTTTCACCCAAGGCACGAGAATAATCTGGCACTGATGACTGGCAAGTCATCAGTGCCAGCAGCTTAAATAGAGGCAGAAGCAGATAACTCAAATGAACAGAGATGATAAGGGAGCAGGATTAGACAGGTGAATGAAATAAGTAACTAAGCCAGTAATCAGTGTGAAGATCATGTCCCAAAAAACAGCTCATGTCTTTTCTGGGTATGATATCATATGCAAGAATTTCTTTCCTAACTACTCCTGCATATAAGTCCTAGGATCAGGGTTACAAACATGTGGAATAATCCATGGCTGATGGTTGAACATAAAGACTCAAATCACATTCACAAAATTGTATGCGCTAAACTCCCTGGCAAGAAACCAAAGAGAGTTTTTAAGATTCAATTTGTAGCTCTGTCTGCAACACCTGACTGTTCCTGATGAAACTGATAGTTTTGTTTCTTATGACACTGATGGTTTTGTTTCTCAAGTCACTGACAGCTTTCTCCGTAGTGCAGCCATACTTGACTTACTGGTAATGTATTTGAACCTTTCTTTATCAGATTTACTCATGCAAACTGGTTTAGCAAAATATAATTCATGGTTAGGATTACATTGACTTCAAGAAAAAAAACAACAGTACAGATTGCATTTCATGTTTCCCAGGCCAAAGCTCATCAAAAGTACTTCAACTACCCGATCCTGGATTTTATTTTTATTTTAGTTTTGCACATGCTAGCAACACCAGTATTCCGCATATTTTACTCCTCAAACAGGTAACTACACCTGTCTGACCAGAATAAATGTTACCTTTTTAGGTCAGATGACTATCTTTGTCCTCCTCACGTTAAATCCCACAAAAAAAAAAAAAAATGCCAAGAGATACAAGAAGTATCTATTAGCGCCAATTCACATCACTTCATCTCAAGGCACTTTACAGTTCACCAGATCGTACAGTCAAATTGATCAAAGTTCTCTATTGAAGGAAAACCAGTTGATTAAATTCGACTCATTGACTCGAATGCAATCCCTCACGCTAAGCATGCTTGTAGCGACAGTGGAGAGAAAAAACTACCTTTTTACAGGAAGAAAGCTCTAGCAGAACCAGGCTCAGTGTGAGCAGCTACCTGCCAAGGTCGACTGGGGTTCAAGCAGACAGAAGCAGAGATACAAAAAGCAACTGTAAAAGGCAGCCCTGTCCAGGAACAACACAGCCAGGCAGACGAGCTCCAAGCCAGCTCCCATGTCAGAGGATGAAGAGAGCACATCCAACCAGTCACAGTCAGAGAAACATGACTACACTGAAAAACAGGCCAATCTCCAACACCTATAAATAAGGGTGTTGTTGGCAGCAGCACAGCTGATATTTCTCTCCAGGATGGTGTCACAGCCAAACAGAAACATATGAGGCAAAGCTACTATGTGAAAAAGCAGAGAGAGCATAATGTTAGACATTGAATTAACAGATTCTGCAGAGTGGGGAAATAGAGATAGATGAAGCAGAATGATGAAGTGGGGGTCCCTATGTTCTCCAGAAGTCTAAGCCTATAGCAGCATAACAATAGAGATAGCTTAGGATAACGTGAGCCACTCTAACTATAAGCTTTATCAAAAAGGAAAGTTTTAAGTCTAGCCTTAAAAGTAGACAGGGTGTCTGCATCACAGACTATAACTGGTAGTTTGTTCAACAGGAGTGGAACCTCATAACTAAAAGATCTGCCTCCTATTCTACTTTTAGAAATTCTAGGAACCACTAGTAAACCTGCAGATTGAGAGCGAAGTGCTCTGTTAGGAATATAAGGAACAATCAGATCTCTGATATAAGATGGAGCTTGGCCATTTAAGGCTTTATATGTGAGAAGGAGGATTTTAAATTCTATTCTTGATTTAACAGGAAGCCAATGAAGAGAAGCCAGGATAGGAGAGATATGATCTCTCTTTTTAATTTTCATCAGAACTCTGGCTGCAGCATTTTGGATCAGCTGAAGGCTTTTAACTACAGTTTGCGGACTTCCTGATAGTAAAGAATTACAAAAGTGCAGCCTTGAAGTAACAAATACATGGACTAGTTTCTCAGCATCAACCCTAGACAGGATATTTCTAATTTTTCCATATTCGGCAGATGAAAGAAGGACATTCTAGAAACCTCTTTGATATGGGATTTAAATGACAGGTCCTCATCAAAAACAACACCAAGAAATGGTGCTCTGGTCCAAAGACTATACCTTCTGTTTTGTCTGCATTTTGAAGCAGAAAGTTAAGAGTCATCCAGGTTTTTATGACTTCGAGACATGTCTGTAATCTATGTAATGGGTTAGCTTCATCTGGATTTATTGACAGTTTGACCCGCTAGAAGAGTGAGGTGTGCGAGAACGCTGGGACCCTTTTTCCACCTATATCTCCGCCCTTTTTGGCCCTCATGTCCTTCCGTCGTCGGACTAAACTCGCCCCCACTTCCTCGCCTCCTCGGCTGTATCTAGACCCACCGCAGCACGGGAGGGAGAATTACGCCCAGGAGCAAATGGATAAAAATGGACCGGAGGGAAAAAAAAAACATGAATCGATTCTCTTGGGGACGTGTCAATGCATCGGATAGTCGGCTGTTGGGTTGATGCATCGATACAAAACGATTATTTTTTTACACCCCTAGCACCTGTCCCACAGTGCCTCGCACTGCTTAATCAGTTGTAGCAGAGGGCTTATACTCCTAGCTCAACTTCGCAGTGATTGCATGGGGCTCGGATACCGGTGTACGGTTTGTGTGAGGAGCTGGGTGAAAACAACGCCTGGATGTATGGAGCCATTTCGTTTACAATTTCGTTTTCCGAAAGCCTTTGGATACCCTTGTAGAAGCAGAAAAATGCTCTCTATACATCACTCTTAATGTAGGCTACCAGTATTACTGTCAGACAGAAAGTGAAAATTCCTAATTTAGACCATTTGGTAACAATGTCTGTAAATTAAAGATCCAGAATGCTTCCCTTCTTCTTAGAAGCAAGTCTTGGTCTCTGCACCTAGGAGGCAACAACACCTGTTTGACTCCCACAGAAGAGGAGTGAGGCCATTTCATGTGTCATTTCTTTAGTTGTTGGTGTCGCCAGTTATGAGTCTTCTGTAGTTGGTTATGCTTTTTTGTGGTGAAAATTAGCATGGATCTTGTGATCTTTTCAGATTTGTCCTGTTTTATAAACAAATAAAGGCAGATCTTTTAAAGATGGAAATGATCTCTGGATCAGATTTTAATATATTCCATTATTTAACAGCATAACTATGAGGAGAGTAAGTCATGACTCATCCAACTGTTTTCCTTTTCTCTGGCTGTTGTTTAAGAGATCATCATCAGATCTGATGTGTACGTTTTGTCTACTAAATTCCGGGGATAGCCTCATTTGGGGAATTTTCATTTGATTTGAGAAAAATTTTCCAAACATTCAACTTAATTTGATAACATTTTCTGTAGGCTGACAGGAAAGGGGGTATGAGAGAGTAGAAGAGAGATATGGAAAAGGATCACAGGTCAGAGTCAAACCCCAGTCGGCCAGGTCGAGGACTAAGGCCTACATACTGTTAACTGGATTGGACCGGGCATTGGAACTGAGCTGTGAGCTTCGGGGCTGGTCCTGGAACCCCGCCAGTGACACGACCCAGTGACCGTAGCCTGGACACCGATAGCCCCGTGCTTCCCTCCGCCTGCCTTACCGTGGGCACGGAGCTGCCGGCGTACAGGCTACCGTCACTGGGTCGGGCTTGGTCGCTCTGTCCCCGCCCCCGACCAGCCCCAGAGCTCACGGCCTGGTTCTGCTGCACTGTAGTCGACCAAAGTCCTGGACAATTTTAAAAAGGATGTCTGGTCACCCACACCTAAAGCAGCAAGAGCAGCAAAAACGCATGTGCTGCTTCATTTTTTATGCTTGCACAAGTTTGGTTCGAATGAAGCATCTGTGCTGCTCTAGCTGCGCGCTGGAAAATTGGGTCTGATGCGCGTTGGGCGGAGCTACCCTATCCTTTCTTTGCCTGTAACAATGGCAGCTACATTTGCTGATCAGTGGGTAAAATGTAGTTTGAATCTATTTTGAAGTGAGAAAGTCCATCTGGAAACATCGTCAGTGTAGTCAGTTCATCCAGATTACCATCCTGCCTTCAAATATTATTTCTGTTGGAGCCGCTCAGACCCCCGTAGACCGGCGGTGCGACTGGCATAGACTGGCATAATAAGGCGTATCGATGTCATGCTTTCACTTTTTATTTCAGGATAGGCAAGAGAACAGTGTGTTAGAGCATTTTTTGTAGAAAATATTTTTAAACAGACACAGTCCTCTTTTAAAAAAGTGCAAAATTGGCAAAATGTGCAAAATTAACAAAAGCTTGTGTTGAATTATGGTTCATTAATCAGCAAGTATAGTAGATATTTATATGGATGTTTAATTGTGACAATCATCTGGCTTTACAAAACGATTATACCAACTTTCATGTTGGTATAAGCGTTCGTCCATGTTGCCATGGTAATGATGAAAAACGGAGGTCATTTTCAAAGATTTCAGTTCGAAATTTGACCGATTTCAAGTCCCTGAACAAAGTAGCTTCACAGCCGAATCATACATGATATAAAAAATATTCCTTCAATGCAAGCTCTAGACATGTCTGATGATGACATAAGCCAGGTTTCATGTTTGTACATCCTTAGCTTCCTTCTAGATCCTTCTTTCCACACCTGTTTTGAATATATTGATTACTCAATTTTTTGTTCTGTTTGGCATATATACTCATCCTCTGCAGTTACTGTTTGGTGGATTCTCCTCATTCCCTCCTTAAAATTGGGGTTCCCCTTTGCTGTGGTTCCTGTATTCCTCGATTAGTTATTTATGGATTTATGCTTCCGTTGCCACTACTCATTATCATTATCAGATCTGCAAGAAACAATCTCAGCTTCCGTCTCTGCATTTGGGTCCTCTACAGACCTCCACACAAACTGACATTATGCAAACAAAGAAACTTATAACTATAACGCCAGATGCATAGTATTATTGATCATCACAGAATCATAGTATAATTTAGCTTAAAACTACTTTTATGACTTTGACTCTATTACCAAGAAACTTTAGAGCTTACTGCTCATGCACATAGCAGCACTCCTTAAATCCCATGTAAACAAAATCCATCCATCTTCTCCTGCTTAGTCCTTATCAGATTCATGGTGGGGCCGGTGCCTATCTCTGACAATCTATTGGGGAGAGGCAGGGTTCATCCTGAACACGTCACCAGTCAGTCGTAGGGCAACACAGAGACGCAAAACGACACATAACCATGCACACACACTCACACCTAAGGGCAATGTAAAGGAACCAATTAACCTAACAGTCATGTTTAATGGACTGTGGGAGGAAGCCAGAGTACCAGGAGAGAACCCATGCATGAACGGGGAAAACATACAAACTTCATGCAGAATGAAAAGAGTTAAGGAAACTAGAACCTTCTTGCTGCAAGGCAACACTGCTAAACTCTTCAGCACCATTCAGCCCATGCTGCCTTCTTGTAGTATTGTAATTATGGTAAATACTAAAAACGGGCATGAAAATTGCACATGAGCACTGACTTATTTTGTCATTTTCACTCAAAAGCTGGATTTTTCCTATACACAAGTTGCCGAGATAAAGCAAACTTTGACCTTTCAACATGGCAGAGCGCAGCGAAATTATCCTGTATGGTGAGTACTGCATTGTTAAATGTTCTGTCTCATGTTTGTAGCCTACACAAGGCCATTTAAACTTTTGTTAGTTTTAGAATAACCATTATTGTTTGATTTTACCAGATGCTGGCAAGGAGTCCAGTGAGGATAGTAGCCGGTAGAGTACTGCATGAACTTTGTTCAGACCTATAGAATTTTTCTCATGAGATCTGTAGTGTACACCAGTGAGCACATAATTTACTGGAACCAGGAGATGACCCTACACTGCAAAAACAATCCAGAAATAAGTAAAAAATGGCTTAAATTAAGTATATTTAGCCTTAATTTGAGCAGGTAAATAAGATGATTTGCCAATGGAATGAGTATTTTCACTCTTAAAATAAGATAGTTAGATAATATTTACTTGAAATAAGACGATAAAATAGTTTTTTCTTATTTTAAAAGGAAATTGTCTTGTTCCATTGGCAAAGTGTCTTACTTATCTCCTCAAATCAAGGAAAAACACACTTATTTTAAGAAAAAATAACTTATTGAGATTTATATTTTTTGCAGTGTATAACTTACTTGCCCAAGTAGCAGGTCAGGATAATCTGTGGATCAACCATGTTCTTCTTCTTTACCACAAGCAAAGCACTTAAACACAAGGTGCTGGTAATTTCCACTTTACTCTTTAGTGGAAAGGATCATATTTACCATGACACTCACAATAAGTATTAGCTTTGCTTTCCTCACGTCAGCTGCATGTCCTTTATACAGTGTATAGGGTAAACTTGCCCATGCCTTATAGAAAAAGGCTATTCAAAAGAATAAAAACAATAACATAAAAATTCAGACGCAGTGATTTTTGTACAACATTACAGTGAAAAGCACCATTTTTTATTTATTTTTTTTTAATTATTTTTGCATCTGTTTTTCAGTATTTCCTTTGGGAAATTTTTCCCAAAACAATTTTTGGAAAAAAACATAAGGCATTATTTTAAGGCAACAAAGTTAGAAAACACATGCAAGTTAAAGACTTATGAAAATATAATAAAAATCTGAACTGAGGTCCTATTTAACCACAACAATTAAAAATGTGACAAAATAGAGAGGCTTTAAATGACGATATTCCAAAAAGGTCAAATAATCTAAACCAGTTAAGGTTGAGAAAGACAACACAACACTGGTGCTGAGGGACTTCACCATCTGACTTTTCCAGGGAACTCATGGTTTGGAAGAAGAAACTTTCAATGAAAGCTGTGGCGGCAAATTATATTTTTTGAAGAGCTGCATTTAAAAGCACATACATAAATAATTCAGTTGTTAGTAAACACACAAACATAAAAAGAGACAAAAAAAAAGATAAATGTGTCTCACCTCTACCAATGCATCCTCCATCTCTGATGGTGACATTGTGCTGGGAATAGCTAACTTCACGTGAAGTGACATAATATAATCTGTTGAAAAAGAAATTCATTTTTACCATAAAATAAAATGTGGATAATTAACTGACATGATAACTATTAAAGTAAATATAGATGTCAGCATATAGTAATGTAATACAATTCTATTTTTCAAATAAGGAAATAAGAAAAGCAAGAAAAGAGGGCAAATGAGTTCACTCACTTGGGCCTGATGATGAAGGTTTCACATTTTCGAGAAGTTTTTTTTTTGTTGACAGGAAAAGGGGAAAAAAAAATTTTTTTCATGAACCATGATGCTTTTCATTATTGAAAAAATGTCCAAAATTCAAATGAATGCATGATTAATCAAGGAACAATAACTGTAAGATACTGTTCAAAACAGAATGATTGAGACAGCAAAAAGAAAGACTGAGCAAGAGATGAAAGCTATTTAAAGCATTGAAACTTTGGTGTCATGAGAAATTCGTAGATCTACTGCATATCCTGCGGAGGTTGAGTATCTTACCAGTAGCTGCAGAGATGCTGAATGCACTGCTTCTTATGTTTTCAAACACAGAGAAGAGAGTGAATGTGTAGTTTGTACGAGCCTTAAGGGAAGTGACGGTATAGGTTACTGGTCCATCATCATCTGGTGCACTGATGTTTGTCTCTGTGCCATTGAACTGGAGAGCAAAGCTGATGTTGTTGATGAATTTATTCCATCGGAGAGTGATGCTGGTCTCATTTTGTTCTGATGGTCTGAAGCTTATTGCATTCTGAGGTGCTGAAATTGTTTTTTTTTATTAAAAACAGTACAACATTCCTTAATTTAATGTTGAACAATTCTTTCAGTTTGCTTTACATTGTTTGGCTTTTGTTTTGCTTTCATCTCTTTCATATTAAAGCCATCCAAGAAGTAAACAAAAAAAATTAAAGAATTGACCCAATGATCTCACCTGTCGCTGCAGCAATTCTAATTTCTCTGCTTTTCACATTCTCAAACACAGAGAACAGAGTGAATGTGTATTTAGTTCCAGCAGTGAGAGATGAGACTGTATGGTTTACTGGCCCCTCTCCATCTGGTGCACTGATGTAAGTCTCAAAACCCTCGAACTGAAGAACAAAGCTGACGTTTTTCATGACTTTCTTCCACTGCAGAGTTATACTGGTCTCATTTTGGGCTATTGGTATGAAATCTTCTGCATTGTGAGGAACTATTAGAGAAGATATACAATTTTGCATAGTCAGACTAATCATGTTTGAAAAGACATCCAAAGCTCATCATGTATTCATAGAACAAGTTGCTGATTTAAAAATGCAAAGTAGATTTACAGTTACTAAATGCCTGTATTATATGCTGGTAATTACAAAACTTTTAAACCATGTGATTCTTGTCAAAGTAGCTACATATGGTCTGGCACTTTTCTTACTGTAACACCATCCTTTCATCATTCATACTTTCATTCATTCATACTTTTGAACTGAAAAAGCTTATCTGCTTGAACTGTTTCCATCCCAGACAAAAGCATCTATTTAGCTAGTATACCATTACCTTCTCTAACACTCAAAATATTCATGGATTATTGCCTCTATCTTCTTTTTTTGCACCTGTTCCTGTCTTCCCAAACCCCCCATGAGTCTTGGCAGGTTTCTCACTCTGAGTCTGGCTATGCTGTTATAAGGGGGGTTTACGTTCCACTATCTTTGCAGGCATGATGTGATGGGATTGCTGTCAAATCAATTACACTATTTGAGTAGATGTCAACTACCACTGCATGCTAATCGAGGAGGAGTGAATTATGCAAAGTTAAAGACTAGATGCAATCAGCTGGGTTCCCTTGAATAACTGTCAGTAAGTTTTATTTTTTCCAGTCTATATGATTGAAGTGACTTGACTCAAAATAAAGCACCTTGTTAATTTAAATGATTTAAAGACGTACATTGAAATGACTTCAAGCAAGTGGATGCATGAGTAAAGGTCTGGTCTACTGCCTTAAATGGAAACTGACTAACAGAATTTTAAATAGTAACACAATACTTAGATTAAAATAAAACACAGTCTTGCTACAATTGAGATGCTGATTGTTGGAGCTATATTGCCTAGCATAATCAAAATACAATACTGTACATACATGATTAGTTACAATCAAATAGGTTTTTTTGTTTAACGTCTTACCAGTGACAGCTGTAAATTTTACTCCACTGCTTCTGACATTCTCAAACACAGAAAATAGGGTAAAAGTGTGTTTATTTCCTGCAGACAGAGATGAGATTGTGTAGCTGACTGGTCCATCTCCATGCGGTGCAACAATGTTTGTCTCTTTGCCATTAAACAGAAGAACAAAGCTGATGTTTTTGTTGACGTTATTCCATTGAAGAGTGATGCTGCTCTCATTTTGGTTTGATGCCCTCACAGCTTCAGGTGCTTGGGGAGCTAGACAAGAAAAATCATGTATTAATAACTATTTTACCAGGCTTGTTGGGGTAAAAGGTATTAAAAGGTAAGAGTGTTATTCATATTAGTATTATGAATAACACTCTGGTTTTATTTATGTTTTGACTATTCAGTTTAAACAAATTTTGTAACCTTTGAATAAAATAGTCATCAAATAAAGCAGATTATTCTTCAGCTTCCTTAAGTACCCTCAGCCAATGTAGTAATGTCTTTGCTCCATTACAAGTCAACACTACTGTCGAGGCAGTAGATCGTTTTTAGCCTTGTTCTGCTTGTTCAAATACCAACTTCACGGGAAATTAAATTGATCTATTTTCAGCCATTGGTTTGGATTAAACATAATTATAAGAATTTAGAATGGTAAGAACTGTTTTTGAATAATCAATTTTAACAAAAATTATCAGCTATGGATAAGATCATACGTTATTCATTAGCTGACTTTAATTATGTCCATCGATGCAGTACTGTCTTTGATTGAAAACACTCCCGCCTAGTGGCCAGAAACAGTTTCTGGCATTTTTTGTTTTGGTCTAAATTCTAAATAATAATAATAATAATAATAAAATCTTGAAAAGGGACACTACTATGACACTGTTATAAATACACTGACTAATTTTGAAAGTACACAGCTATAGAGATTTAATTTGGTAAAAAGACAGAGGTGTTGCGTCAAACATCTTACCTGTGACAGCAATAATTTGCACTCCACTGCTTCTGACGCTCTCAAACACAGAAAAGAGAGTAAATAGGTATCTGGTTCCAGGAGAGAGAGATGAGATGATGTGGTTAATTGGCCCATTTCCATTTGGTACACTGATGTTTGTCTCTCTGCCAATAAACTGGAGAACAAAGCTGATGTTGTTGTTGATTTTATCCCACTTCAGAGTGATACTGCTCTCGTCTTGTTCTAATGCTCCGAAGGATTGTGCATTTTCAGGAGCTAAAAGAGATAAATCATGGATTAATCAATCTAAGTCTACTAGGCTTGGTGGTTTTCTTAAGAAATTAAGAATTCTTTATAATAACACCGGATGGCTCGAAAGCTGTATAGCCTAAGTTTTTTCCATTTATTGTCATGACTTTAAAATCAGCAATTCTCAGTCCTCACAATTCTAAGGGCTCCACTGGGATGTAATATGTTTGATTAATCAATGTTAACACAAGTTATCTGCTATGAATAAGATTATAGGGTATTCCTTAGCTGGCTTTAGTAACATTAATCAATGTAGTACTGTCTTTGCTTGAAAACACTCCAACCTAGTGGCCAGAAACAGTTTATGGCATTTTTTCTTTTGGCTTCTGGTGTAAATTATTAAATTATGTGAAGATGCAAAAATTGTTAACTTTTCGAAATATGATACATAAAAATGTTAAAAGTTCAACTTTCTCAAAATATAAATAGATGTTGTTATCAATACACAGAGAATAATTTTGAGAGTGCAGAGCTATAGAGATTTAATTTGGTAAAAAGACAGAGGTGTTGCGTCAAACATCCTACCTGTGACAGCAATAATTTGCGCTCCACTGCTTCTGACGCTCTCAAACACAGAAAAGAGAGTAAATAGGTATTTAGTTCCAGGAGAGAGAGATGAGATGGTGTGGTTTATTGGCCCATTTCCATTTGGTACACTGATGTTTGTCTCTGTGCCATTAAACTGGAGAACAAAGCTGATGTTGTTGTTGATTTTATCCCACTTCAGAGTGATACTGCTCTCGTCTTGTTCTAATGCTCCGAAGGATTGTGCATTTTCAGGCGCTAAAAGAGATGAATCATGGATTAATTAATCTAAGTCTACCAGGCTTGGTGGTTTTATGTCTGAGTCAAGTTTAAGAATTCTTTAGATGAACACCGAATGGCTCGAAAGCTGTATAGCCTAAGTTCTTGCCATTTATTGTCATGATTTTAAAATCAGCATTTCTCAGTCCTCCCAATTCTAAGGGCTCCACTGGGATGTAATATGTTTGATTAATCAATGTTAACACAAGTTATCTGCTATGAATAAGATTATAGGGTATTCCTTAGCCTGCTTTAGTAACATTAATCAATGTAGTACTGTCTTTGCTTGAAAACACTCCCACCTAGTGGCCAGAAACAGTTTATGGCACTTTTTCTTTTGGTCTAAATTATTAAATTATGTGAAGATGCAAAAATTATTAACTTTTCGAAATATGATACATAAAAATTGTTAAAAGTTACACTTTCTCAAAATATAAATACTGTAGATGTACTTATCAATACACTGACTATAATCTTGAGATTACACAGCTATAGAGATTTAATTTGGTAAAAAGACAGAGGTGTTGCGTCAAACATCTTACCTGTGACAGCAATAATTTGCACTCCACTGCTTCTGACGCTCTCAAACACAGAAAAGAGAGTAAATAGGTATCTGGTTCCAGGAGAGAGAGATGAGATGATGTGGTTTATTGGCCCATTTCCATTTGGTACAGTGATGTTTGTCTCTCTGCCAATAAACTGGAGAACAAAGCTGATGTTGTTGTTGATTTTATCCCACTTCAGAGTGATACTGCTCTCGTCTTGTTCTAATGCTCCGAAGGCTTCTGCATTTTCGGGAGCTAAAAGAGATAAATCATGGATTAATCAATCTAAGTCTACTAGGCTTGGTGGTTTTATGTCTGAGTCAAGTTTAAGAATTCTTTATAATAACACCGGATGGCTCGAAAGCTGTATAGCCTAAGTTTTTTCCATTTATTGTCATGACTTTAAAAACAGCATTACTCAGTCCTCCCAATTCTAAGGGCTCCACTGGGATGTAATATGTTTGATTAATCAATGTTAACACAAGTTATCTGCTATGAATAAGATTATAGGGTATTCCTTAGCCTGCTTTAGTAACATTAATCAATGTAGTACTGTCTTTGCTTGAAACCACTCCCACCTAGTGGCCAGAAACAGTTTATGGCATTTTATCTTTTGGTCTAAATTATTAAAATATGTGAAGATGCAAAAATTATTAACTTTTCGAAATATGATACATAAAAATTGTTAAAAGTTACACTTTCTCAAAATATAAATAGATGTACTTATCAATACACTGACTATAATCTTGAGATTACACAGCTATAGAGATTTAATTTGGTAAAAAGACAGAGGTGTTGCGTCAAACATCTTACCTGTGACAGCAATAATTTGCACTCCACTGCTTCTGACGCTCTCAAACACAGAAAAGAGAGTAAATAGGTATCTGGTTCCAGGAGAGAGAGATGAGATGATGTGGTTTATTGGCCCATTTCCATTTGGTACAGTGATGTTTGTCTCTCTGCCAATAAACTGGAGAACAAAGCTGATGTTGTTGTTGATTTTATCCCACTTCAGAGTGATACTGCTCTCGTCTTGTTCTAATGCTCCGAAGGCTTCTGCATTTTCGGGAGCTAAAAGAGATAAATCATGGATTAATCAATCTAAGTCTACTAGGCTTGGTGGTTTTATGTCTGAGTCAAGTTTAAGAATTCTTTATAATAACACCGGATGGCTCGAAAGCTGTATAGCCTAAGTTTTTTCCATTTATTGTCATGACTTTAAAAACAGCATTACTCAGTCCTCCCAATTCTAAGGGCTCCACTGGGATGTAATATGTTTGATTAATCAATGTTAACACAAGTTATCTGCTATGAATAAGATTATAGGGTATTCCTTAGCCTGCTTTAGTAACATTAATCAATGTAGTACTGTCTTTGCTTGAAACCACTCCCACCTAGTGGCCAGAAACAGTTTATGGCATTTTATCTTTTGGTCTAAATTATTAAAATATGTGAAGATGCAAAAATTATTAACTTTTCGAAATATGATACATAAAAATTGTTAAAAGTTACACTTTCTCAAAATATAAATAGATGTACTTATCAATACACTGACTATAATCTTGAGATTACACAGCTATAGAGATTTAATTTGGTAAAAAGACAGAGGTGTTGCGTCAAACATCTTACCTGTGACAGCAATAATTTGCACTCCACTGCTTCTGACGCTCTCAAACACAGAAAAGAGAGTAAATAGGTATCTGGTTCCAGGAGAGAGAGATGAGATGATGTGGTTTATTGGCCAATTTCCATTTGGTACACTGATGTTTGTCTCTGTGCCATTAAACTGGAGAACAAAGCTGATGTTGTTGTTGATTTTATCCCACTTCAGAGTGATACTGCTCTCGTCTTGTTCTAATGCTCCGAAGGATTGTGCATTTTCTGGCGCTAAAAGAGATGAATCATGGATTAATTAATCTAAGTCTACCAGGCTTGGTGGTTTTATGCCTGAGTCAAGTTTAAGAATTCTTTACATTAACACCGAATGGCTCAAAAGCTGTATAGCCTAAGTTCTTGCCATTTATTGTCATCACTTTAAAATCAGCAATTCTCAGTCCTCCCAATTCTAAGGGCTCCACTGGGATGTAATATGTTTGATTAATCAATGTTAACACAAGTTATCTGCTATGAATAAGTTTATATGGTATTCCTTAGCTGGCTTTAGTAACATTAATCAATGTAGTACTGTCTTTGCTTGAAAACACTCCCACCTAGTGGCCAGAAACAGTTTTTGGCATTTTTTCTTTTGGCTTTTGGTCTAAATGATTAAATTATGTGAAGATGCAAAAATTGTTAACTTTTCGAAATATGATGCATAAAAATGTTAAAAGTTCAACTTTCTCAAAATATAAATAGATGTTGTTATCAATACACAGAGAATAATCTTGAGAGTCCACAGCTATGGAGATTTAATTTGGTAAAAAGACAGAGGTGTTGCGTCAAACATCTTACCTGTGACAGCAATAATTTGCACTCCACTGCTTCTGACGCTCTCAAACACAGAAAAGAGAGTAAATAGGTATTTAGTTCCAGGAGAGAGAGATGAGATGGTTTTGTTTATTGGCCCATTTCCATTTGGTACAGTGATGTTTGTCTCTGTGCCATTAAACTGGAGAACAAAGCTGATGTTGTTGTTGATTTTATCCCACTTCAGAGTGATACTGCTCTCGTGTTGTTCTAATGCTCCGAAGGATTGTGCATTTTCAGGAGCTAAAAGAGATGAATCATGGATTAATTAATCTAAGTCTACCAGGCTTGGTGGTTTTATGTCTGAGTCAAGTTTAAGAATTCTTTACATTAACACCGAATGGCTCGAAAGCTGTATAGTCTAAGTTCTTGCCATTTATTGTCATGACTTTAAAATCAGCAATTCTCAGTCCTCACAATTCTAAGGGATCCACTGGGATGTAATATGTTTGATTAATCAATGTTAACACAAGTTATCTGTTATGAATAAGATTATACGGTATTCCTTAGCTGGCTTTAGTAACATTAATCAATGCAGTACTGTCTTTGCTTGAAAACACTCCCACCTAGTGGCCAGAAACAGTTTATGGCATTTTTTCTTTTGGTCTAAATTATTAAAATATGTGAAGATGCAAAAATTATTAACTTTTTGAAATATGATACATAAAAATTGTTAAAAGTTACACTTTCTCAAAATATAAATAGATGTACTTATCAATACACTGACTATAATCTTGAGATTACACAGCTATAGAGATTTAATTTGGTAAAAAGACAGAGGTGTTGCGTCAAACATCTTACCTGTGACAGCAATAATTTGCACTCCACTGCTTCTGACGCTCTCAAACACAGAAAAGAGAGTAAATAGGTATCTGGTTCCAGGAGAGAGAGATGAGATGATGTGGTTTATTGGCCCATTTCCATTTGGTACACTGATGTTTGTCTCTGTGCCATTAAACTGGAGAACAAAGCTGATGTTGTTGTTGATTTTATCCCACTTCAGAGTGATACTGCTCTCGTCTTGTTCTAATGCTCCGAAGGATTGTGCATTTTCAGGCGCTAAAAGAGATGAATCATGGATTAATTAATCTAAGTCTACCAGGCTTGGTGGTTTTATGTCTGAGTCAAGTTTAAGAATTCTTGACATTAACACCGAATGGCTCGAAAGCTGTATAGCCATTTATTGTCATGGCTTTAAAATCAGCAATTCTCAGTCCTCACAATTCTAAGGGCTCCACTGGGATGTAATATGTTTGATTAATCAATGTTAACACAAGTTTTCTGCTATGAATAAGATTATAGGGTATTCCTTAGCTGGCTTTAGTAACATTAATCAATGCAGTACTGTCTTTGCTTGAAAACACTCCCACCTAGTGGCCAGAAACAGTTTATGGCATTTTTTCTTTTAGTCTAAATCAAAGGTCTTCAAGAGGGGGTCCGCGACCCCTAGGGGGTCCACGGAGGTACTGCATGGGGGTCGAAAAATGTTGTTGTTTTTTTTTTTTTCCTTTTTTTTATATATATATATATATATATATATATATATATATATATATATATATATATATATATATATATATATATATATATATATATATATATATATATATATATATATTCCCCCCTGCAATTTTTTCCACTAATTAAAATGTCTTTAAATACACATTAACATGAATTCAACATGAATTCATCATCATTTCATTCACACCTGTCCCATCAATGAGGAATACGAATCAGAAATACTTTAATAATCCCAGGGCGAAATTACTTTGGTTACATTACTCCATCTGTAATAGTGACTATCGGACCAGTTTGATATAACACAATTTCAAACAATATATATAATGAGGGGGTCGCCGCTTCATCTCTTCATCAGCTTGGGGGTCCTTAGCCTGGATAACGTTAAAGACACCTGGTCTAAATGATTAAATTATGTGAAGATGCAAAAAATTTTAACTTTTCAAAATATGATACATAAAAATGTTAAAAGTTCAACTTTCTCAAAATATAAATAGATGTTGTTATCAATACACTGACTATGATCTTGAGATTACACAGCTATAGAGATTTAATTTGGTAAAAAGACAGAGGTGTTGCGTCAAACATCTTACCTGTGACAGCAATAATTTGCACTCCACTGCTTCTGACGCTCTCAAACACAGAAAAGAGAGTAAATAGGTATCTGGTTCCAGGAGAGAGAGATGAGATGATGTGGTGTATTGGCCCATTTCCATTTGGTACACTGATGTTTGTCTCTGTGCCATTAAACTGGAGAACAAAGCTGATGTTGTTGTTGATTTTATCCCACTTCAGAGTGATACTGCTCTCGTCTTGTTCTAATGCTCCGAAGGATTGTGCATTTTCAGGAGCTAAAAGAGATGAATCATGGATTAATTAATCTAAGTCTACCAGGCTTGGTGGTTTTATGTCTGAGTCAAGTTTAAGAATTATTTACATTAACACCGAATGGCACGAAAGCTGTATAGCCTAAGTTCTTGCCATTTATTGTCATGCCTTTAAAATCAGCAATTCTCAGTCCTCACAATTCTAAGGGCTCCTCTGTGATGTAATATGTTTGATTAATCAATGTTAACACAAGTTATCTGCTATGAATAAGATTATAGGGTATTCCTTAGCTGGCTTTAGTAACATTAATCAATGTAGTACTGTCTTTGCTTGAAAACACTACCACCTAGTGGCCAGAAACAGTTTATGGCATTTTTTCTTTTGGTCTAAATTATTAAAATATGTGAAGATGCAAAAATTATTAACTTTTCGAAATATGATACATAAAAATTGTTAAAAGTTACACTTTCTACAAATATAAATAGATTTACTTATCATTACACTGACTATGATCTTGAGATTACACAGCTATAGAGATTTAATTTGGTAAAAAAACAGAGGTGTTGCGTCAAACATCCTACCTGTGACAGCAATAATTTGCACTCCACTGCTTCTGACGCTCTCAAACACAGAAAAGAGAGTAAATAGGTATTTAGTTCCAGGAGAGAGAGATGAGATGGTTTTGTTTATTGGCCCATTTCCATTTGGTACAGTGATGTTTGTCTCTGTGCCATTAAACTGGAGAACAAAGCTGATGTTGTTGTTGATTTTATCCCACTTCAGAGTGATACTGCTCTCGTGTTGTTCTAATGCTCCGAAGGATTGTGCATTTTCAGGCGCTAAAAGAGATGAATCATGGATTAATCAATCTAAGTCTACCAGGCTTGGTGGTTTTATGTCTGAGTCAAGTTTAAGAATTCTTTAGATTAACACCGAATGGCTCGAAAGCTGTATAGCCTAAGTTCTTGCCATTTATTGTCATGATTTTAAAATCAGCCTTTCTCAGTCCTCCCAATTCTAACGGCTCCACTGGGATGTAATATGTTTGATTAATCAATGTTAACACAAGTTATATGCTATGAATAAGATTATAGGGTATTCCTTAGCTGGCTTTAGTAACATTAATCAATGTAGTACTATCTTTGCTAGAAAACACTCCCACCTAGTGGACAGAAACAGTTTATGGCATTTTTTCTTTTGGTCTAAATCAAAGGTCTTCAAGAGGGGGTCCGCGACCCCTAGGGGGTCCACGGAGGTACTGCATGGGGGTCGAAAAATTTTGTTGTTTTTTTTTTTTTCCTTTTTTTTTTTTTTATGTATATATATATATATATTCCCCCCTTGCAATTTTTTCCACTAATTAAAATGTCTTTAAATACACATTAAAATGAATTCAACATGAATTCATCATCATTTCATTCACACCTGTCCCATCAATGAGGAATACGAATCAGAAATACTTTAATAATCCCAGGGCGAAATTACTTTGGTTACATTACTCCATCTGTAATAGTGACTATCGGACCAGTTTGATATAACACAATTTCAAACAATATATATAATTAGGGGGTCCCTGCTTCATCTCTTCATCAGTTTGGGGGTCCTTAGCCTGGATAACGTTAAAGACACCTGGTCTAAATGATTAAATTATGTGAAGATGCAAAAATTATTAACTTTTCGAAATATGATACATAAAAATGTTAAAAGTTCAACTTTCTCAAAATATAAATAGATGTTGTTATCAATACACAGAGAATAATCTTGAGAGTACAGAGTTATAGAGATTTAATTTGGTAAAAAAGACAGAGGTGTTGCGTCAAACATCTTACCTGTGAGAGCAATACTTTGCACTCCACTGCTTCTGACGCTCTCAAACACAGAAAAGAGAGTAAATAGGTATCTGGTTCCAGGAGAGAGAGATGAGATGATGTGGTTTATTGGCCCATTTCCATTTGGTACACTGATGTTTGTCTCTGTGCCATTAAACTGGAGAACAAAGCTGATGTTGTTGTTGATTTTATCCCACTTCAGAGTGATACTGCTCTCGTCTTGTTCTAATGCTCCGAAGGATTGTGCATTTTCAGGAGCTAAAAGAGATGAATCATGGATTAATTAATCTAAGTCTACCAGGCTTGGTGGTTTTATGTCTGAGTCAAGTTTAAGAATTCTTTACATTAACACCGAATGGCTCGAAAGCTGTATAGCCTAAGTTCTTGCCATTTATTGTCATGACTTTAAAATCAGCAATTCTCAGTCCTCACAATTCTAAGGGCTCTACTAAGGATGTAATATGTTTGATTAATCAATGTTAACACAAGTTATCTGCTATGAATAAGATTATAGGGTATTCCTTAGCTGGCTTTAGTAACATTAATCAATGTAGTACTGTCTTTGCTTGAAAACACTCCCACCTAGTGGACAGAAACAGTTTATGGCATTTTTTCTTTTGGTCTAAATTATTAAAATATGTGAAGATGCAAAAATTATTAACTTTTCGAAATATGATACATAAAAATTGTTTAAAAGTTACACTTTCTACAAATATAAATAGATTTACTTATCATTACACTGACTATGATCTTGAGATTACACAGCTATAGAGATTTAATTTGGTAAAAAGACAGAGGTGTTGCGTCAAACATCCTACCTGTGACAGCAAAAATTTGCACTCCAGAGCTTCTGACGCTCTCAAACACAGAAAAGAGAGTAAATAGGTATTTAGTTCCAGGAGAGAGAGATGAGATGGTGTGGTTTATTGGCCCATTTCCATTTGGTACACTGATGTTTGTCTCTGTGCCATTAAACTGGAGAACAAAGCTGATGTTGTTGTTGATTTTATCCCACTTCAGAGTGATACTGCTCTCGTCTTGTTCTAATGCTCCGAAGGATTGTGCATTTTCAGGAGCTAAAAGAGATGAATCATGGATTAATTAATCTAAGTCTACCAGGCTTGGTGGTTTTATGTCTGAGTCAAGTTTAAGAATTCTTTACATTAACACCGAATGGCTCGAAAGCTGTATAGCCTAAGTTCTTGCCATTTATTGTCATGACTTTAAAATCAGCAATTCTCAGTCCTCACAATTCTAAGGGCTCCTCTGTGATGTAATTTGTTTGATTAATCAATGTTAACACAAGTTATCTGCTATGAATAAGATTATAGGGTATTCCTTAGCTGGCTTTAGTAACATTAATCAATGTAGTACTGTCTTTGCTTGAAAACACTCCCACCTAGTGGACAGAAACAGTTTATGGCATTTTTTCTTTTGGTCTAAATTATTAAAATATGTGAAGATGCAAAAATTATTAACTTTTCGAAATATGATACATAAAAATTGTTAAAAGTTACACTTTCTACAAATATAAATAGATTTACTTATCATTACACTGACTATGATCTTGAGATTACACAGCTATAGAGATTTAATTTGGTAAAAAGACAGAGGTGTTGCGTCAAACATCCTACCTGTGACAGCAAAAATTTGCACTCCAGAGCTTCTGACGCTCTCAAACACAGAAAAGAGAGTAAATAGGTATTTAGTTCCAGGAGAGAGAGATGAGATGGTGTGGTTTATTGGCCCATTTCCATTTGGTACACTGATGTTTGTCTCTGTGCCATTAAACTGGAGAACAAAGCTGATGTTGTTGTTGATTTTATCCCACTTCAGAGTGATACTGCTCTCGTCTTGTTCTAATGCTCCGAAGGATTGTGCATTTTCAGGAGCTAAAAGAGATGAATCATGGATTAATTAATCTAAGTCTACCAGGCTTGGTGGTTTTATGTCTGAGTCAAGTTTAAGAATTCTTTACATTAACACCGAATGGCTCGAAAGCTGTATAGCCTAAGTTCTTGCCATTTATTGTCATGACTTTAAAATCAGCAATTCTCAGTCCTCACAATTCTAAGGGCTCTACTAAGGATGTAATATGTTTGATTAATCAATGTTAACACAAGTTATCTGCTATGAATAAGATTATAGGGTATTCCTTAGCTGGCTTTAGTAACATTAATCAATGTAGTACTGTCTTTGCTTGAAAACACTCCAACCTAGTGGCCAGAAACAGTTTATGGCATTTTTTCTTTTGCTTTCTGGTGTAAATTATTAAATTATATGAAGATGCAAAAATTGTTAACTTTTCGAAATATGATACATAAAAATGTTAAAAGTTCAACTTTCTCAAAATATAAATAGATGTTGTTATCAATACACAGAGAATAATTTTGAGAGTGCAGAGCTATAGAGATTTAATTTGGTAAAAAGACAGAGGTGTTGCGTCAAACATCTTACCTGTGACAGCAAAAATTTGCGCTCCACTGCTTCTGACGCTCTCAAACACAGAAAAGAGAGTAAATAGGTATTTAGTTCCAGGAGAGAGAGATGAGATGGTGTGGTTTATTGGCCCATTTCCATTTGGTACACTGATGTTTGTCTCTGTGCCATTAAACTGGAGAACAAAGCTGATGTTGTTGTTGATTTTATCCCACTTCAGAGTGATACTGCTCTCGTCTTGTTCTAATGCTCCGAAGGATTGTGCATTTTCAGGCGCTAAAAGAGATGAATCATGGATTAATTAATCTAAGTCTACCAGGCTTGGTGGTTTTATGTCTGAGTCAAGTTTAAGAATTCTTTAGATGAACACCGAATGGCTCGAAAGCTGTATAGCCTAAGTTCTTGCCATTTATTGTCATGATTTTAAAATCAGCATTTCTCAGTCCTCCCAATTCTAAGGGCTCCACTGGGATGTAATATGTTTGATTAATCAATGTTAACACAAGTTATCTGCTATGAATAAGATTATAGGGTATTCCTTAGCCTGCTTTAGTAACATTAATCAATGTAGTACTGTCTTTGCTTGAAAACACTCCCACCTAGTGGCCAGAAACAGTTTATGGCATTTTTTCTTTTGGTCTAAATTATTAAATTATGTGAAGATGCAAAAATTATTAACTTTTCGAAATATGATACATAAAAATTGTTAAAAGTTACACTTTCTCAAAATATAAATACTGTAGATGTACTTATCAATACACTGACTATAATCTTGAGATTACACAGCTATAGAGATTTAATTTGGTAAAAAGACAGAGGTGTTGCGTCAAACATCTTACCTGTGACAGCAATAATTTGCACTCCACTGCTTCTGACGCTCTCAAACACAGAAAAGAGAGTAAATAGGTATCTGGTTCCAGGAGAGAGAGATGAGATGATGTGGTTTATTGGCCCATTTCCATTTGGTACACTGATGTTTGTCTCTGTGCCATTAAACTGGAGAACAAAGCTGATGTTGTTGTTGATTTTATCCCACTTCAGAGTGATACTGCTCTCGTCTTGTTCTAATGCTCCGAAGGATTGTGCATTTTCAGGCGCTAAAAGAGATGAATCATGGATTAATTAATCTAAGTCTACCAGGCTTGGTGGTTTTATGCCTGAGTCAAGTTTAAGAATTCTTTACATTAACACCGAATGGCTCGAAAGCTGTATAGCCTAAGTTCTTGCCATTTATTGTCATCACTTTAAAATCAGCAATTCTCAGTCCTCCCAATTCTAAGGGCTCCACTGGGATGTAATATGTTTGATTAATCAATGTTAACACAAGTTATCTGCTATGAATAAGTTTATATGGTATTCCTTAGCTGGCTTTAGTAACATTAATCAATGTAGTACTGTCTTTGCTTGAAAACACTCCCACCTAGTGGCCAGAAACAGTTTTTGGCATTTTTTCTTTTAGTCTAAATCAAAGGTCTTCAAGAGGGGGTCCGCGACCCCTAGGGGGTCCACGGAGGTACTGCATGGGGGTCGAAAAATGTTGTTGTTGTTTTTTTTTCCTTTTTTTTTTTTATATATATATATTCCCCCTGCAATTTTTTCCACTAATTAAAATGTCTTTAAATACACATTAACATGAATTCAACATGAATTCATCATCATTTCATTCACACCTGTCCCATCAATGAGGAATACGAATCAGAAATACTTTAATAATCCCAGGGCGAAATTACTTTGGTTACATTACTCCATCTGTAATAGTGACTATCGGACCAGTTTGATATAACACAATTTCAAACAATATATATAATTAGGGGGTCCCTGCTTCATCTCTTCATCAGTTTGGGGGTCCTTAGCCTGGATAACGTTAAAGACACCTGGTCTAAATGATTAAATTATGTGAAGATGCAAAAATGTTTTACTTTTCAAAATATGATACATAAAAATGTTAAAAGTTCAACTTTCTCAAAATATAAATAGATGTACTTATCAATACACTGACTATGATCTTGAGATTACACAGCTATAGAGATTTAATTTGGTAAAAAGACAGAGGTGTTGCGTCAAACATCCTACCTGTGACAGCAAATATTTGCACTCCAGAGCTTCTGACGCTCTCAAACACAGAAAAGAGAGTAAATAGGTATTTAGTTCCAGGAGAGAGAGATGAGATGGTGTGGTTTATTGGCCCATTTCCATTTGGTACACTGATGTTTGTCTCTGTGCCATTAAACTGGAGAACAAAGCTGATGTTGTTGTTGATTTTATCCCACTTCAGAGTGATACTGCTCTCGTCTTGTTCTAATGCTCCGAAGGATTGTGCATTTTCAGGCGCTAAAAGAGATGAATCGTGGATTAATCAATCTAAGTCTACCAGGCTTGGTGGTTTTATGTCTGAGTCAAGTTTAAGAATTCTTTACATTAACACCGAATGGCTCGAAAGCTGTATAGCCTAAGTTCTTGCCATTTATTGTCATGACTTTAAAATCAGCAATTCTCAGTCCTCACAATTCTAAGGGCTCTACTAAGGATGTAATATGTTTGATTAATCAATGTTAACACAAGTTATCTGCTATGAATAAGATTATAGGGTATTCCTTAGCTGGCTTTAGTAACATTAATCAATGTAGTACTGTCTTTGCTTTAAAACACCCCCACCTAGTGGCCAGAAACAGTTTATGGCATTTTTTCTTTTGGTCTAAATTATTAAAATATGTGAAGATGCAAAAATTATTAACTTTTCGAAATATGATACATAAAAATTGTTAAAAGTTACACTTTCTACAAATATAAATAGATTTACTTATCATTACACTGACTATGATCTTGAGATTACACAGCTATAGAGATTTAATTTGGTAAAAAGACAGAGGTGTTGCGTCAAACATCCTACCTGTGACAGCAAAAATTTGCACTCCACTGCTTCTGACGCTCTCAAACACAGAAAAGAGAGTAAATAGGTATTTAGTTCCAGGAGAGAGAGATGAGATGGTGTGGTTTATTGGCCCATTTCCATTTGGTACACTGATGTTTGTCTCTGTGCCATTAAACTGGAGAACAAAGCTGATGTTGTTGTTGATTTTATCCCACTTCAGAGTGATACTGCTCTCGTCTTGTTCTAATGCTCCGAAGGATTGTGCATTTTCAGGAGCTAAAAGAGATGAATCATGGATTAATTAATCTAAGTCTACCAGGCTTGGTGGTTTTATGTCTGAGTCAAGTTTAAGAATTCTTTACATTAACACCGAATGGCTCGAAAGCTGTATAGCCTAAGTTCTTGCCATTTGTTGTCATGACTTTAAAATCAGCAATTCTCAGTCCTCACAATTCTAAGGGCTCCTCTGTGATGTAATTTGTTTGATTAATCAATGTTAACACAAGTTATCTGCTATGAATAAGATTATAGGGTATTCCTTAGCTGGCTTTAGTAACATTAATCAATGTAGTACTGTCTTTGCTGGAAAACACTCCCACCTAGTGGACAGAAACAGTTTATGGCATTTTTTCTTTTGGTCTAAATTATTAAAATATGTGAAGATGCAAAAATTATTAACTTTTCGAAATATGATACATAAAAATTGTTAAAAGTTACACTTTCTACAAATATAAATAGATTTACTTATCATTACACTGACTATGATCTTGAGATTACACAGCTATAGAGATTTAATTTGGTAAAAAAACAGAGGTGTTGCGTCAAACATCCTACCTGTGACAGCAATAATTTGCACTCCACTGCTTCTGACGCTCTCAAACACAGAAAAGAGAGTAAATAGGTATTTAGTTCCAGGAGAGAGAGATGAGATGGTTTTGTTTATTGGCCCATTTCCATTTGGTACAGTGATGTTTGTCTCTGTGCCATTAAACTGGAGAACAAAGCTGATGTTGTTGTTGATTTTATCCCACTTCAGAGTGATACTGCTCTCGTGTTGTTCTAATGCTCCGAAGGATTGTGCATTTTCAGGCGCTAAAAGAGATGAATCATGGATTAATCAATCTAAGTCTACCAGGCTTGGTGGTTTTATGTCTGAGTCAAGTTTAAGAATTCTTTACATTAACACCGAATGGCTCGAAAGCTGTATAGCCTAAGTTCTTGCCATTTATTGTCATGACTTTAAAATCAGCAATTCTCAGTCCTCACAATTCTAAGGGCTCTACTAAGGATGTAATATGTTTGATTAATCAATGTTAACACAAGTTATCTGCTATGAATAAGATTATAGGGTATTCCTTAGCTGGCTTTAGTAACATTAATCAATGTAGTACTGTCTTTGCTTGAAAACACTCCCACCTAGTGGCCAAAAACAGTTTATGGCATTTTTTCTTTTGGTCTAAATTATTAAAATATGTGAAGATGCAAAAATTATTAACTTTTCGAAATATGATACATAAAAATTGTTAAAAGTTACACTTTCTACAAATATAAATAGATTTACTTATCATTACACTGACTATGATCTAGAGATTACACAGCTATAGAGATTTAATTTGGTAAAAAAAACAGAGGTGTTGCGTCAAACATCCTACCTGTGACAGCAATAATTTGCACTCCACTGCTTCTGACGCTCTCAAACACAGAAAAGAGAGTAAATAGGTATTTAGTTCCAGGAGAGAGAGATGAGATGGTGTGGTTTATTGGCCCATTTCCATTTGGTACACTGATGTTTGTCTCTGTGCCATTAAACTGGAGAACAAAGCTGATGTTGTTGTTGATTTTATCCCACTTCAGAGTGATACTGCTCTCGTGTTGTTCTAATGCTCCGAAGGATTTTGCATTTTCAGGAGCTAAAAGAGATAAATCATGGATTAATCAATCTAAGTCTACTAGGCTTGGTGGTTTTATGTCTGAGTCAAGTTTAAGAATTCTTTATAATAACACCGGATGGCTCGAAAGCTGTATAGCCTAAGTTTTTTCCATTTATTGTCATGACTTTAAAATCAGCAATTCTCAGTCCTCACAATTCTAAGGGCTCCACTGGGATGTAATATGTTTGATTAATCAATGTTAACACAAGTTATCTGCTATGAATAAGATTATACGGTATTCCTTAGCTGGCTTTAGTAACATTAATCAATGCAGTACTGTCTTTGCTTGAAAACACTCCCACCTAGTGGCCAGAAACAGTTTATGGCATTTTTTCTTTTGGTCTAAATTATTAAAATATGTGAAGATGCAAAAATTATTAACTTTTTGAAATATGATACATAAAAATTATTAAAAGTTACACTTTCTCAAAATATAAATAGATGTACTTATCAATACACTGACTATAATCTTGAGATTACACAGCTATAGAGATTTAATTTGGTAAAAAGACAGAGGTGTTGCGTCAAACATCTTACCTGTGACAGCAATAATTTGCACTCCAGTGCTTCTGATGCTCTCAAACACAGAAAAGAGAGTAAATAGGTATCTGGTTCCAGGAGAGAGAGATGAGATGATGTGGTTTATTGGCCCATTTCCATTTGGTACACTGATGTTTGTCTCTGTGCCATTAAACTGGAGAACAAAGCTGATGTTGTTGTTGATTTTATCCCACTTCAGAGTGATACTGCTCTCGTCTTGTTCTAATGCTCCGAAGGATTGTGCATTTTCAGGCGCTAAAAGAGATGAATCATGGATTAATTAATCTAAGTCTACCAGGCTTGGTGGTTTTATGTCTGAGTCAAGTTTAAGAATTCTTTATAATAACACCGAATGGCTCGAAAGCTGTATAGCCTAAGTTCTTGCCATTTATTGTCATGATTTTAAAATCAGCCTTTCTCAGTCCTCCCAATTCTAACGGCTCCACTGGGATGTAATATGTTTGATTAATCAATGTTAACACAAGTTATCTGCTATGAATAAGATTATAGGGTATTCCTTAGCTGGCTTTAGTAACATTAATCAATGTAGTACTGTCTTTGCTTGAAAACACTCCCACCTAGTGGCCAGAAACAGTTTATGGCATTTTTTCTTTTGGTCTAAATTATTAAAATATGTTAAGATGCAAAAATTATTAACTTTTCGAAATATGATACATAAAAATTGTTAAAAGTTACACTTTCTCAAAATATAAATGGATGTTGTTATCAATACACAGAGAATAATCTTGAGATTACACAGCTATAGAGATTTAATTTGGTAAAAAGACAGAGGTGTTGCGTCAAACATCTTACCTGTGACAGCAATAATTTGCACTCCAGTGCTTCTGATGCTCTCAAACACAGAAAAGAGAGTAAATAGGTATCTGGTTCCAGGAGAGAGAGATGAGATGATGTGGTTTATTGGCCCATTTCCATTTGGTACAGTGATGTTTGTCTCTGTGCCATTAAACTGGAGAACAAAGCTGATGTTGTTGTTGATTTTATCCCACTTCAGAGTGATACTGCTCTCGTCTTGTTCTAATGCTCCGAAGGATTTTGCATTTTCAGGAGCTAAAAGAGATGAATCATGGATTAATTAATCTAAGTCTACCAGGCTTGGTGGTTTTATGTCTGAGTCAAGTTTAAGAATTCTTTACATTAACACCGAATGGCTCGAAAGCTGTATAGCCTAAATTTTTGCCATTTATTGTCATGACTTTAAAATCAGCAATTCTCAGTCCTCATAATTATAAGGGCTCAACTGGGATGTAATGTGTTTGATTAATCAATGTTAACACAAGTTATCTGCTATGAATAAAATTATACGGTATTCCTTAGCTGGCTTTAGTAACTTTAATCAATGTAGTACTGTCTTTGTTTGAAAACACTCCCACCTAGTGGCCAGAAACAGTTTATGGCATTTTTTTTTTTGGTCTAAATTATTAAATTATGTGAAGATGCAAAAATTATTAACTTTTCGAAATATGATACATAAAAATTGTTAAAAGTTACACTTTCTCAAAATATAAATAGATGTTGTTATCAATACACAGAGAATAATCTTGAGAGTACAGAGCTATAGAGATTTAATTTGGTAAAAAGACAGAGGTGTTGCGTCAAACATCTTACCTGTGACAGCAATAATTTGCACTCCAGTGCTTCTGATGCTCTCAAACACAGAAAAGAGAGTAAATAGGTATCTGGTTCCAGGAGAGAGAGATGAGATGATGTGGTTTATTGGCCCATTTCCATTTGGTACACTGATGTTTGTCTCTGTGCCATTAAACTGGAGAACAAAGCTGATGTTGTTGTTGATTTTATCCCACTTCAGAGTGATACTGCTCTCGTCTTGTTCTAATGCTCCGAAGGATTTTGCATTTTCAGGAGCTAAAAGAGATGAATCATGGATTAATTAATCTAAGTCTACCAGGCTTGGTGGTTTTATGTCTGAGTCAAGTTTAAGAATTCTTTACATTAACACCGAATGGCTCGAAAGCTGTATAGCCTAAGTTTTTGCCATTTATTGTCATGACTTTAAAATCAGCAATTCTCAGTCCTCATAATTCTAAGGGCTCAACTGGGATGTAATGTGTTTGATTAATCAATGTTAACACAAGTTATCTGCTATGAATAAAATTATACGGTATTCCTTAGCTGGCTTTAGTAACTTTAATCAATGTAGTACTGTCTTTGTTTGAAAACACTCCAACCTAGTGGCCAGAAACAGTTTATGGCATTTTTTCTTTTGGTCTAAATTATTAAATTATGTGAAGATGCAAAAATTATTAACTTTTCGAAATATGATACATAAAAATTGTTAAAAGTTACACTTTCTCAAAATATAAATAGATGTACTTATCAATACACTGACTATAATCTTGAGATTACACAGCTATAGAGATTTAATTTGGTAAAAAGACAGAGGTGTTGCGTCAAACATCTTACCTGTGACAGCAAAAATGTGCACTCCAGAGCTTCTGACGCTCTCAAACACAGAAAAGAGAGTAAATAGGTATTTAGTTCCAGGAGAGAGAGATGAGATGGTGTGGTTTATTGGTCCATTTCCATTTGGTACAGTGATGTTTGTCTCTGTGCCATTAAACTGGAGAACAAAGCTGATGTTGTTGTTGATTTTATCCCACTTCAGAGTGATACTGCTCTCGTCTTGTTCTAATGCTCCGAAGGATTTTGCATTTTCAGGAGCTAAAAGAGATAAATCATGGATTAATCAATCTAAGTCTACTAGGCTTGGTGGTTTTATGTCTGAGTCAAGTTTAAGAATTCTTTATAATAACACCTTATGGCCCAGAAGGTATCCAGCTCATGCTTTTGCCATTTATTGTCATGAAATTAAAATTAGCAATACTTGAACCTTTAGAATGGTGTTGGATTAGTCATTGTTAGCACAAATCATCAGCTATGGATAAATGTATACAGTATTCTTTATATGGATTTAATTACTTAAAACCAGTGCAATACTATCTTTACTTGAAAACACTCCCCCCAATTGCGAGAAACATTTTCTGGTAATTTTTTCTTGGTCTAAATTCTTAAATTATGTGAAGATGCACAAATGGTGACTTTTTTCCAAATAAAAAAAAAAACATAAAAAATCTTTAAAAGAGACAGTTTATCCACATTAAATAAAATGTTGTTACAAACACTCTAACTATAATTTTTAGAGTAAAAAAACTATAAACAGTTAAACTGGTATAACGACACTGGTGACAGACTGGAGAACAAAGCTGATGTTGTTGTTGACTTTATCCTACTGCCGAGTGATACTGGTCTGATCTTGCTTTTAATGCTTAGAAGGATTCTGCATTTTCAGGGGCGTAAAGAGATAAATCATGTATCAATCAAAAGTCAAGTACAAGAATTCTTTATAATAACATCCTAATGGCCTAAAAGCTGTCATAGAGTTTTGCAGAACCAATGTCAGAACTATGTTTCAATTAAAAGAACAATATCCATTTAATACATTAATGTTTGTCTAGATGTCATTAAGCTAGGGAAATGTGACAGTTTTATATCTTTTTTGTTTTTGTTGGCTAAATAAATGATTCAATTACAGAACATTCTCACAGTTTAACTAGTGTTATGTTTTTTTTTTTTTTTTGGTCCAAGGGATTATTTCCCGTTCTTGAACGGGAAATAATCCCTTGGACCAATAGTTTTCTATTTAGCCATATTTTCAGCTGCTTCCAATAAATTACAATTATCACATTTTTCATAATTTATTTCTAATGTCACCTATTTTAGGTTAGGTCCTTGGAAGTTTTACCCCTTTGGTAACAAGTTACCACCTATGAATGATATGGATCTAAATAATGATTTATTACATCTAGCTTTATTTTTTTTTGTCCCATCTGATGTAGTCATATCTTTGCTGTATAATGTTCACCTTGTTTCTAGAAATACAATTTATGACCACATAGGAATTATGTTAAAGCTCTTACCAGTGACAGCTATTAGTTGAACTCCACTGCTTCTCACATTCTCAAACACAGAGAAAAGAGTAAATAGGTATTTAGTTTCAGCAGTGAGAGATGAGACTGTATGAGTTACTGGTCCATCCCCATTTGGTACATCGATGTTTGTCTCTGTGCCATTAAATTGGAGAACAAAACTGGTGTTGTTGCTGACTTTATTCCACTGCAGAGTGATACTGGATTCATCTTCTTCTGATTGTATGAAGCCTTCTGCATTTTGGTCAGCTGATTATTGAAAAAGGAGAAAAAAACAAGACAAATGCTATTTTTCTTTCTTTTTCTTGTTATAATACAGTGCTAGGATTTTTTTTTAATAAAAAGACTTTTTAAACCTTAAAGTACTTAGTTTGTTAATTATAATAGTCATGTATACTCCTCCATTTATTGCAGATTGTTTTCCTTCTTAGACTATAATGCTATAAGGTATAAAGTCTCATGTTTTATTTAATCTCCCTCAAATGTTAAAATGGTTGAAAAAGAAAATATCCCTTTTGTTAAGGAATAGTAAATACCTAGCGAGGTAAAATGTATGGGAAAAAAAGAATGGAAACATAGTGGACAGCCTATATAGATACTAGAGGTGAGTGTTGCGATTCGATACATGTTGCGATACTTGGGTCACGATACGATATTATCACGATATTGCAGTATCACTATATATTGCCATATTTTCCCCAGGTATCAAAATCAAATGATGAGATAAAACAGCAATTGCTGTATATTTTCATCAGAAAATATTGATTAGGTATTATTATCCATGGTGTTTGGGGTTTTCTTCCACTATGACTGCCTCAAATACAGATTTGGTGCTGCACACACAGTTAAAGGGCTCCACAGCGCTTTCTGCCAGAGTGGTGGTGCAGAGGTAGCCCATTTTCCCATCAATGTTTTTTGTAACCATTTTTTTTTTTTGAAAATCAATACTAAGAAGTGAAAGATCGATATTATATTGGGCAGCCGAATATCACAATATATCGCCAAAACGATTATTTCCCACACCCCTAATAGATACGATGATGCAATTATTCCTCCTGAAGACTTAGGGTGGCCATTTCTATAGCACCAAAAAGGAGGACATTGTGCGACATATCAAAAAACTACTAAGGTGTACATAAGAATCGGGTAAAGTCACATTTATAGCACAATTCTTAGTAGTTTAAAGAGGATGGTTGTGTAGCTGAATAGAACAAAATATTAAAGAAATGTAAAAAAGAATTGGTTCCCAGCATTTGTATTTATTTAATACATTGTGGTGTTTAAAAAGTGACCATTTTTTTAACACAATTAATTTGCGCAGAACTGCTGCAATTGATCATAAAGCAGTTGTTTGGAAAAGAAGCTCGAGAAAGAGCTAGAGAATAGGACGATGCAAACTGCAAAAAGTGGCTGGAAAAGAGGAATTCATGACATGGCTGCAGCCTGTCGAGAGTAAAGATGATTTCACCATGTTCTCTATCCATATCTATCTATATATCTATCTATCCATATCTATCTATATATATATATATATATATATATATATATATATATATATATATAAACTTGAGTCATGGAACTGTGCTTACAGCTCCTTATTTCATGTAAACTAATAACTTGTGTACATGATACTTGTTGATGGCATTAAAATTATTTCTAATAGCATTAAAAGAGCATTAAATTAGAGTTCCTCATTCTTGTATAAAACCTGTGAACGCTTAATTTAATCTGACATATTAAAAAAATCCCCATCATCATCCAGCAGATGTTCAGTTTCTGCCCAAATATTTTCTTTCTGTTGTGGATTTTTGTAACAGAGATAACTAGGATCATACATAGTTTGTATGAACTCTGTTTATTCTCTGCTTCCAAACTCATCATCTCATCCATTCCTGCAATAAGAATTTTCTTTTAAAGTTGTGAGATTCACTCTAGAATCTCACAACTTCTTCCTGGTCTGTCTGCATCCAATTATTTAATTAATTGCTCTTAGTTTTTGGGAATATATACAAACTATGCTCTAATTTCTAGATACCGATCTGTTTTTACTATAATTTAATTTGACAAACCGGGTCTTCTCTACATTCTTTTTTCTGTTTGGTGCGATTGCAATAGCGGGTCTTGATCTGGACGGACCGGAGGGGAGCAAAAAATAGCTCAGCTCCGTATTTTGACGGTGAAGGACGGAGAAGACGTACGTGGGCGGTGACGAGCGGAGGATGTGGAACAGCTCTCATTGATTTACATGACAGACAAGTACTCCGTACGTGAGCGGGGCGGAGCGCTGACGGAGTATGTGGAATCTGGGGGTAAAGGAGGACAAATACACGTCCGGCTGGGTGCAGCGCCGGACGCCGGACAGTGCAATGAAAATCCGGACTGTCCGCCCTAAAGCCGGACATCTGGCCACCCTATGAAGACTGGATTTGAAAAATGGGGCAAAATGTTCTCTGGAACTCAGCGTAATATCAGTTAGCTAACTTATCGGCTAGCTGTGCCCACCACCGGCAGCAGATTTTCATGTTCACAACATCTTTTTATACCTCCCTCAAAATATTGCACAGTATCTGCTTATTTAATCAAAACATTTGATTTCAGAAAAAAAAAAAACACACAATAAAACAAAAAAAAAAAACTGTTACCTGAACAGATGACACCAGCATCCTTGTGGTGTCCACAGTTATGGTTCTCAAATCCGTTGTGTGAACACTGTATAAGTAAACTTTCAGTCCCAGTGCAGTTCACATTATCAAGCCAAATTGGTCCTGTTCCTGGATCAAACTCAGCCTGGGTTGTGGCCTCCAGTGCTGTTCCACAGCCCAACTCTCTACAGATCACTTTAGCATCCTTAGAGTCCCACGAATCATCACAGACCGTTCCCCAGGTACTGTTGTAGTAGACTTCAACCCTTCCAGAACATCGAGTTGATCCAGTACCATTTAACCTGACGTTACCTTGAAGCAGAAGATCATATTGTAAAATTTAGGTTGGATTTTAATCAGATATAAATATAAATCATCAAGTGAAAAGAAATGTAGATTAAATAAAAATGGATAGACAACAAGTTTATTGCTCATTGCACTAAACAGGAATCAAACGTCTATTTGAAATGTCACCTTCCACTGTTTAAGAAAAAAAGAAGAGTTTTTTTTCATGGAACTTCATTTCGAAACCACTCTTCTGATTAATATCATAGCATTGGCTCTCAGACCTGATGCTTATGACAAATCACTACCCGAGAAATTTTTTTACCCTGGCTTGAGCACCGGTGTCCTAATCTCCAAATGTTGAACACCCACACTTAAGCTTTATCCCAAACGAGTCTAACCGCTCTTCTAATTTCCCCTATGAACAGCGTCCAGATTCTCTGACCTACACTCTATCAAATACTTCACAATGGGAAAATAGTGTATTCCTTGGCAACGGAGTGTATATTGTAGATAGTGTGTAACTGAGTACCAAAACAAGGCTAAGAGAACTATAACTAAGATCTAAATGCAGTGCAACATTGAACTTATACTAAACTAAGGGGGGGAAATGGTAAAGCTGAATACATACCAGTCTAATAAACCTTACAGTCAGTACTACACCAAGGGCAAAGCACTTCAACAGAGCAGAGTTAATTTTCAGCACAGTGGAACACCTAACACATAACTTGGTATTAAACACAGGAGGTGCTACAACTGAATATTACATCTCCCATAGTTATTTTACAAGATTTAACGCACTCTTAGTGCAACCATGCTGTCTCAGAACAGTTCAAACTGCGGTTTAAACAGGCTGTACACATAACCAAAAAATAGTAACAACCAAAAAGGGCTGAATGCCTCAAACTGTCTGTATCAACTACACTACACCGTTCTGTTCTTTTTTTCAATTTTTTTTATTAGTAAAACAGTCTCTTTACTTTTCAAATGTTCCTGATGGAACTCTGTTAGCTTTCACCCTAAAGGCTGATTTATTGTGTAGGTGTCGCAGTGAGTAAAAATCCGTCCCCGCCCCCTCCGCAGACACTCTGCTGCACCTCTCCCAAATTGTAGGTGACAGCAGACAGTGCTGCAGACAGGAGGCCGACTTTTTTTCTTTTTATGACCGTAATTGTGGAAAAGGACTCGTGAAGATGGACCAGCTAGAAGAGTGAGGTGCGCAAGAACGCTGGGACCCTTTTTCCACATGGATCCCCGCTCTTTTTGGCCCTCATGTTATGTCCCTCCGCTGTCGGACAGGTTAAGATTAATTCAAAGAGAAGTACCTTCATAATAAGATAATTTTCTTTAAAAATAAAAATTATTCAGCATTTTTTCCAAAAGAGCGGCATACATTTTATGAAGTATAAAATAAAAAAAATTTAAGGCAACAGCACCAGGATCTGTATGGTTAAATGAAAAACTCCAAAAAAGCCACAGAATTCATTTTTCCTCAAATTTGCTGGGCATCATAATTGATACAGTTTTTTTTTAATCTAAATATTGACTCAGATGTTGATAAAAATGGATCTACCTGATAAAAATGAGATAGATCATTATTAAAATATGTATTTTTAATAGGTATTTTGAACTCCTTATATTTTCACATATATGGCTGACATATTTTGTTCTCTAGTTGATCTGTATTGTTATTTTGGTTTTCAAAAAAATATGGCTAAAGCTTTTTCATCAACAAAGTTTGTTTTAAAAGATATACTTTCAGTAACACCATGATAAAATCTAATGCTTAATGATTAAAATCTTACCTGTAGCTGCAGTTATCGTGACTCCAGTGCTTCTTATGTTCTCAAACACAGAGAAAAGAGTGAATGTGTATTGGGTTGCAGGAGTTAGAGACGATGCTGTGTAGTATATTGGTCCATTGCCATTCGGTGCTGTGATGAGCTCCTCTGTACCATTAATCTGAAGAATAAAGTTGATGTTGCTGCTCACTTTATTCCACCGAAAAGTGATACTGGTCCCATCTCGTCTGGACACTATGAAGCCTTTTGGATTTTCAATAACTAAAAGGAAGCAGGAAGTGATTTATTTAAGAGGTGTAGCATGAAACTGTAGGGAAATTAAATAAACTAAAGTAAACTTCTTCTGACTAAAGTTATTTAGGATAAGAAAAAACAAAATGCCAGTAATTACTTCTAGAATGAACAAGATATATATTTTGTAACCTTATAGGCTAGCTGTGCCCACCACCGGCAGCAGATTTTCATGTTCACAAAATTTTTTTATAGCTCCCTAAAAATATTGCACAGTGTCTGCCTATTTAATCAAAACATTGGGTTTCAGAAAAAAAAAACACACAATAAAACAAAACGAACTGTTACCTGAACAGATGACACCAGCATCCTCGTTGTGTACACAGTTATGGCTCCCAAATCCGTTGTGTGAACACTGTATAAGTAAACTTTCATTCCCATTGCAGTTCACATTATCAAGCCAAATTTGTCCTGTTCCTGGATCAAACTCAGCCTGGGTTGTGGCCTCCAGTGCTGTTCCACAGCCCAACTCTCTACAAACCACTTGAGCATCATTGGAGTCCCACCAATCATCACAGACCGTTCCCCAGGTATTGTTGTAGTAGACTTCAACCCTTCCAGAACATCGAGTTGATCCAGTACCATTTAACCTGACGTTACCTTGAAGCAGAAGATCATATTGTAAAATTTAGCTTGGATATAAATCAGCTATTTTATCAAATCGCACCATCAACTGAAAAAAAATGTAGATTAAATAAAAATCGATGACAGACAAACAAAGGTTATTGCTCATTGCACTAAACATGAATCAAACATTTATTTGAAATATCACCTTCTACTGTTTAAGAAAGTTTTTTCATGGAACTTCATTTCGAAACCACTCTTCTGATTAATATCAAAGCATTGACTCTCAGACCTAATGCTTATGACAAATCACTACCCGAGAAAAAAATTTACCCTGGCTTGAGCACCAGTGTCCTAATCTCCAAATGTTGAACACCCACACTTAAGCTTTATCCCAAACGAGTCTAACCGCTCTTCTAATTTCCCCTATGAACAGCGTCCAGATTCTCTGACCTACACTCTATCAACTACTTCACAATGGGAAAATAGTGTATTCATTGGCAACGGAGTGTATGTTGTAGATAGTGTGTAACTGAGTACCAAAACAAGGCTAAGAGAACTATAACTAAGATCTAAATGCAGTGCAACATTGAACTTATACTAAACTAAGGGGGGGGAAATTGTAAAGCTGAATACATACCAGTCTAATAAACCTTACTAGTCAGTACTACTGTAGAAGAGTGAGGTGCCCAAGAACGCTGGGACCCTTTTTCCACCTGGATCCCCGCTCTTTTTGGCCCTCATGTCCCTCCGCTGTCGGACAGGTTAAGATTAATTCAAAGAGAAGTACCTTCATAATAGGATAATTTTCTTTAAAAGCCAACCGTTTCACCTCTCAATCCATTACAGGGATCCGGACCTTCTCCGTCCTTACATTTACAGCATTACACAGACTTATTTTACAGAACATGATACTTTTAAGGCTTTTCTTCAAATGGATTCTACGTTTCAGAGACACAGATTTAATGAGGTGATTAAAAACAACTTAATTGGCAGGGGTTCGGAGATTTTTTGTTTGTTTAATATGAGCGACATGCTCATAATATGATACCTTTTCTCTGCAATACCCAAAGAACTACTGAAATTATTTTCACATAGAATTACCTTAGGTTTAGGAGTTTTTCAGTGATTAAAAACCTACTTAGCCTACTAGTGGAAGGGGGGGAAAATGTGAAGCCATTCTATGGGATTGATAACCACTAACAATGGTCATTTATTGGGATGATAACATCCCCATTAGATGATGTACAGGGCCTATCTATGTGAACATTTTTAGACTTCATGTTCACCTGCTGACAGGTGATTGTACCTCAACAGATACACTGATCCACTACTATTTAAGCAATAAACTAGTTTTTCCAGCAATGATGTGGTGATTACAGCAGGACGACCATTTTAATATGCTGGAATGAATATGTATTTCTGATACTTGAACAAATTTTAGTTGTCAAAATGACATTTCAAACAAAATGACATTCTTCTCATCTAGAACAAACATTATGGATTTCTAGAAATTAATTTCAGATCTCCATATTGCTATTGTCACTGGTCATCATTTGTATTACTTTGACTATGAGGAAGTGGTTTCAGATATGAATACATATATGAATACATATTCAGTCAAACTGATAAATGTTAAACTGGCCACTATATTTAAGCATTTCTAGGTATCAAAAACATAATTCTTACTATTGCTGTATTCTTACTGTGCAATTTTTTTTTTTTTTTTACTTTCTGAAATTCTGTTTCTGCAGCAAACATGTAATTTAGAACATCTGGTGTTATATGTTCCAAATAGCAATGCAAATTTGACAAGTAAGAATCCTATTTTAGTGATGTAGAAATGTAATATTAGAGAAAGCTTTTTATAGATGGCAAAATGGCCTGCTATAAGAGACTTCAAATTAATATAGACATTAACTCGAGCAGCAGTCTTCTCTTTCGCCATCTTCCTGTTCTTTGCAGCTGTAGCAACCAACCAACCAACCAACCAATCAATCTTCATTGTCAACTACAATTTGGATTGTTAAATCTCTTGTTACAGTGTTCTGAAAAAGGCACTTGCTGTTGTATGCTTTTCTGGTGACTCGCTGAATCAGGGGTCCACTGATAATGGCTTTTCATACTTTGTTACGCATGTGCAACTCTGAGAGGACCTACTTAGAGTTGATTAAACTAATTCATAGCAACTTTTATGAAACCAAAAACTCAGAGTTTAGAGTTGAGGATTTAAATCTGAGTTTGTCAAACCTGCTTTGTGAAATGGACCCCAGTTCTGACTACAAAGCAAAATAAAACCACTGATTTGAAAAAAAATTAAAATTATTCAACATTTTTTCCAAAAGAGCGGCATACATTTTATGAAGTATAAAATAAAAAGTAAAAAAAAATTTAAGGCAAAAGCACCAGGATCTGTATGGTTAAATGAAAAACTCCATAAAAGCAACAGAATTCATTTTTTCTAAAATTTGCTGGGCATCATCATGATACCGTTTTTTTTAATTCTAAATATTGACTCAGATGTTGATAAAAATTGGTCTACCTGATAAAAATTAGATAGATCATTATTAAAATACGTATTTTTAATAGGTATTTTGAACTCCTTATATTTTCACATATATGGCAGAAATATTTTGTTCTCTAGTTGATCTGTATTGTAATTTTGGTTTTAAAAAAAGTATGGCTAAAGCTTTTTCATCAACAAAATTTGTTTTAAAAGATATACTTTCAGTAACACCCTGATTAAATCTAATGGTTAATGATTAAAATCTTACCTGTAGCTGCAGTTATCGTGACTCCAGTGCTTCTTATGTTCTCAAACACAGAGAAAAGAGTGAATGTGTATTGGGTTGCAGGAGTTAGAGACGATGCTGTGTAGTATATTGGTCCATTGCCATTCGGTGCTGTGATGAGCTCCTCTGTACCATTAATCTGAAGAATAAAGTTGATGTTGCTGCTCACTTTATTCCACCGAAAAGTGATACTGGTCCCATCTCGTCTGGACACTATGAAGCCTTCTGGATTTTCAATAACTAAAAGGAAGCAGGAAGTGATTTATTTAAGAGGTGTAGCATGAAACTGTAGGGAAATTAAATAAACTAAAGTAAACCTTTTCTGACTAAAGTTATTTAGGATAAGAAAAAACCAAATGCCAGTAATTACTTCTAGAATGAACAAGATATATATTTTGTAACCTTATAGGCTAGCTGTGCCCACCACCGGCTGCAGATTTTCATGTTCACAACATTTTTTTATACCTCCCTAACAATATTGCACAGTGTCTGCCTATTTAATCAAAACATTTGTTTTCAGAAAAAAAAACACACAATAAAACAAAACAAACGGTTACCTGAACAGATGACACCAGCATCCTCGTTGTGTACACAGTTATGGTTCCCAAATCCGTTGTGTGAACACTGTATAAGTAAACTTTCAGTCCCATTGCAGTCCACATTATCAAGCCAAATTGGTCCTGTTCCTGGATCAAACTCAGCCTGGGTTGTGGCCTCCAGTGCTGTTCCACAGCCCAACTCTCTACAGACCACTTTAGCATCCTTAGAGTCCCACGAATCATCACAGACCGTTCCCCAGGTACTGTTGTAGTAGACTTCAACCCTTCCAGAACATCGAGTTGATCCATTACCATTTAACCTGACATTACCTTGAAGCAGAAGATCATATTGTAAAATTTAGCTTGGATATAAATCAGCTATTTAATCAAATCGCACCATCAAGAGAAAAGAAATGTAGATTAAATAAAAATCGATGACAGACAAACAAAGGTTATTGCCATCGGCGTCGCCAGACCCCATTTACTGGGGCACGTGCCCCAGTATAAATGAGCTGTGCCCCAGTATAAATCTCATGAATATTTGCAACAGTATTACATTTTTTTAATGCATCAATTTAGATATTTCCAATGGAAGGAGACGTATATTTCTACTCAAATGCGCAGCAAGTGTGTTGGTAACTCCAAATTAAGGATGTATTAGCGCCCCCACGTTAGCGCATGTCACTGCATGAACTGCAGGTAAATTAACGCGCTGCTCTCAACTGAGTTGGATGGGACACTGTGCGGCCGCGACGCATTTTTAGTTCTGGTAACTTTCCTTACCTGTCAATTTTATTATTTTCCCAGTGAAACCACATGATTTATAGGCTACTAACTGAAAATTACTGCATTGGTTTGTAGATGGATATCAGGAAATTCCTCACACGAAGCAGAGACAGGGAAGCAGTAAAACAAGATGAGAGGGAGGGAGGTAAGGTCCCGTAATGAATTAGTGATTTAATGTAACCAGTTACATTAGGAACGTTATAAGTAATATGATAGATATTTACATAATTATAAATTTGCGGGGTTTTTTTATGTTTGCTGTAGAGAATGAGAATACAGGTGCTGGAGTAGGAAAGGGAGGAGGAGGCGAGACTGACAGGCAAGAGACAGGTGAAGGACAGGAGAGACAGGACCATGAAGGTGATGAGGATGCAACAACCAGCGTCCACAAACAAGAAGGGGACATTAGTGATTTAGCGGGAAAGCATGATGGTCCTAAACAAGTGAAGTTGTCCCACCATCCCCAGCACAAATTTGGAGTAAAAAAACGTTCATTTAATTCAAAATGGTTTGAGCTTTTCCTGGTTAAAAAAGAAAGCCTTGTTATCAAGGATATGTAGTGTGTTTTCAACTTGCTTGATAACATCATGTTCCCAACACTAACGCAGGTCATCCAGATCTCCCTCACAATCCCAGTCTACAGCTGGAGTTGTGAAAGGTCATTCAGTGTGTTGAGAAGGCTCCACACTTGGCCGAGGTGCACAATGGGACAAGATAGGCTCCATCATCTTGCTATTTTATCAGTTGAAAAGGAAGAACTTTCTAAGCTGAGTCACAAGTAATTGACCACTTTGCAAAAATGATAAATAGGAGGTACACTTTAATGCTCAAAAAATAAAAGGAAAACTTAGCTCAGGATGAGTTAAAATTTCCCCCGAACTAAAACTCTGTAACCTAGGAATTAATGATTACTTCAGAATGTGTATAAGGAAACTTTTTATTTGTCAAAGTTGTTGATGTCTTATTTTTTATAGCTGCAATGTTGAAAATGTTCATGTTTGTTAAAACAAATATGCTCTTATACTCATTAATATCTCAACTGGTAATTTTGGTAGGAATGTATCAGGGTTGGGCAGTGTGCTTGTCTGTATTTATGTATGGAAGGAGGGGCATATGCACTAGGGGGCCAGTGCCCCAGTAAAGCTTTTTGCCTAGCAACGCCCCTGGTTATTGCTCATTGCACTAAACAGGAATCAAACATTTATTTGAAATATAACCTTCTACTGTTTAAGAAAGTTTTTTTCATGGAACTTCATTTCGAAACCACTCTTCTGATTAATATCAAAGCATTGACTCTCAGACGTGATGCTTATGACAAATCACTACCCGAGAAAAAAATTGACCCTGGCTTGAGCACCAGTGTCCTAATCTCCAAATGTTGAACACACACACTTAAGCTTTATCCCAAACGAGTGTAACCGCTCTTCTAATTTCCCCTATGAACAGCGTCCAGATTCTCTGACCTACACTCTATCAACTACTTCACAATGGGAAAATAGTGTATTCATTGGCAACAGAGTGTATGTTGTAAATAGAGTGTGTAACTGAGTACCAAAACAAGGCTAAGAGAACTATAACTAAGATCTAAATGCAGTGCAACATTGAACTTATACTAAACTAAGGGGGGGAAATGGTAAAGCTGAATACATACCAGTCTAATAAACCTTACTAGTCAGTACTACACCAAGGGCAAAGCACATTAACAGAGCACAGTTAGATTTCAGCACAGTGGAACACCTAAAACATTACTGGGTATCAATCACAGGAGGTGCTACAACTGAATATTACAACTCCCATAGTTATGACCGTAATTGTGGAAAAGGACTCGTGAAGATGGACCAGCTAGAAGAGTGAGGTGCGCAAGAACGCTGGGACCCTTTTTCCACCTGGATCCCCGCTCTTTTTGGCCCTCATGTTATGTCCCTCCGCTGTCGGACAGGTTAAGATTAATTCAAAGAAAAGTACCTTCATGATCAGATAATTTTCTTTAAAAGCCAACCGTTTCACCTCTCAATCCATTACAGGCATCTGGACCTTCTCCGTCCTTACATTTACAGCATTACACAGACTTATTTTACAGAACATGATACTTTTAAGGCTTTTCTTCAAATGGATTCTATGTTTCAGACACACAGATTTAATGAGGTGATTAAAAACAACTCAATTGGCAGGGGTTTGGAGATTTTTTGTTTGTTTAATATGAGCGACATGCTCATAATATGATGCATTTTCTCTGCAATACCCAAAGAACTACTGAAATTATTTTCACATAGAATTACCTTAGGTTTAGGAGTTTTTCAGTGATTAAAAACCTACTTAGCCTACTAGTGGAAAGGGGGGGGGGGGGGGGGGATGTGAAGCCATTCTATGGGATTGATAACCACTAACAATGGTCATTTATTGGGATGATAACATCCCCATTAGATGATGTACAGGGCCTATCTATGTGAACATTTTTAGACTTCATGTTCACCTGCTGACAGGTCATTGTACCTCAACAGATACACTGATCCACTACTATTTAAGCAATAAACTAGTTTTTCCAGCAATGATGTGGTGATTACAGCAGGACGACCATTTTAATATGCTCGACTGAATATGTATTTCTGATACCTGAAATAATTTTCCTTGTCAAAATGACCATTTTAAAAAAATGACATTGTTCTCATCTAGAACAAACATTATGGATTTCTAGAAATTAATTTCAGATCTCCATATTGCTAATGTCACTGGTCATCATTTGTATTACTTTGACTATGAGGAAGTGGTTTCAGATATCATGAATACATATTCAGTCAAACTGAAATGTTAAACTGGCCACTATATTTAAGTATTTCTAGGTATCTAAAATATAATTCTTACTGTTGCTGTATTCTTACTGTGCACATTTTTTATTTTTTTTTTACTTTCTGAAATTCTGTTTCTGCAGCAAACATGTAATTAAGAACATCTGGTGTTATATGTTCCAAATAGCAATGCAAATTTGACAAGTAAGAATCCTATTTTAATGATGTAGAAATGTAATATTAGAGAAAGCTTTTTATAGATGGCAAAATGGCCTGCTATACGAGACTTCAAATTAATATAGACATTAACTCGAGCAGCAGTCTTCTCTTTCGCCATCTTCCTGTTCTTTGCAGCTGTAGCAACCAACCAACCAATCGATCTTCATTGTCAACTACAATTTGGATTGTTAAATCTCTTGTTACAGTGTTCTGAAAAAGGCACTTGCTGTTGTATGCTTTTCTGGTGACTCGCTGAATCAGGGGTCCACTGATAATGGCTTTTCATACTTTGTTACGCATGTGCAACTCTGAGAGGACCTACTTAGAGTTGATTAAACTAATTCATAGCAACTTTTATGAAACCGAAAACTCAGAGTTTAGAGTTGAGGATTTAAATCTGAGTTTGTCAAACCTGCTTTGTGAAATGGACCCCAGTTCTGACTACAAAGCAAAATAAAACCACTGATTTGAAAAAAAATTTAAATTATTCAGAATTTTTTCCAAAAGAGCGGCATACATTTTATGAAGTATCAAATTTAATAACAGAAAATATTTAATGCAACAGCACCAGGATCTGTATGGTTAAATGAAAAACTCCAAAAAAGCCACAGAATTCATTTTTCCTCAAATTTGCTGGGCATCATCATGATAGTTTTTTTTCTAAATCTAAATATTGACTAAGATGTTGATAAAAATGGGTCTACCTGATAAAAATGAGATAGATCATTATTAAAATATGTATTTTTAATAGGTATTTTGAACTCTTTATATTTTCACATATATGGCAGAAATATTTTGTTCTCTAGTTGATCTGTATTGTTATTTTGGTTTTAAAAAAAGTATGGCTAAAGCTTTTTCATCAACAAAATTTGTTTTAAAAGATATACTTTCAGTAACACCATGATTAAATCTAATGGTTAATGATTAAAATCTTACCTGTATCTGCAGTTATCGTGACTCCAGTGCTTCTTATGTTCTCAAACACAGAGAAAAGAGTGAATGTGTATTGGGTTGCAGGAGTTAGAGACGATGCTGTGTAGTATATTGGTCCATTGCCATTCGGTGCTGTGATGAGCTCCTCTGTACCATTAATCTGAAGAATAAAGTTGATGTTGCTGCTCACTTTATTCCAACGAAAAGTGATACTGGTCCCATCTCGTCTGGACACTATGAAGCCTTCTGGATTTTCAATAACTAAAAGGAAGCAGGAAGTGATTTATTTAAGAGGTGTAGCATGAAACTGTAGGGAAATTAAATAAACTAAAGTAAACTTTTTCTTACTAAAGTTATTTAGGATAAGAAAAAAACAAAATGTCAGTAATTACTTCTAGAATGAACAAGATATATTTTTTGTAACCTTATAGGCTATCTGTGCCCACCACCGGCAGCAGATTTTCATGTTCACAACATTTTTTTATACCTCCCTAACAATATTGCACAGTATCTGCCTGTTTAATCAAAACATTTGTTTACAGAAAAAAAAACCTACTCAATAAAACAAAACGAACTGTTACCTGAACAGATGACACCAGCATCCTCGTTGTGTACACAGTTATGGCTCCCAAATCCGTTGTGTGAACACTGTATAAGTAAACTTTCAGTCCCATTGCAGTTCACATTATCAAGCCAAATTTGTCCTGTTCCTTGACCAAACTCAGCCTGGGTTGTGGCCTCCAGTGCTGTTCCACAGCCCAACTCTCTACAAACCACTTGAGCATCATTGGAGTCCCACAAATCATCACAGACCGTTCCCCAGGTACTGTTGTAGTAGACTTCAACCCTTCCAGAACATCGAGTTGATCCAGTACCATTTAACCTGACGTTACCTTGAAGCAGAAGATCATATTGTAAAATTTAGCTTGGATATAAATCAGCTATTTTATCAAATCGCACCATCAACTGAAAAAAAATGTAGATTAAATAAAAATGGATGACAGACAAACAAGTTTATTGCTCATTGCACTAAACAGGAATCAAACGTTTATTTGAAATGTCACCTTCTACTGTTTAAGAAAAAAAGAAGAGTTTTTTTTCATGGAACTTCATTTCGAAACCACTCTTCTGATTAATATCAAAGCATTGGCTCTCAGACCTGATGCTTATGACAAATCACTACCCGAGAAAAAAATTGACCCTGGCTTGAGCACCGGTGTCCTAATCTCCAGATGTTAAACACACACACTTAAGCTTTATCCCAAACTAGTATAACCGCTCTTCTAATTTCCCCTATGAACAGCGTCCAGATTCTCTGACCTACACTCTATCAACTACTTCACAATGGGAAAATAGTGTATTAATTGGCAACAGAGTGTATGTTGTAAATAGAGTGTGTAACTGAGTACCAAAACAAGGCTAAGAGAACTATAACTAAGATCTAAATGCAGTGCAACATTGAACTTATACTAAACTAAGGGGGGGAAATGGTAAAGCTGAATACATACCAGTCTAATAAACCTTACTAGTCAGTACTACACCAAGGGCAAAGCACATTAACAGAGCACAGTTAGATTTCAGCACAGTGGAACACCTAACACATAACTGGGTATCAATCACAGGAGGTGCTACAACTGAATATTACATCTCCCATAGTTATTAATAAGATTTAAGGCACTCTTAGTGCAACCATGCTGTCTCAGAACAGTTCAAACTGCGGTTTAAACAGGCTGTACACATAACCAATAAATAGTAACAACCAAAAAGGGCTGAATGCCTCAAACTGTCTGTATCAACTACACTACTCCGTTCTGTTCTTTTTTTCAAATTTTTTATTAGTAAAACAGTCTCTTTACTTTTTAAATGTTCCTGATGGAACTCCGTTAACTTTCACCCTAAAGGCTGATTTATACTGTGTAGTTGTCGCAGTGAGTAAAAATCCGTCCCCGCCCCCTCCGCAGACACTCTGCTGCACCTCTCCCAAATTGTAGGTGACAGCAGACAATGCCGCAGACAGGAGGCCGACTTTTTTTGCTTTTATGACCGTAATTGTGGAAAAGGACTCGTGAAGATGGACCAGCTAGAAGAGTGAGGTGCGCAAGAACGCTGGAACCCTTTATCCACCTGGATCCCCACTCTTTTTGGCCCTCATGTTATGTCCCTCCGCTGTCGGACAGGTTAAGATTAATTCAAAGAGAAGTACCTTCATAATCAGATAATTTTCTTTAAAAGCCAACCGTTTCACCTCTCAATCCATTACAGGCATCCGGACCTTCTCCGTCCTTACATTTACAGCATTACACAGACTTATTTTACAGAACATGATACTTTTAAGGCTTTACTTCAAATGGATTCTACGTTTCAGAGACACACATTTAATAAGGTGATTAAAAACAACTTAATTGGCAGGGGTTCAGAGATTTTTTGTTTGTTTAATATGAGCGACATGCTCATAATATGATACATTTTCTCTGCAATACCCAAAGAACTACTGAAATTATTTTCACATAGAATTACCTTAGGTTTAGGAGTTTTTCAGTGATTAAAAACCTACTTAGCCTACTAGTGGAAGGGGGGGAAAATGTGAAGCCATTCTATGGGATTGATAACCACTAACAATGGTCATTTATTGGGATGATAACATCCCCATTAGATGATGTACAGGGCCTATCTATGTGAACATTTTTAGACTTCATGTTCACCTGCTGACAGGTGATTGTACCTCAACAGATACACTGATCCACTACTATTTAAGCAATAAACTAGTTTTTCCAGCAATGATGTGGTGATTACAGCAGGACGACCATTTTAATATGCTCGACTGAATATGTATTTCTGATACCTGAAATAATTTTAGTTGTCAAAATGACATTTCAAACAAAATGACATTCTTCTCATCTAGAACAAACATTATGGATTTCTAGAAATTAATTTCAGATCTCCATATTGCTATTGTCACTGGTCATCATTTGTATTACTTTGACTATGAGGAAGTGGTTTCAGATATCATGAATACATATTCAGTCAAACTGATAAATGTTAAACTGGCCACTATATTTAAAGCTACAGTGTGTAATTTTTAGCGACATCTAACGTTCAGACTGCAGACTGCAGCAACATGAACATCTCCCCCCACCTCTTCTCCCCCCCAACAGTATGGCGAGCGTTACGGGACAAAATGTCTTCCACGACGTCCGCATCACCTACCTTCTCAAGTGATGAGGTTTGTTTACGTAGATAATTTTACAGATAGTATTCTCAGGCATAATACTGCCATCTATTGTTCAGTACTGTCTCAGTTCATCTCTCTCAACTTGCCGTAGTTACTTTCGAGCGTAATGGGCGATCTCGCAATCGCTAGTTTGTTGGCTCTGCGCTGCCGTAGCGCAAAGATGTCTGCCTCCATGGCTGCGAGACCCGCTCCTATGTAATTATAAATAACGAATTCTAAGGCAACGCAAATATTAAGGTTAAGAGGCTGAGCTCGTAGATGATGATAAATAACATAGTTATGTATAATATATTACATTTCTGACTGTATATCCCAGTAATTATTACACACTGTAGCTTTAAGCATTTCTAGGTATCTAAAACATAATTCTTACTATTCCTGTATTCTTACTGTGCAATTTTGTTTTGTTTTTTTACTTTCTGAAATTCTGTTTTTGCAGCAAACATGTAATTTAGAACATCTGGTGTTATATGTTCCGAATAGCAATGCAAATTTGACAAGTAAGAATCCTATTTTAATGATGTAGAAATGTAATATTAGAGAAAGCTTTTTATAGATGGCAAAATGGCCTGCTATACGAGACTTCAAATTAATATAGACATTAACTCGAGCAGCAGTCTTCTCTTTCGCCATCTTCCTGTTCTTTGCAGCTGTAGCAACCAACCAACCAACCAACCAATCAATCTTCATTGTCAACTACAATTTGGATTGTTAAATCTCTTGTTACAGTGTTCTGAAAAAGGCACTTGCTGTTGCTTGCTGTTCTGATGACTCGCTGAATCAGGGGTCCACTGATAATGGCTTTTCATACTTTGTTACGCATGTGCAACTCTGAGAGGACCTACTTAGAGTTGATTAAACTAATTCATAGCAACTTTTATGAAACCGAAAACTCAGAGTTTAGAGTTGAGGATTTAAATCTGAGTTTGTCAAACCTGCTTTGTGAAATGGACCCCAGTTCTGACTACAAAGCAAAGTAAAACCACTGATTTGAAAAAAAATTGAAATTATTCAGCATTTTTTCCAAAAGAGCGGCATACATTTTATGAAGTATCAAATTTAAAAACAGAAAATATTTAATGCAACAGCACCAGGATCTGTATGGTTAAATGAAAAACTCCAAAAAAGCCACAGAATTCATTTTTCCTCAAATTTGCTGGGCATCATCATGATACAGTTTTTTTTTAAATCTAAATATTGACTCAGAAGTTGATAAAAATGAGTCTACCTGATAAAAATGAGATAGATCATTATTAAAATATGTATTTTTAATAGGTATTTTGAACTCTTTATATTTTCACATATATGGCTGACATATTTTGTTCTCTAGTTGATCTGTATTGTTATTTTGGTTTAAAAAAAAGTATGGCTAAAGCTTTTTCATCAACAAATTTATTTTTAAAAGATATGCTTTCAGTAACACCATGATTAAATCTAATGGTTAATGATTAAAATCTTACCTGTAGCTGCAGTTATCGTGACTCCAGTGCTTCTTATGTTCTCAAACACAGAGAAAAGAGTGAATGTGTATTGGGTTGCAGGAGTTAGAGACAATGCTGTGTAGTATATTGGTCCATTGCCATTCGGTGCTGTGATGAGCTCCTCTGTACCATTAATCTGAAGAATAAAGTTGATGTTGCTGCTCACTTTATTCCACCGAAAAGTGATACTGGTCCCATCTCGTCTGGACACTATGAAGCCTTCTGGATTTTCAATAACTAAAAGGAAGCAGGAAGTGATTTATTTAAGAGGTGTAGCATGAAACTGTAGGGAAATTAAATAAACTAAAGTAAACGTTTTCTGACTAAAGTTATTTAGGATAAGAAAAAACAAAATACCAGTAATTACTTCTAGAATGAACAAGATATATATTTTGTAACCTTATAGGCTAGCTGTGCCCACCACCGGCAGCAGATTTTCATGTTCACAACATTTTTTATAGCTCCCTAAAAATATTGCACAGTGTCTGCCTGTTTAATCTGAAACCTGAAGCTCAAAGGGGACCGAGCATTCTCTGTGGCAGCTCCCAAACTGTGGAATGCCCTCCCCCTTTCTATCAGACAGGCCCCTACACTCAGCTCTTTTAAAACCCTTTTAAAGACCCACTTTTTCTCTCAGGCCTTTGAGTGAGACCTCGACTTTTTTTTTTTTTTTTTTGCTCTTATTGTTTTTTTTAATCTTTGAGTTTGTCCTGTGTTGTGGTGATAATTGTGTTTTATAATCTGCTCAAATGACCTGTACAGCACTTTGATTTTAGCTTTGACTGACTGAAAGCGCTTTATAAATAAAGTTGAGTTGAGTTAATCAAAACATTTGTTTTCAGAAGGAAAAAAAACCTACTCAATAAAACAAAACGAACTGTTACCTGAACAGATGACACCAGCATCCTCGTTGTGTACACAGTTATGGCTCCCAAATCCGTTGTGTGAACACTGTATAAGTAAACTTTCAGTCCCATTGCAGTTCACATTATCAAGCCAAATTTGTCCTGTTCCTTGACCAAACTCAGCCTGGGTTGTGGCCTCCAGTGCTGTTCCACAGCCCAACTCTCTACAAACCACTTGAGCATCATTGGAGTCCCACAAATCATCACAGACCGTTCCCCAGGTACTGTTGTAGTAGACTTCAACCCTTCCAGAACATCGAGTTGATCCAGTACCATTTAACCTGACGTTACCTTGAAGCAGAAGATCATATTGTGAAATTTAGCTTGGATATAAATCAGCTATTTTATCAAATCGCACCATCAAGTGAAAAGAAATGTAGATTAAATAAAAATGAATGACAGAAAAACAAGTTTATTGCTCATTGCACTAAACAGGAATCAAACGTTTATTTGAAATGTCACCTTCTACTGTTTAAGAAAAAAAGAAGAGTTTTTTTTCATGGAACTTCATTTCGAAACCACTCTTCTGATTAATATCAAAGCATTGGCTCTCAGACCTGATGCTTATGACAAATCACTACCCGAGAAAAAAATTGACCCTGGCTTGAGCACCGGTGTCCTAATCTCCAAATGTTGAACACACACACTTAAGCTTTATCCCAAACGAGTCTAACCGCTCTTCTAATTTCCCCTATGAACAGCGTCCAGATTCTCTGACCTACACTCTATCAACTACTTCACAATGGGAAAATAGTGTATTCATTGGCAACCGAGTGTATGTTGTAAATAGAGTGTGTAACTGAGTACCAAAACAAGGCTAAGAGAACTATAACTAAGATCTAAATGCAGTGCGACATTGAACTTATACTAAACTAAGGGGGGGAAATGGTAAAGCTGAATACATACCAGTCTAATAAACCTTACTAGTCAGTACTACACCAAGGGCAAAGCACATTAACAGAGCACAGTTAGATTTCAGCACAGTGGAACACCTAACACATAACTGGGTATCAATCACAGGAGGTGCTACAACTGAATATTACATCTCCCATAGTTATTAATAAGATTTAAGGCACTCTTAGTGCAACCATGCTGTCTCAGAACAGTTCAAACTGCGGTTTAAACAGGCTGTACACATAACCAAAAAATAGTAACAACCAAAAAGGGCTGAATGTCTTCCTGCTGTTTTGTTTTCTGTGGCATCTTTATGCTTGTACTTTTTAGCTTCCTGTTTTTAATGTTTTATCTACCTGTACATTGTCCTTGGGTGTTTTGATAAGGCACTTTCAAATAAAATGTATTATTATTCTTATCATTAACATATAATTCTTACTATTGCTGTATTCTTACTGTGCAATTTAGTTTTTTTTTTTTTTTCTGAAATTCTGTTTCTGCAGCAAACATGTAATTAAGAACATCTGGTGTTATATGTTCCGAATAGCAATGCAAATTTGACAAGTAAGAATCCTATTTTAGTGATGTAGAAATGCAATATTAGAGAAAGCTTTTTATAGATGGCAAAATGGCCTGCTATACGAGACTTTATATTAATACAGGCATTAACTCGAGCAGCAGTCTTCTCTTTCGCCATCTTCCTGTTCTTTGCAGCTGTAGCAACCAACCAACCAACCAACCAATCGATCTTCATTGTCAACTACAATTTGGATTGTTAAATCTCTTGTTACAGTGTTCTGAAAAAGGCACTTGCTGTTGTATGCTTTTCTGGTGACTCGCCGAATCAGGGGTCCACTGATAATGGCTTTTCATACTTTGTTACGCATGTGCAACTCTGAGAGAACCTACTTAGAGTTGATTAAACTAATTCATAGCAACTTTTATGAAACCGAAAACTCAGAGTTTAGAGTTGAGGATTTAAATCTGAGTTTGTCAAACCTGCTTTGTGAAATGGACCCCAGTTCTGACTACAAAGCAAAATAAAACCACTGATTTGAAAAAAAATTTAAATTATTCAGAATTTTTTCCAAAAGAGCGGCATACATTTTATGAAGTATAAAATAATAATAATAAAAAAAATTTAATGCAACAGTACCAGGATCTGTATGGTTAAATGAAAAACTCCAAAAAAGCCACAGAATTCCTTTTTCCTCAAATTTGCTGGGCATCATCATGATACAGTTTTTTTTTTTATTCTAAATATTGACTCAGATGTTGATAAAAATGGATCTACCTGATAAAAATGAGACAAATCATTATTAAAATATGTATTTTTAATAGGTATTTTGAACTCCTTATATTTTCACATATATGGCTGAAATATTTTGTTCTCTAGTTGATCTGTATTGTTATTTTGGTTTTAAAAAAAGTATGGCTAAAGCTTTTTCATAAACAAAGTTTGTTTTAAAAGATATGCTTTCAGTAACACCATGATTAAATCTAATGGTTAATGATTAAAATCTTACCTGTAGCTGCAGTTATCGTGACTCCAGTGCTTCTTATGTTCTCAAACACAGAGAAAAGAGTGAATGTGTATTGGGTTGCAGGAGTTAGAGACAATGCTGTGTAGTATATTGGTCCATTGCCATTCGGTGCTGTGATGAGCTCCTCTGTACCATTAATCTGAAGAATAAAGTTGATGTTGCTGCTCACTTTATTCCAACGAAAAGTGATACTGGTCCCATCTCGTCTGGACACTATGAAGCCTTCTGGATTTTCAATAACTAAAAGGAAGCAGGAAGTGATTTATTTAAGAGGTGTAGCATGAAACTGTGGGGAAATTAAATAAACTAAAGTAAACTTTTTCCTACTAAAGTTATTTAGGATAAGAAAAAACAAAATGCCAGTAATTACTTCTAGAATGAACAAGATATATATTTTGTAACCTTCTTAAAATACGAGCAATATACATATAGTATTAACCTATTATGTTGTTGAATTGGCTTTAAAATGTTATGACCTGGCCCATTGATTGGATCCTGCTCCAAATCTGTCACAGTAGTTTTCTGATGTTTTGGTCCACTTAAACTGAGAACAGATCTCTGTAATGGCAACTCTTACTGGTTTTATTATGCATAGCCCGAATGTAACTGTATTTTACTGTATAGTTAAGCTTTACAAAAACTACCTGTCTCTCCTGCAGCATTTGATTTGGATATATTAATTACCGTAAAACAAATTAGTAAAGCAGGAATTAAGCCTCCCATAGATATAGACACATGTAGAAGTTTCTTTTTTTAGACTTGACATATTCAGGGTTTTTACTATGCTTTGCTAGAAAGGCTCTCTTGCTCTCTCTTTAGGAATTGGCTGGTCTCTGTACTTACATAAATCTGAAATTGATTATGAATAAAAAAAAGCTGAATTCTTAATGTGACTGTTTCAAATGCACAGAACATTTTAACTATCATTTTAATTTATCTAATGCATGTTTTCTATTTGGGGCTTTCAATTATACAGTCCTAAATCTAAAATAGATGAATTAATCAATAATTTGTATTTTATAGTATTACTTTTCTTACTGTTTATTACTGTTCTTAAAGTTATGGAATCCATCCTTTTATTATTTTTTTCTACACCTTGTAGGTCCTAAGATTCAAGTGCAATAATAAAAAATATAAATGTAATAATTATTCTACAGTATATGCAATATCTGATAAGACATAAGTGGTAACTTACAAGTTTGGTAACAGATGAATGGTAAATCCTTAGTGCAGTTTTCATCAGACCATTTTCCAGAGCCACTGAGTGCTGTTGCAGTACATGTTGCACCAACTGGATTGTCCGCGCTGCCATTTGGCTCATTACTCCCCCAGTAACGAAACAGAGAGTTGCTGCCATCAGACCAAAGTTTTTCACGGTGCAGACCAATCCACACCTCAGTTGAACCTGTAATGTTTTTTATTTGCTCATTTTCTGTCTCATTGCGTATACTGTATAAAAGAGAGAAGCTTATTAGTATTAATAACATTAAAGAAAAGGAAATATACCAAAATAATGCAGCGACTGTCCTTTCCAAAAAGCCATTTAAAATTCATGGGCAATTGAACACACTATCAAATCTTCTAAATAGAAAACGTCTAAGTTTGAATGATAATCATTTACTAATGCTTTGTTTGTAAAAAAAAAAAAAAAAAAACATAGAAAAAAAGACTGAAAATCTACAACAGAACAGACTGTTAAAGATAAATGATAAAAAATTTAAACTGAAACATCTGATGATCCAAATTCTTTTTGAATAAAGGTTCAGACATTCATGAATGAATAGAATATAATGCATATTTTAATATTTAAGGCACCATACCTGGCAAGATCAATATACTTCTGCCTGCAGACTCTTTGAGCTTCAGTCCAATTCGATGAGGTCATAACATGAACAAATACTGGTGTTCCATTTACTGTACCTGTAAAATTAACAAAAAATAAGATATCCATAAAACTATTTGTAAAAAACTATTAAAAACTATTTGTAAAAGTTTTTATTGAAACTGTATAATTTATTACAATTCTAAACAAATTAGTTCACACTTTTTGGGTCATATAGACTGTATTTCTACACTTTAGTTTTTTATTTAGAAATCAAAAACCATGTGAGAGACTTTTAAGATAAAACTGAAACAAATTTATTTTGATAAAATAATGAACCATTAACCTAATGGTATGGTCTGTTTATATAAATTGAAAGTTTAAATAATGTACACTGCAGGTAAGATATACAACGAAAATCCAATTTTGTGTACATTACTGTATGCATAATGTTCTATATTTGTCTGCCTTATTGTACTGTACGATGTGGTAGATATACTGACTGTGTTAAACAATCCTAGTTAACGCCTCTAGGGGGAGCCAGCTACCTATGTTTAGGCAGGACTGTGGGGAAACAGGCAGTAGTACGGCAAAGAGCACACTATGTTTGGAGGCATGTTCGGTTGTTCTGTGAATATACAAAAATAAAGGGCACGAAGCCAAAGAAACAACCTGGTGTGATGATTGCTACAGCCACCGTAGGATATCACACAATTCAACATCATAGTCATTGTATGTGCAATATTGTATATTGCTATATTCATTGGTATGATGTTAAAAATGTTTTTTTTTTTTTTTTTGGTCTGCAGAACAGGAAGCTCCTCTATAAGAGAAATTATGCTAAGAGAGGCTCGATTTCTTTTAATCTTTTTCTGTTTTGGAAAATAAAGATCATATATCGGTATCATAGAACATTCAAGGCTCATTTTATTGCTTAATATGAATGGTTTTGATCAACGTTGCCCAAGTTTGTGTCCATTAATAACCAGTGTACATAGAGATTATAAATAGGCAATGAAAGATGTAACATAGTTGTATCAAAAATATAGCTTATAAATTAATTCCTTTTTTTCAGTTTTTTTCTAAAGTTACTAAGTTAACCCATATATTTCAAATAGACATATCTACACAAAAAAGAAAAAACACACGATTTGAAAAAAGAAAAAAAAACTTACCATTGTAGCACACAGAGGATCTTTCGAGGTTACAGGGGATATCATTCCATTTGCCTAGGTTATTTCCAAGAAGTACAGCACAATTTTGTTGTCCATACTTGTTGTTGGGCTGATCGGTATTCCAATTCCTAAAGGTTAATTCTTCTTCCATGTAAAAGCTGCTGTCATTCAGAGACCATTTCCAGCTATTCACCAAGTCATCATAAAGACCTATCCAAGCCAAGCCTGTTTAAAAACATGTCTTTTTTTGATTAGTTGCCAGATGCTTAAATGCATTTTTTTGCTTCTTAAACTCCGAAACATTACTGATTTTTCTTTTTACAGGTAAATTCTTAAAATTACCTGTATAGTTTGAGGTTGTGCTGCTTACAGCAATGACATCGTCTGTGTTTTCCAAAGTGGCCAGGTCAGTATAGTTATTTCTGCAGACACTCTGTGCATTTGTCCAGTTAACAGTGAGATTAACAAACTTGTATTGACGAATTTCAGCAGAGCTTGAATGAAGTAGTGCCCCTTAAGACAAAGTGGGAAGATAACAATATAATACTGAGTCCTGTAATATAAAGTGTTTTTAAGTAAACAAGCCCTTTTTACAAGTTATTAGTTCAAATCATATTCCTAAAAAGTTTGAGTGGATTTGTGTTTTTATGTTTGTTCATGTACAGCCTTTGAATTGTCTTGCAAGTTTCTAATGAAATTTGATATATACATAAACTTGCCTTGCCTTCTTAAAGGTATAGTCTGGGTGAATCATCAATAATTGTCAGTCATTCTGGTGATACGTTTACGTAAGGCCATTACGTGTGCTTATCGCCATTTTCACTCAGTGAGTCTCAGTCACTGGGTCTGATATAGTGAAAAAAACTGCAAGTCCACTTTTGGAAAGTAAGCTTGTATGAGCGTTGCAAACAGCAACTTGTAAACAGAATGTGCACGGGGAGAAACTGGCTAGTGCATGGTCTTGCACAAGTTTAATAAGCATTCCCTCTCGGGAGCAGGTACAGGGTTGTGCATGTGCATTCTTTTCAATAGGTCTTTTCAAAAATTTGAAAGACTGTCTGGACCCTAACCTGCACTGTCAGGACCCTTTGTTGTAGACCTGCAAAATGGAGTCTTATGCACTGTCAGAACTGGAAATTTATTCAGGAATTTGTATTCGAAACCTTCAGGAATACAGCACGGCAAGTGCTTGCTGCTGGATTAGAGTTTATCAAGTGTTAAGCTGAGCATAGGAGCATTTTAAATTATACAGTAAGCAAAAATCCTCATACAGTAGGACAGCCAACCTACGGTGTTGTCTAGAAAATGTCTTATAGACAAAATACCCTTTTCCATCCAGTTATCCAAATTCAGAGACTTATTTCTATGTAGCACATATCTATTATTGCTGATGAAGGTTCTCAGTCATCCAGGTCATAGTCATTCCGTAAAAATTCAAAAAATATCCACTGGAATTAGTTTCCAAGATTTGAAGACGTTTCGCCACCTCTCCAGGAAGCTTTCTCAATTCAAATGTCTGGATCCGCAGTGAGTTTGAGTCTTATATAGACAAGGCCTTGTATCACTTGGAAACATGCAAATAGAAACCGATGAATCGGTCGTTCTATTATTTCAGATAGAAGTTTGTTGGGCGATCAAATTGTGTGTGTACATAAGTTTCTAGCATAAAAACACTTGTTTGAGCAAGAAAGCTATCTTTTACTTTAGAAAAGTTTTGAATCAGCTATGCTAAGTCTTCAAATAAACTCTGCAGCCAGGGTCCTGATAGTGGAGCTCTGGGTCCTGACCGTGCAGCTCTGGGTTCTGACAGTGCAAGTCTGCAGTCTGACCTCTCAAAATTGGCAAAAACCCTCCACTATGCCTTTAAGTCAACATTCTGCACACAATGGACTCTAATGAGCTGATTATTTCAGCAAGTATTGGCACCTCTCCATATGGCTAATGGTACCCACAAAAACATGGATGACCTCAAGTCTGATATCAAAATTACATTTCCTTTGTGTTGTGTTTACTAAAGCAGAAGCTAACTGCTTCTTGCCAACATCATACATTCAAGTTTATGTTCTTGTAATCTAAAAACCACAAACATCAAAAACACAAGAAATAAAGTTCTTAAATATTTCAATGCATTTGCAATGTTTTTGTTTTATATTATTATAACTATTTTTATACTTTAGAACTGTAAAACAGTCACACTACAGTAATTTTCTTTGAAGAAAATCCACAGACATCGAAAAATAGTACAATATTTTAAAAATATACTACTTATATAGACAAAACAGTCTCTTACACTACAAAATTATATTTATGATGAATTCTTAGAATGTTAAAATTCTGTACATTCTTGGGATGTTAAGAAACTTGCTCAACCAGTTCTGCTAGTCTGAGTGGCGTGCAAATTAAGCTAAAGTACTAGTGTTCCAATTAGTGTCATCAAGTTACGTAAATGTGAGTGGGCGGTTTAACACCATGTAAAGTTCTGGAACTTGTAGGAGTGAGCTGTTGTTTATGTTTCCTTGATTTTCTTAAGGAATCTTAAGTTTTTGTCATTTGGTAAGTTAAGTTGGTTAATATTCAGATAGATAATTTTGTTTGTTGTTTATGGCATAAGCTCTCTCTGCCATCAGTTGTTTCAAAAGCAAACAACCATGATTGCTTTTATTGTCACACACCTGGACATTTAATTGCTGCATACCGAGTCTTGAAGAAAAAAGATAAAAGCATTAAAACTCCTGCAGGTGTGGGTTGACAAAGTTAGCTTCCTCGCCGAATGTACACCATAACAACAAAAACCCACATTTTTAATGATCCGCAGTTTCTGCCATTTATTTTGGAGGGCTTTGTTTCTTTAAATGGGGAGGAAAAGGATAAAGTTCCAATCACAATCCTTACAGATACAGGTGCTCATTACTCTTTTTCTGTTCAAATCTGTGCTGCCTTAATCTAAGCAAACATCTTGTGGTTCTGATATTTTTGTCTGAGGAATAAAAATGAGCATAACCACCATTAGTTCGGCATAGGTTAAAGTAGCCGTGTGTCCACGGTTAATCAATCGAAGGAGTTTCCTTCATTCTTTGTAATGACTTGGCTGGCGGAAAAGTGTTTCCTACATCAGAAGTTGTTGATGTTCCAGTTCCATTTACCCTTGAGGCTGAATCAGCTGCCACTTTGGAAGTGTTTCCTGCATGCGCAATTACACGCACACAAGCTTGTAAAATGAGTGATATTAGATTTTTCTGTGTCCTTTATGGCTACTCTCAATGAAAATGGCTTTGATTTGAATAGCTCTGTACAAATGTCAAAATGTGACATCTCTGAACATATTCCTGCGGATAAAGCTTTGATACACAGCAGAATGATCCGTCACTGAGTTTTTGTTTTTCTGTTGCAAATAAGAGTGGGTCTAAAGCCCAGGTGACCTATTTTGTTAAACAGTGTTGTAATGAGGTCTTGGTCTCCAAATTGAGGTTATCTGCATAGAATAAACCAGGTGGTTTTGCCAAAAGATTACAGACATCAGATTCTGAGTCTCGCACATGATGCGAGCTTGGTTGGACATCTTGGTGTTAAAAAAACATATCACCGTGTGTTACGTAGTTTTTTTTTGGCCTTGGTTGAAATGTGGTGTAGTGAACTATTGTAAGCCATCTCAAACATGCCAATTAGTGGGAAAACCAAAGAAATCAATTTCTCCAGCGCCTCTTCATTAAATTCCAGCCCTCAGCGACCCATTTGAATGAGTTTTACAAGACTTGGTGGGCCTTTTACCCAAAACCAAGTTGAGTTATCTGTTAACTGGCGGTCAACTGCTGCCTCTCATTTTCTGGAGGCTATTTCATTATGCGCGTTAAACGCATAGAACATTTTTTTTTCAACTTTTGGTTTACCTAGTTTTTACCAAGTTTTTCAATCGGAATAAGGTTCAAATTTTATGGCAAAGATGTTTGCTCAAGTTTTAAATGAAATGAAAATTAAACATCAAACCTCCAGCCCTTATCATCCAGTGTCCCAGGGTGCGCTGGAGAAGTTTAATCAAACCTTGAAAACCATATTGCTCAAATCCTGCCTTAAATATGGTTAAAGTTGGGACGAGGGTCTTTCACTTCTGCTATTTGCATTTAGATAAACTATTCAGCAATTCTTTTGGATTCAGTCTGGCATATTTGGTATTTGGACACACTGTTTATGGTCCACTCCATCTCTTTGAGTTGGCAGAGTCACATCAAACTGAACATGTGTTGGATTATATTAGTAGTTTTAGAGAGCGTCTTTTTCATGAATGTCAGTTGGCCCAAGAAAGCCTGTGTAACTCAGAATAAAATTAAAGCTCGTTATGATAAAAAGTCTGTGAGATTTAATTTCAGGTGAAAAAGTTTTGGTGCTACTTCCCTTGAGTGGATCGAGTCTTCATGCAAAATTTTCTGGACCATATGAGGTGGACAGAAAAATAAATGAAATGAAATATGTGATAAAGATTCCAGATCGAAAACGAAATTACCAAATGACAATATTGTCATATTAACATGATCAAACATTATATTTTGAGGGAAGGCATTGAAGATTAAACTCTTCCGTTGCCTCTGTTTCTGTTTCTGTTTGCTCCTCATCCCCACAGATATCATTTAGCAGATGAAGATTTTATCTAATTTATTGCTTTTCTCAGATCATCCACACCAAACATCAGTGTTGTTCCAAGATATTTATGTGGAGGTTGAGACCCAATTAAACATGCTTACTGCCTGAAAATTTCTAGACACAACACTGCTGTCAAATTGATGTCTCATTTCTAAATTTTGGTTTATAAAGACAAGCATTAGGACACAATTATGCAGTTGAGAGTAGCTGGCATGGAGGTGACTACATCGATTTTAAGGTATATATCAACTTTAAAAATGTCTAATGCTTTGATAGAATGCATTATCTAACTCATGTAAAACACTTTGAATTGCCCATCGACTCAATTGTGCTATACAAATAAATTTGCCTGTATAATTGTCTATCCTAGAAGGCGCTAAAAGACATAATCTCCCACTTTGCATATTTCATTCAGCTGCAGGAAATTCTTAATTTCTTTGATTTATTTTTTTGTGTTTGGTCTGCCTGTCAAAGAAAGCCAAAAGTTCGACTTGCTCCACACTCAGGAGGACAGAGTTAGCAGATTTGATGTGAGTCCCTTCTACAATATTTTCCTGTCTTTAAATACAACCTGATCTTCTATGACTCATTTAATTAGGTCCATTGGCGAATAGCCCCTTACTTTAAATATTTATTGCCTAATTTTTACATGATTGCAGCATCATAAATGCTACACTTTTATTTGAAATAAAATGATTTTATGGCAACAACTGGCTCTGTTGGTAGAGCATGTACATCATGTAAAGAAAAGTCCTAAAGAATGTGTCATGTGTTTGTTTGCTTTGTGCATTGTCCCCATCCTCTGCCCTGTCAACCTACTGTTTGATTAAAATCTTGCATGGTAAGAAAAAAAGTTCTTTATATATAAAAAAAAAAAAAGGTGAAATCTTCAAACACATTTTTTTATATAACTTAAACACTTGTGTCTAACCAGTATTTTGTTTTTTAATAATCTACATCTAACTTTTTAACTTCATTAAACTATATATTGAACTGTTATTCAGTATTTTAATGAATTTTAGAGCTCTGATCACATTAGTTCAATCTCTTCTAAACTTTGAAATCAAGATAACATTGCACAATTTATTTTTACATCCAGTCCTACAGTAGTTTCCTATTCCGCAGAAATTGAAGTCCTATGAATTAAAAGGCCCTTTAAGGGAAAAAAAGAAAGACATAAACAGTACCTGTTAACATGATGAAGATCAAGTTATCCATGGTTTCAACCTTGAAAAAAGAGATATCCATATAATATTATACAAAAGTTAGTATTAGACATTTTACCCCGATTTACAATAACTCTAGTGTTACTTTTAAGCAATTATTTCACACTGGCAATTATTGTTTCTTACCTTTGAGGAGTTTACTGATCCAAAACAATAAGCACTTCAGCATTGTGTTCATCACAGCAGTTAAAGTGCACTTTACCTGAATGTGCAGCTCTGTACAGTTCAGGTTCTTATAAGTGGGTGTAGTGTTTGTGTGAGAAACAAGTCGGATCAGTAATTAACATATAATTTCTTTATGTACTTTTCCTCATAGCACTGTGAAAGGAGAGAATGAGGATGTAATTATAATTTTTGTTTTTCAATTCCCAAGTTACTTATTTCCTGCACTGGTCTTCCACTTGTGCAAGGTTCTTGCTCCTGAATTTAATTTCATCCTGTTGATAAAAGGGGACATAAAATAAAAGCTGATTTTAAACAATTAAAGCGTCATATGAGAATTTGTGCATAGTCATTGTTTCAAATACCCATTTGACGTCATTATCAGGTGTCTTCTCAGGAAATCATTTTTATTAGTTTCTTATGTAACAATTCAAACTAGACATTTTGTATACTTTCATTTGTTTGTATATGGGAAGATTTCTAGGGCATTAGAACAAATAAACTGATGTCAATCTGCGACACTAAACTAGACTGACATGGACACCAAAAAATAATTTGTAACCTTTTTAACTTTTAATCTGTAAGTGTAAAATTTTTTACTAATATTCATCAACTTTCAGACTCTTTAAATGAACAATGTTATAAACTGGCTCAACCAGTTCCACCATTCTGGGGGATGGGTAGATAGATACAACCAGAAGCAACTGTATCATAAAAGATTTTTTCTAGATAATTATTTTTTTTTTATATATTGAAAATATACGTTCCAACTTTGAACAGTAATAATAAGATACATGTGTTGACCACCATGATTGAAAGCTTTGTTGTTGTTTTTTTTTACTCTGCACTATAATTATTTAAAAAAATATATATAAGGACAAACGTTGCACACCATTACAATAGGGAAATATAGTTGTTATTCTTTCAAGCACTAATATTGTTTTTTGTTCCTGTCAGGATTTTGTGTACCGTGCTCTGCTAATTCTCTTCCACAGGTGGCTGTTGTTGACAGAGGGCTGTGGCTCATTGGGGCAGCCTTGGCTGGAGCTTAAAAGGAGTTTTCAGTCAGCTGAAGGACACCAGAGTGTCAGACCGTTGTGGTACGCCTAGGCTGCAAGTGTGATGCAGAGTCCGGTTTATAGTTCAACAGTTTAATAGTCTCATGGCAGCTGTCAAAAAGCTGTAACAGAATCTGCTAAACCTGCAGCGGATGTTGCGAAGCTTCTTCCCACAGGCCAGCAGGGAGAACAGTCCATTGTGGGGGTTTGAGGGGTCGCTGATGATGTTAGGGGCTCGGGACACACAGCGCTGGGATGAAATTTCCTTCCAGTCTGAGGTGCTGCAGTCTCCACTTGCACAGTGAGACAGCTGGTAAGAACGCTCTCTATGGTGCTTCGGTTCGTGAGGATGGGTGGTGGCAGGTGGGTTCTCCTCATCCTTTGCAGGAAGTACAAAACTTCCAGACAAAGACAAAACAAAGTTAAACTCAGGTTGACAAAAACTCAGCTTGACTAAGTATACTCAGCTTGGCTAGAGTACCCTAAACTGGCAAACACTCTGGCGTCAAAGTAGTGGCAGTCAGCAGCTTAAGAACACAAAAACGGGAGTCCTGATATAGTGGGTATATACTGTTGTGTTTTCTTTGTATTCATTGCTCAAATGATAACCTATAATGACATTCCTCCAATGCTTCATTTGCCCATATATATATATATATATATATATATATATATATATATATATATATATATATATATATATATATATATATATATATATATATATATATATATATATATATATATATATATATATAAAATCTTAATTAGACAACAGAATTTTACTATCAGCTAATTGGATGTAATTAATATTACACAATTGGGTTCAGATGTGAAGTGCAGCAGACAACAACTAAAATTTGATAAGGGTGTGGCTTAACTAAGAAAAATATATTAAATATTTATGCTGTGACTTATTGTTTTTGCTTTCCATCACATCAGGGGCGGAGCTAGATGGGGGGCCAGAGGTGGCCATGGCCACCCTTACCTAATCATTGGCCATTATTGATAATAGTCGGTAAGTAATGACAATAGAAAAGATGTTCCCCCCCAGAAATTTTGTCCACTAAACCTTATATTTAGACAGAATGGATGTTTAAATATATGCGTCTATTTGTTAGCAAAGGCTGTAGAAAAGTATAGTTTGTCATATTTAGAAAATATGGATGCTGTGCTTGTTCCAGTGTAGACTGACCCTGAGGTTGGCCACCCCTATTAAAATTTTCTGTCTATGCCTATGCAACACATTTTGTGCACATTTTAATTGAAATGTAGTGAATAAAGAAGTTAGGGCTGGGCGATATAGAAAAAAAGTTTATCGATAAAAAAAATGCATATTGATCAATATCAATAATTATTGAAAAGATTTAAAACCATATTTTATGTGCAGCTCTGCCTGGACTTTTTATGATATTGCTAAATGATTTAATTTTAATAAAGAACACAAACACAGGCTTTGAATTAAATCTTTATTTAACCAACTTTTTTCACCATAACAGAATTGTTTTGAAGAAAAATAACTTAAAAGACCTGAGTTATGTGATTAAATACTGACAAAGAATAAACCAAAGTGATCAGAAAAGTGACCAAAATAAATATAACAAATAAGTAAATGGACGTGTTATCAGACTTGGTTTTCACTGTATCCCGACACATTTTCCAGATGACTGGTTTGTTTTTTGTCCGACTTGCCATGACCGAAATACCGCCAAACTGGCGAACTACAAAAACCCTTCTTTGGAACAATTTCCTCTGCCTCTCCTTGCTGCGACATCTTCATGTGCTCTGTGTTGTGGTTTGAGAGGGCGGCGCTTGGTGACGGCATGCCTGGGTCCGCGATTGTGATTGGTTGGGAGGAAGCAGTGACTAGCATAAACCTACATGCTAGGCTACAATGAGAAGGAAGGAAAACTGTGTTTTTTTTATTGAAGTTTTATCGACCCGCTTTTTTTCTATTGCGCCACACATCTATCGTTCGATATATATCGTTATTGAATTATCGCCCAGCCCTAAAAGAAGTCAAACAATATAAAAAAAGAGGAAGTTATTGTTATTTGTGTGAAATTGCCTCTTGTACCTATATTTGACTCTATTGACATTTAGACGAACCACAATATTATTTGAATACCAGGAGGTACCCCCTCTTTTTTTCCTGCTTTCATATGGTGCTAATAACTTCTTATGATTTCATTGTATTTTGGAGGGAAGTAATATTTGGTATGATTTTATTTCCTTTTCTTTGTTTTTTTTTTTTTTTGTTTTTTTTTTTTTTCCTACATGGACCAGGTCACAATGATACGTACGGAAGAGGATTAGGGCCACTGAAAAAAAAAAAAAGTTAACTGATTTTTAAAAAAAAATTTCAGTTTAGTATGGGAAAAAAGTCAGAATTCTGACTTTAATCTCAGAATTCTGACTTTAATCTCAGAATTCTGACTTTAATCTCAGAATTCTGACTTTTTTCTCAGAATTCTGACTTTAATCTCAGAATTCTGACTTTTTTCTCAGAATTCTGACTTTAATCTCAGAATTCTGACTTTAATCTCAGAATTCTGACTTTTTTCTCAGAATTCTGACTTTAATCTCAGAATTCTGACTTTTTTCTCAGAATTCTGGCTTTAATCTCAGAATTCTGACTTTAATCTCAGAATTCTGACTTTTTTCTCAGAATTCTGACTTTAATCTCAGAATTCTGACTTTTTTCTCAGAATTCTGACTTTAATCTCAGAATTCTGACTTTAATCT